CATTTTCGCTAAGCACACTGGTGTCACATGCCATCTATAAAACATCTTACATAAGTTTTCTTTATATGCTACCGCTTTTGTAAGCTTAATATTTTTATCCCAAAGTTTTTGCCAGGTATTTATATGGTTTTTCCTCATGTGTGGATTCTTTGATGCTTAGAAAGACTTCCCCTCCCACTGAAGCGCTTTCCACACTCCAGGCATTTATATGTTTTTTCTCCAATGTGAATTCTTTGATGTCTATAAAGGTGTCCCGTCTGACTGAAACTCTTTCCACATTCAAGGCATTTATATGGCTTTTCTCCAGTGTGGATTCTTTGATGTGTATAAAGGTTTGCCCTCCCACTGAAGTTCTTTCCACATTCCATGCATTTATAGATTTTCTCTTCTACACAGATTCTTTGATGTATATAAAAGCTTTCCCTCCGACTGAAGCTCTTTCCACACTGCAGGCACTCATAAGGTTTCTCTCCTGTGTGGATTCTTTGATGTGTATAAAGGTTTCCTCTCTGACTGAAACTCTTTCCACACTCCAGGCATTTATGCAGTTTTTCTCCTGTGTGGCTCCTTTGATGTGCATAAAGGTTTCCTCTCTGACTGAAGCATTTTCCACACTCCAGACATTTATGTGGTTTCTCTCCAGTGTGAATCTTTTGATGTCTATAAAGGTTTTCCCTCCGACTGAAACTCTTTCCACACTCCAGGCATTTATGAGGTTTCTCTCCTGAGTGGATCCTTTCATGTACATAAAGGCTGCTCCTCTGACTGAAGCTCTTTCCACACTCCAGGCACTTATGTGGTTTCTCTCCAGTGTGAATTTTTTCATGTCTATAAAGGTTTTCACTCACACTGAAGCTCTTTTCACACTTGAGGCATTTATGCGGTTTCTCTCCTGAGTGGATCCTTTGATGTACATAAAGGCTGCCCCTCTGACTGAAGCTCTTTCCACACTCCAGGCATTTATGCGGTTTCTCTCCAGTGTGGATCCTTTGATGTCTATAAAGGTTTCCCCTCACATTGAACCTCTTTCCACACTCCAGGCATATATGCGGTTCCTCTCCAGTGTGGATCCTTTGATGTTTATAAAGGGTTCTCTTATGACTGAAGCTCTTTCCACACTCCAGACATTTATGTGGTTTCTCTCCTGTGTGGATTTTTAGATGACTTTCAAGATGTGCATTACTTTTGAAGGATTTTCCACATTCCGAGCACTGATATTTCTCTCCTTCCTCCTGGCTTCTGTTGCATTTCCTGAGTCTTCCGCCTGTCCTGAAGGACCCTCCGCCCTCCAGGCCCGTCTCGGGGTCTACACCCGTTTTCTCTCCACTATGAATCCTTTGATGTTTATAAAGGTGTCCTGTCCGACTGAAGCTCTTTCTACATTCCAGGCATTTATAAGGTTTCTCTCCAGTGTGGATCCTTTGATGACTATATAGAGTTCCTCTCAGACTGAAGCTCTTTCCACACTCCAGACATTTATGTGGTTTCTCTCCTGTGTGGATTCTTTGATGTCGATGTAGAGCTCCACTCACAGTAAAGCTCCTTCCACACTCAGGGCATTTGTATGGTTTTTCTCCAGTGTGGATCCTTTGATGACTATATAGATTTCCTCTCCTGCTGAAGCTCTTTCCACACTCCAGGCATTTGTATGGCTTTTCTCCTGAGTGGATTTTTTCATGTGTATAAAGGTTTCCCCTCTGACTGAAGCTCTTTCCACATTCTAGGCATTCATGTGGTTTCGCTCCTGAGTGAATTCTTAAATGGTTTACAAGATCTGTATTTCTTTTGAAGCACTTTCCACATTCTGGGCATTTAAATGGTTTTTCTCCTGTGTGGATTATTAGATGCTTTTTAAGATCTGCATTTCTTTTGAAGGATTTTCCACATTCCGGGCACTGATATTTCTCTCGTCCCTCCTGGATTCTCTGGGGATTCCCGGGTCTTCCGCCTGTCCCGAAGGACCCTCCGCCCTCCAGGCCCGTCTCGGGGTCTCCGCCCGTTTCCTGCTCCCCGCTTCTCCCTCCAGGAGGCTTCCTTTCTCCGGGTCCCTCTCGGCTCATCCCTTCCGGGCCTCCCGCGCCGTCTCCTCCCGGGGCTGCTCCGCGGGGCCTCCTTCCTTCCTTCCCCCGCCGGGCTCGCCCGTCCTCCTGCAGGGGCGAAGGGGGGGAGGAGAGGCGGGTCAAGGCTTCGTCCCTTCCCCGGAAGGGAGTCCCAGCCTCGCCGATCCTCCCCGGGAGGAAGGCCCAAGCCTCCGCCTCTCCTCAGCATTTCCCCGACAAGAACGAGACGGACTCGGCCTCCCTCCCAACGCGTGTCCCGTCAGACCAGGCCTCGGCCTCCTCCCCCCTCCCTTCTCCGCCAGAGAGCCTCTCGGACTGCCACTCCCAGCATCCCTTGCGCCCTACCTGGATCCGAGCTCCACGGCCGATTCTATTCGTTTCCGGAAGTGGAGGCGGGACATCTCCGAGCGCCATTTCCTGTAGAAGCTCCGCCAGTTCCTTTGGAGGGACCGCCCCGAGGAGTCCTCCTGCCAATCGCCGCTCTCCCCCGAGCGACCAATTGGCGTCCTCCTTCCTCAGCCAGCCAGATAGCGCCTGCGCGGTGCTGTGGGGGATTTCCCTCCCGGGGCGGAGTTGAGGCGAGGGGTCCGTCTTCCTCCCGCCCGCCGCCCCGCATCCGTCAGGCCGGCCAGGCTCCCCCCGCGGCCCCCAGGCAGCCCCTCCCGCCTCTCGGGGCCGATCCCTGCCCCCCCCGCTCCTCTGCGCGCCCCCGGAGCCCCTCCTCGCACGGGGGGGAAGGGGGGGCGATGGGGACCTCTGACCTCGGGTGCTTCGGCCTGGGCTAGGACGCCCTGCGACCTCTGAGGCTCCTCCCCCTTCCAGGCAGCCTGCCCACCCCCGGACAGCAGGAATGGGAGGGGGCGGGAGGGCGTGGGAGGAGAGGCTGCCTTGGCCGGGAAAGAAAGGCCGGGATGCAGGGGGGTCACCTGGAAGACGGAGACCAGCCAAGGTCGCCCAGGGAAAGAGATTGTTCTCAGAACAGCCCAGGCGCAACTGAGCGGTGGACGAAGGACCAGGGGGGCTGGGGGGGGCAGAGAGAATGGACTTTATCCTATGCTTTTGCCTGAGACATTGCAGGGCTTTATGGCAGGAATAGCCAACACCCCGGAAGAGAAGCTCGGGATCCAAAAAGAACTTGAGAGGCTTGAACGATGGGCCCTATTCAACAACATGCCATTTAATGTGGAGAATAAAAACCATGTGAAATAGCAGTACCGCTCTATAAAGCCTTAGTAAGACCACATCTGGAATGCTGCATCCACCTTTGGTCACCACATTACAAAAAAGATTGCAAAGGAGAGCAACTAAGATAATTAAATGTCTGCAAGCTAAAAGATATGAAGAACGGTTGGAAGAACTGAGCATAGTGAAACGAAGGACTAGGGGAGACATGATAGCAGTATTGCTGTATTTGAGAGAATGCCACAAAAAGGGGGGGTGTCAACTTATTTTCCAAAGCACCAGAAGGCAAAACAAGATACAATGGATGGGACCTAATCAAGGAGAGAAGTAACCTGTAATTAAGGAGAAACTTCCTAACAGTGAGAACAATTAACTAGTGGAACAATGTGCCTTCAAAAGTTGTGGGTACATTATTACTGGAGGTTTTAAGAAAAGACCTGACAGCCATTTGTCTGAAATAGTACAGGATCTCTTGCTTGAGCAGGGGGCTGGACTAGATGGCCTCTAAGGTCTCTTCCAGATCTATTCCGATGATTGTCTGAGTTAGGAATGGAACTCATTTTTAACCCAAGAACTAATTTGTTTGCAGAAGTTGGTGTAGTTGTTAAGGCCTCAGGGTTGAAAGTGGGGACCATGAGTTCATGTCCCACCTTGTCCATGAAAGCCAGCTGGGTGATTCTGGGCTGGTCATTCTCTCTCAGCCCAACCCACCTCACAGGATTCTTATTGTGGGGAAATTAGGAGGCAGAAGGTGTGTTTGAAATTTTTGCCACCATATTTCTAAAAATAAAGGTGGGATATATAATTAATGTCTTTTGCAAATTCTGCTAATACAGCTAAATACAATTAGACTCAGAAGAATTTGCAGAAATATTAAGGTTAACACTAATTTTTCAAAAGTCACAACTAATCTTCTATACCCTTCCTTAAAATTAAAACTGAGATAGCTAATAGTCTCAATACATCCATAAAAAGGAAGTCCTTTGAATGTCTAGGAATTAATATTATTAAAGAATTAACCAACTATTTAATAATAATTTCTTCCCTGTATGGAAAAAATAAAAAAGGAAATGAAACGATGAACAAGAAATATTCACAGGTTCATAGAATATATTCTGCCCAAATAAATAGATGTGTTGCTTCATTATTAGCATTCTAAATGTGATATTACCAGTCTTAATATCGTGGTTAGACTACTTTTTAATTTCTGCAAAACAAGTTTTTTTTTTCTTCTCAAGGCCATTTTTTGAAATGGGAGAACCTGTCTTTTCATCCCTAAACACTTGAATCACTTGCAAACTTCTAAGGAAGTTTCCCATCTGGGAAAGACTAAGGTAACCTATAAATTGGCCCCTTGTGGAATGTTATCTAGATTCCATGTTTTCTGCTGTTCAAGTCTCACATGTAATCAAGGTCTTTTATTGTTTGATCTTTGGCTTACTGAAGTGTCACATATACTAAATATATCATTTCTTCTGTATTCTATAGAAATACTTGATCCCCCTTAATAAATGCTCTTTTCTTTGTCTGAGTTATTTGGAGATTTGTACTTTCAAGTGGGCAAATGAGTCCCTTTGCAAAGGTCAAAATTTGACCTTGATTCAGAGATCAAATTCTTATCAGCTCCAAGCCAAATTTGCAATGCCTGAGTTTGGAGGCTACACACGCCATCACCACAAAGTTGTTCAGAAAGAAATGGAGATTATTCTTATATCAACCTATTTTTTATGGGCAAGCCCACCCAGCCCACCCCCCAGTTTGTACTGCTCCTCATGGTGTTCCTTTCTCCCCAGGGAGCATGACGCCGAGTTCGAGAACCTCTGCCAAAGAGAGCTTTGCATGCTTAAGTTCAGCTTTGAATGTTCCTCTTTGTATTGGCCTCTAAGCCTTCAGCCGGCTTGTCCGTGGCTGGGACACACCCTTGACTGGCGACATCCAGCCGAGCTGGGATAGGATGGCAAAGGAGGCCTGTCATCTCCGTTTTATAGGGTTTCTCTCCCGTGTGAATTCTTTGATGTTGATGTAGAGCTCCACTCACAGTGAAGCTCTTTCCACACTCCAGGCATTTATGCAGTTTCTCTCCTGAGTGGATTCTTTGATGTACATAAAGGTTTCCACTCTGACTAAAGGTCTTTCCACACTCCAGGCATTTATGCGGTTTCTCTCCTGAGTGGATTCTTTGATGTACATAAAGGCTGCTCCTATGTCTGAAGCTCTTTCCACACTCCAGGCATTTATGTGGTTTCTCTCCAGTGTGGATCCTTTGATGTCTATAAAGGTTTTCCCTCCGACTGAAGCTCTTTCCACACTTGAGGCATTTGTGCGGTTTCTCTCCTGAGTGGATCCTTTGATGTACATAAAGGCTGCCCCTCTGACTGAAGCTCTTTCCACACTCCAGGCATTTATGCGGTTTCTCTCCTGAGTGGATCCTTTGATGTGCATAAAGGTGTCCCGTCCGATTGAAGCTTTTTCCACACTCCAGGCATTTATAAGGTTTTTCTCCAGTGTGGCTCCTTTGATGTGTATAAAGGTTGCTCCTCCGAATAAAGCTCCTTCCACACTCCAGGCATTTATGCGGTTTTTCTCCTGTGTGGCTCCTTTGATGTACATAAAGGCTTGCCCTGTGACTGAAGTATTTTCCACATTCCAGACATTTATGTAGTTTCTCTCCAGTGTGGATTCTTTGATGTTGACGTAAGTTTCGACTCTGAGTAAAGCTCTTTCCACATTCTAGGCATTTGTATGGTTTTTCTCCAGTGTGGCTCCTTTGATGTCTATAAAGGTTGTTAATCTGACAGAAGCTCTTTCCACACTCCAGGCATTTATAAGGTTTTTCTCCTGAGTGGATCCTTTGATGGGTATAAAGGTGTCCCCTCCGACTGAAACTCTTTCCACACTCCAGGCATTTATGCGGTTTCTCTCCAGTGTGGATTCTTTGATGGATTTTAAGATCTGCATTTCTTTTGAAGGATCTTCCACATTCTGCGCATTCATATTTCTCTCCTCCCTCCTGGATTCTGTGGCGTTTCCTGGGTCTTCCGCCTCTTCTGAAGGACCCTCCGCCCTCCAGGCCCGTCTCGGGGTCTCCGCCCGTTTCCTGCTCCCCGCTTCTCCCTCCGGGCGGCCTCCTTTCTCCGGGTCCCTCTCGGCTCATCCCTGCCGGGCCTTCCCCGCCGTCTCCTCCCGGGGCTGCTCCGCGGGGCCTCCTCTCCTCTCGGGCGGCGCCTCCTTCCTTCCTTCCTTCCTCCGCTGGGCTCGCCCGTCCTCCTGCAGGGGCGAAGGGGGGGAGGAGAGGCGGGTCACGGCTTCGTCCCTTCCCCGCAGGGGAGTCCTAGGCCCGCCCGGGGAGGAAGGCCGGAGCCTCGGCCTCTCCGTGGGACTTTCCGGCCAGGCCTCCCTCCCAGCGCCCGTCCCGCCAGACCAGGCCTCGCCCTCCCCCCTCACTCCCTTCTCCGCCAGAACGCCTCACGGACTGCCACTCCCAGCATCCCTTGCGCCCTACCTGGCTCCGAGCCCCTCCGCGGCCGAGTCAATTAAACGCCTCAGCTCTATCCGTTTCCGGAAGTGGAGGCGGGACTTCGCTGCGAGCCCTATTCCTCTATAAGCTCCGCCTGTTCCTCTGGAGGGGCCGCCCCGAAAAGTCCTCCTGCCATTCGTCGTCCTCCCCCGGCCGACCAATCTGGGGCCTCCTTCCTGGAATCAGTTAGGTGGCGCCTGCGCAGTAGCGACGGGCATGCTACACTCGGCGCGGAGTCGAGTCCAGGGTTTCCCTTTGACCTTTGGGGTCCCGTCTTCCTCCCCCGCCCCCTCTCCCCCAGGCAGGCAGAGGGTGGGGGCGCTGCTGGGGCTGTCACTTCCCCCCTTCCTCCCCATCCGGGGCCTTTCTTTGGCAGGGCGGGGGGGGAGGTGGGGGCTCCGGCCAGGCTCCCCCCGCGGCCCCCAGGCAGCCCCTCCCGCCTCTCAGGGCCGATCCCTGCCCCCCCCCGCCCCCCTGCGCCCCCCCGGAGCCCCTCCTCGCACGGGGGGGAGGGGGCGAGGGGGTCCCAGGCCGGGCTGGATTTGGAGGATTTCTGTTCCCGTCTTTTCCGTTTGGAAAGGTTTCTCCCCCCCGCGTTCTGCCCAGCCAGAGAGGGAGGGGGGAGGGGAGGGAGAGGAGGCGGGGCCAGAAACGCCCCCAGGACCATTGAGGGTCCTTGGGGGGCTCTGAGGCTTCTGGACTTCAACTCCCAGAATTCCTCTTGCCAAGGTTGGGGACCTCTGACCTCGGGTGCTCCGGACTGGGCTAGGACGCCCTGTGACCTCGGAGGCTCCTCCCCCTTCCAGGCAGCCTGCCCACCCCCGGACAGCAGGAATGGGAGGGGGCGGGAGGGCGTGGGAGGAGAGGCTGCCTTGGCCGGGAGAGAAAGGCCGGGATGCAGGGGGGTCACCTGGAAGACGGAGACCAGCCAAGGTCGCCCAGGGAAAGAGATTGTTCCCAGAACAGCCCAGGCGCAACTGAGGGGGGGACGAAGGACAGGGGGAGACAAGGGGGGGGGGAGAGAATGGACTTTATCCTATGCTTTTGCCTGAGACATTGCAGGGCTCTGTGGCAGGAATAGCCCACACCCCAGAAGACAAGCTCGGGATCCAAAAAGAACTTGAGAGGCTTGAACGATGGGCCCTATCCAACCACATGACATTTACACCTGGGCAGGACAAAGCAAAGGTTCAAGTACAGATTAGGCGAAACCTGGAAGGTGTCTTTGAAATTTTTGCCACCATGTTTCTAAAATAATAAAGGTGGGATATAAAATTAGCAAATTCTGCTAATACAGCTAAATACAATTAGACTCAGAAGAATTTGCAGAAATATTAAGGTTAATTTTTCGAAAGTCACACTCATCATCTTCTCTACCCTCCCTTAAAATTAAAAGTGAGATAGCTAATAGTCTCAATACATCCATACAAAGGAAGTGCTTTGAACGTCTAGGAATTAATATGATTAAAGGATTAATCAAGTATTTAATAATAATTTCTTCCCTGTGTGGAAAAAATAAAAAAGGAAATGAAAAGATCAAGAAGAAGTTTCACAGGTTCATAGAATATATTCTGCCCAAATAAATATTTTTTTGCCTCACATTTTAGGGTTCATTATTAGCATTTTAAAGGTGATATTAACACTCTTAATATTGTGGTTAGGCTACTTTTTAATTTTTGTAAAACAAGAGGTTTTTTTTCTTCTCAAGGCCATTTTTTGGAATGGGAGAACCTGTCTTTTCATCCCTAAACACTTGAATCACTTGCAAGTTCTAAGGAAGTTTCCCATCTGGGAAAGACTATAATGTAACCCATAAATTGGCCCCTTTGGAATGTTTTCAGCTGTTCAAGTCTCACATGTAATCAAGGTCTTTTATTGTTTGGTCTTTGGCTCACTGAAGCGTCACATATACTAAATATATCATTTCTTCTATGTCCTATAGAAATACTTGATCCCCCTTAATAAACGCTCTTTTCTTTATTTGGAGATTCGTACTTTCGAGTGGGCAAATGTCAAAGGTCAAAATTTCTCTCAAGTTCAGGGATCAAATTCTTATCAGCTCCAAGCCAAATTTCAAATGCCTGAGTTTGGAGGCTACAAATACACGCCATCGCCACCCAGTTATTCAGAAAGAAGTGGAGATTATTCTTATATCCACCTATTTTTTATGAGCAAGCCTTCGCCCAGTTTATACCTTTCCTCCATTTGTTCATATCTCCCCAGGGAGCATGACGTCAAGTTTGAGAACCTCTGCCAAAGAGAGCTTTACATGCTTAATTTCAGCTTTGGGTGTTCCCCTTTCTGTTGGCCTCTAAGCCAGCTTGTCCGTGGCTGGGACACACCCTTGACTGGCAAGATGCAGCTGAGCTGGGATAGGATGGCAAAGGAGGTCTGTCATCTCCTGGGGAATCCTGAGGTCTTTGTGACCTCATCATCCCTGCAGGCCAAACTGTCAGTTATGTCAGTTATCAGAGGGAAGGGGGCTGCTAAGTGGTGAGTTGGTGTTCAGAAGGGCCCCGGCACTCTGGGCAGCCCTCCCTCTTCTAACCGACTATCAGGGAGGTAGATGGGAGTGAGGGTGAGAGTTTGGGGTGGGATGAGGGTGAGGATGAAGGTGAGGTTAGGGGAAAGACAGGATGAGGGTGAGAGGGTGGTTGAGAGTCAGATCAGCGGGACTGTTAGGGAGGGGGGACAGGAGGGGAATGGGACTGGGGAAGGGAGGGGAATAGGCGGGAAGGGGAGAGGAAAGAAGGGGAGGACAAAGTGGACAGGGAGGGAGGGAAGAACGGAAGGAGGATGGGGAGGGTGAGTGGGATGAAGAGTGGGAAGGTTTATAGGGAGAGGAAAGGGAAGGGGAGAGGGACAGACTGAGGTGGACAGGGTGGGGAGGAAAAAAGGGAAGAAGGGGGAGAGGAGGGGAGCGGTTGGATGGGAATAAGGGGGGGGAGATAAAAGGTTAAGAGAATGAAGACAGTGAAGGTGATGGGAGAGGTTAAAGGAGCAAGGGAGGGGCAGAAAGACCATTAGAAAGTTGGGAAGAGGGAGAGGAAGGGATTGGAAGGGGATGAGGGGAAAGGGCAAAAGGGAAGGGAGAAGGAGGGGAAGAGGGAGAGGGACAGCAATGGGAAGGAGAGGGAGGGTGTGGGAGAAATGCAGGGGAAGGGGAGAGGAACGGGGAGCGGGAAGTGAGAACATTAAACCATCATAATAAAAGAAATAGTAAAATGGTTCTGTTCCCAAGTCTATATGTCCTTGAAGGTTTCGACTGATTATACTGTATATGTTCACGTGGTGAATGACAATAAAGAGTAAATATCCACATCTGTCCGTTATTGGATCCTAATTAACTCTGCCATAAATAGGCTCTTAGCATTAGAGAAACCATTGTGCTTGTCATCTAGGGCTGCCCCGAGTTTGCTGGCTACATTTGGCTGCATATTAGCCACGATTAATCCATTTCTGTTTCTCTCTCATGTGGGTTATTAAGTGGTTTTTGAGCTGCTTGTAAGGTCTTGTGTCAGCTAGTCCCTCAAGAAAGCAGAACTCTTGAATCAGGTAGCATTTCAAAAGGAACTTTTATGGAGAGATAGTGATTGCAGAGAAAGCAGGCAGGATCTAAAATTCCCTGCAAAAACAATAGGTTAAAACCCACATTTCAAAATCCTTTCCAACTGCCCAGTGTACAGAAAGCCAATGCAGAGGTGCAAAGATGTTATGAGAACTCCGAACTGAGAAGGTGATAAGCACACACTGGGTACATTTATAAACTTTCTGCTGAGTGTAAATTTGTAATTTTTATTGAGACCTATTTTGAGTGAACCTTTTCCAGGCACCCTGAATTTTTAGGGGTTTTCTCCCAGGTGAATTCAGATTCAGGAAGAATTTCTCATTGTATTCAGACACAGTACAGATTTGTGCTTGTTGTGAAGAATTCTCCACACTGAAGGTATTTATATGGTTTTTCCTCACGTGTGGATTCTTTGATGCTTAGAAAGACTTCCCCTCCCACTGAAGCTCTTTCCACACTCCAGGCATTTATGTTTTCTCTCCAATGTGAATTCTTTTTTTTTTTAACAAAATTTTATTAAGTTTATATAAATAAGGAAAAATAGGAACAATACAAGTATGGTAAAGGGGGGGGGGTGGGAGGAAAGGGGAAGGGAATAAAGGATTTAGGGTAAAATAAGGATTGATACAATCACATATTTCAACAAACAAGCTAAGATTAATAGGAATAAATCCAAATTAATAACAAAAAATCCTACAAAGGCACAAGGAAGGGAATTGGAAGATAAAACAAAGATAAGTATAACCAAGAAAATAAAATATTTGGGGATCTGGCTTACAGCGAAATGCTCCTCGATTAAGGAGGACAATTATGATAAAATACTAGAAAAGATTTAGAAAATTGGGAAATTTTGCAAATTTCATTTTTAGGGAGGACCACTACAGTCAAAATGAATGTATTGCCAAAAATATTGTTTCTGTTCCAGGTTATTCCAATAAAATTAGGGAAAACATTCTTTCAAGAATTAAATAAATTGATCACTAAATTTATATGGCAAAGGAAAAAACCCTGGATTAAATTAAAACTCTTGCAAGACATAAAAGATAAAGGGGGACTGGTGTTACCAGAGTGGGAAATGTACTACCAAGCATCAAGCTTAACTTGGCTAAAAGATTGGATGGATTTGAAAAATACTAGAGTCTTAACAATAGAAGGACATGATTTGCAAGCAGGGTGGCATGCATTCCTATGGAACGAAAAACATAAAATACACAGATATTTTCAAAGACACATAGTTAGGAATGCATTGCTACAGACTTGGGAAAAATAAAACAAAAACATTACACAAGAATTCCAATGTGGTTATCCCCAACAGAAGCTCTGAAATACCCAAACCTATTGGATATAAATAAGATAATTAGATACAAGGAATTAGTAAATGAACAGGGAAATTTGAAAACAAAACAAGAATTGGAACAAGACTTTGGCAGAGAGATTGATTGGTGGACATTTACACAAATTCAATGTAAATATACAGAGGACAAAAAATTATATGAAATCCAAAAAGAGCCGCAAGAATTGGATAAAATTATACATGGAAAAGAAATAAAATTAATTAGCAATTTATACAAATACCTATTGAGATATAAAATGGAAGACGAGGTTGTCAAAGACACAATGATTAGATGGGCAAAAAATTTCAGATATAATATAGAATTGGAGAAATGGGAAAAAATATGGGAAATAAATATAAAATTGACTATGTTGGCGGCATTCAAGGAAAACCAGTTGAAAATGTTTTACAGATGGCATCTTCCACCTGCAAAGCTTGCCAAGATGTTCCAGAATAATTCGCCAACATGTTGGAAATGTAAAAAAGTACATGGAACATATTATCATCTATGGTGGACATGCCCAGTTGCAAAAAAATATTGGTCTACAATAAGAAAATGGATCCAAGAAATAATAGACCAACCTGTAGACTGGAAACCAGAGATCTTTTTGCTGGGTATTTTAATAGAAAATATAGTAAAGAAATATGGTACTTAATTTTACATATAATAACGGCGGCAAGAATAGCATATGCACAGTGCTGGAAAAATGAGAATATACCATCAGAGGAAGAAGTAATAAGAAAAATCCTGGACTGTGCTGAGATGGACAAATTAACAAAAGAGATAAAAGAAAAGGAAGACACAGAGTACTATCTAACATGGAACAAGTGGTATGTCTGGTTGGAGACTAAAAATAATAGAGGAGAATAAATATGGAAAGGTCAAAAGTGAAAATATGTATACAATAATGTATAATAATAATAATATGAATTATTCTTAGTGAGAAGTAGAACATGAAGGAAGAAAAATGTAAATAAGAAATAATGGGGCTATAAGGACAAATATTTAAAGAAGAATAAGGGGGAAATGTAAATATTAGATTACCGTTACGTAATTGCTGTAAAAAAAGGGAGGAGTATATATTGTGTGTGTATGTGTGTTATGTTTTGCTTTGTTCTGTTTTGTCTTGTTGGTTAAAAATAAAAATTTAAATCTCAAAAACTCCTACCAATCGAAAGTAACAAATGAAAATCAGTAAATCAAGAAAAATAAACATATCATCAAAGTATTAGTTAGAACTCGGTTAAAAATCAGTCATCTATTCTAAAATATTGAATCCTTCAAGTTCTAACATATCTCTAACCATTGATAAAATTTTTCCCAAGTTCTAAACTAAATTGAATCATCTTTTTCTTTCATTTCTAATGTTAGTCTATCCATTTCTGCACACTCTAAAATTTTAGTAATTATAGTCTGGTCAGATGGTAAGTTCTCATTTTTCCAAAATTGGGCAAATACTATCCTTGCAGCTGTTAAAACATGCAATATCAAATAGTCATTCTCTTTACCATAATATTCTCTTTACCATTAATATTCCTAACAAAAACAATTTCGGTTTAAATTCTATCTGTAGTTTCATCATCTTTTCCAACCATCTATGAATCTTAGACCAATATTTCTTAGCGATAGGGTATGTCACCAGGCATGGTAATAAGTGCCTGGCTGTTGTTTGCATTTCCAGCAAATATCCGAAACATTTTAAAACATTTTCGCTAAGCGCACTGGTGTCATATGCCATCTATAAAACATCTTACGTAAGTTTTCTTTATATGCTACTGCTTTTGTAAGCTTAATATTTTTATCCCAAAGTTTTTGCCAGTCTTTGCCAGGTATTTATATGGTTTTTCCTCATGTGTGGATTCTTTGATGCTTAGAAAGACTTCCCTTCCAACTGAAGCTCTTTCCACACTCCAGGCATTTATGCGGTTTTTCTCCAGTGTGGATTCTTTGATGTCTATAAAGGCTTCCCCTCTGACTGAAGCTCTTTCCACACTGCAGGCACTCATAAGGTTTCTCTCCTGTGTGGATTCTTTGATGTGTATAAAAATTTCCCCTCTGATTGAAGCCCTTTCCACACTCCAGACATTTGTATGGTTTCTCTCCAGTATGAATCCTTTGATGTTTATAAAGGTGTCCTGCCCAACTGAAGCTCTTTCCACACTCCAGGCATTTATAAGGTTTCTCTCCAGTGTGGATGCTTTGATGACTATATAGAGTTCCTTTCCGACCGAAGCTCTTTCCACACTCCAGGCATTTATGTGGTTTCTCTCCAGTGTGGATGCTTTGATGTCGACGCAGAGTTGATCTCAGAGTGAAGCTCTTTCCACACTGCAGGCACTCATAAGGTTTCTCTCCAGTATGAATTCTTTGATGATCATAAAGGTATACCCTCTGACTGAAGCTCTTTCCACACTCCAGGCATTTATGCGGTTTTTCTCCTGTGTGGATCCATTGATGTGTATAAAGGTGTCCCCTCACACTGAAACTCTTTCCACACTCCAGGCATTTATGCGGTTTCTCTCCAGTGTGGATCCTTTGATGTGCATAAAGGCTTCCCCTCCGACTGAAGCATTTTCCACACTCCAGACATTTATGTGGTTTCTCTCCAGTATGGATTGTTTCATGTCGACGTAGGTGTCCACTCCAAGTAAAGCTCTTTCCACATTCTAGGCATTTGTATGGTTTTTCTCCAGTGTGAATCTTCTGATGGCTATAAAGGTTTTGCCTCAGACTGAAGCTCTTTCCACACTCCAGGCATTTATGCGGTTTCTCTCCAGTGTGAATCTTTTGATGTGTATCAAGGTTTTCCCTCACACTGAAGCTCTTTCCACACTTGAGGCATTTATGTGGTTTCTCTCCTGTGTGGATCCTTTGATGTAAATAGAGGCTCTTCCTCTGACTGAAGCTCTTTCCACACTCCAGGCATTTATGCGGGTTTTGTCCTGTGTGGATTTTTTGATGTGTATAAAGGTTTCCCCTCACACTGAAACTCTTTCCACACTCCAGGCATTTATATGGTTTCTCTCCTGTGTGGATCCTTTGATGTACATAGAGGCTCTTCCTCTGACTGAAGCTCTTTCCACACTCCAGGCATTTATGTGGTTTTTGTCCTGTGTGGATTTTTTGATGTGTATAAAGGTATCCCCTCACTCTGAAACTCTTTCCACACTTGAGGCATTTATGTGGTTTCTCTCCTGTGTGGATTCTTTGATGTACATAAAGGCTGCTCCTCTGACTAAAGCATTTTCCACACTCCAGACATTTATGTGGTTTCTCTCCAGTATGGATTGTTTCATGTCGACGTAGGTGTCCACTCCAAGTAAAGCTCTTTCCACACTCCAGGCATTTATGCGGTTTCTCTCCAGTGTGAATCTTCTGATGGCTATAAAGGTTTTCCCTCACACTGAAGCTCTTTCCACACTTGAGGCATTTATGTGGTTTCTCTCCTGTGTGGATCCTTTGATGTACATAGAGGCTCCTCCTCTGACTGAAGCTCTTTTCACACTCCAGGGATTTATGCGGGGTTTGTCCTGTGTGGATTTTTTGATGTGCATAAAGGTTTCCCCTCTCACTAAAGCTCTTTCCACACTCCAGGCATTTATGTGGTTTATCTCCTGAGTGGATCCTTTGATGTCTATAAAGGCTGCTCCTCTCACTGAAGCTCTTTCCACACTCCACACATTTATGTGGTTTCTCTCCTGAGTGGATCCTTTGATGTCTATAAAGGGTGCTGCTCTGACTGAAGCTTTTTCCACACTCCAGGCATTTAAATGGCTTTTCTCCTGAGTGGATTCTTAGATGGATTTCAAGTTTTCCTTTTGTTTTGAAGGATTTGCCACATTCTGGGCATTCATATTTCTCTCCTGCCTCCTGGATTCTGTAGCATTTTCTGAGTCTTCCGCCTGTGCCGAAGGACCCTCCGCCCTCCAGGCCCGTCTCGGGGTCTCTGCCCCTTTCCTGCTCCCCGCTTCTCCCTCCGGGCGGCCTCCTTTCCCGGAGTCCCCCTCGGCTCATCCCTGCCGGGCCTTCCCCGCCGTCTCCTCCCGGCGCTGCTCCGCGGGGCCTCCTCTCCTCTCGGGCGGCGCCTCCTTCCTTCCTTCTGTGGAGGAAATTTAAAAATAAAAATATATATGCTTTTAGTATTATCATGTAATCGTATTTTATATTTTATCATTAGCATTGTATAATCAATTGCCTGAGTAGATGCTTCGAGTATATGGGAAAAATACAAGCCTCAGGTGGAGGAAGGGGTGAGAACAGGAGTTACCATGGGGCCCGGTGTGAGTCACCATCTAGGAATTGTTTTTAAGTACCTTCTGGTGCCTGGTACCCCTACTGGATCTAACAGGTGTAGAAGATGGGAGACATCTCTCCTCTACAATTGATATAGGATAGTAGGGGAGGGATCTTATTAGTATAATGTATTCTGTTTAGGTGCTTCTGATAGATTGTAACCTCCAAAGCCTAAGCCAATGGGGCCATGGGGGAGGAAATGGGGCATCGCGATAGGATGTACAATAGGATAGGATTTTGGAATTTGGGGTGTGGTTCAGTGCTTGGCTACATTGCATTGCCTTCCTGAATCCACCACGCTTTGCAAACCGTTATTTTTTTTAGACTTTGTTGTGAAGTCTAATAAACTTCTTTTCTATTTGTAACTCAGAGTGGATTTCAATTTGTGACTATTTTTGTGTCTAACAATTTTGGTGCCGAAACCCGGGACTCAATGGGATTTCGTTCAGGACTCCCTAACTTGGAGGACGATGTGGAAGGCATGCCCTATCGAGTTCGACAGTCCAGCTTCGAACTCCAGGAGTGGTGGGTGCTGAATGAACCCTACATCCCTACGAACCGAAATAGAAGTTGCAAATAGAAACGAAGGGTGAGGGAACCAGAAAGAGAGATTGCCGGCCTTAGGAAAAACCGGGTAACTTCGTGCACGAACCTAGGTGAGTAATATCTGGGGTGGCCAGATGAAAACCACCTAGGCGGTTGGGGGAGGACTGGGTGGGACTGTTTGAATCTGAAATCTGTGAGAGGAGTGCATTAGACATCCCAAGTACCAGAGGGGGTAGCAAGACGGTTTGGAAGCTGACCCTTCAGTTTTTGCCATACCCTCATGAGAACATTGGTGGAGAAAAAGGGAGAAGCAGTAGCTTGGTGAAGCGAAAGGTGGTCTCATTAGGTTGGTAAGGATAAGATAACAGTGCGGTAAACCAGTATGGGCAATTCTCGGAGTGTTCCCAAAAGGAAATGTGTGAAGAAAATTAGGAAGAATCCTAGGTTGAGCATAGATACAGGGAGTCCTTTAGGACTCCTACTAAGTAATTGGGGTAAGTCGCCTTATAATAAGATAATTGATAGATTACATTTAACTAAAGAAGATATGGTGAATTTGTGTTGCTTTGTTTGGTGGGAGGAATTGGAACCTGGCCCCAAACAACAGCCAGAGAAGGAGGAAAGTGTATGTTCAGAGGGGTACAGAGAAAGTAAGGCAGAAAAGTAAGATGATGGTAGCAACAGTACAGCAAGTGACAAAGCAGGAAAAACCTCCTAGAAGAGAGTTTGTGGATAAGCAGAGTCCCTTTGAGACAAGATATAGGAGGGATGAAAGGAACCAGTATGTTAATGGGAATAGAGGAAGGGGATTTGGAGGATTTCGAGGTGGATACCAGAATAGGGAGAGAACGTGCTTTGGATGTGGAATGAAGGACCACTTTTAAAAAAAATTGCCCTAAACGCGAGAGAGAGCAGCAAGTTTACTCAGTGTGGGAAGAAGAGGATAGTTTTTACTAGGGGAGGGAAAGGAGCTCATTGGCTTTTGAACAGCTCCTTGAAATAATAATAATAATAGTTATTGATTTGTCAAGAGAATGTGTGAAATGAAATACTTTGTGAAAGTGTTTATACAAGTAGTTTGAATGGAAGTGAATGTGTGGATATGCTGATCCTCTCTCTGTGTGTGTGTGTGTGTGTGTGAGTGAGTGAGTTTCTCCCCCAACCCAGGCTGTGAAAGAAATTGTAAACTGCAGATTTTATTGTTTTAGCAATAGCAAGTGTTTGCATGAGAAGAGTTCCATGGAGGATGTGTGAGAGAATTTATGGCAAATGCATGTGAAGGAGAGAAGACTATTTTTTTTTAGTGGTGAGATTTTTTGCAAAACTTCTTCTCCCCCCCCCCCATCTCTTTTGTTTTCAGCTGGCTGTGTTGCTTTAAGAGCAAGAGAGACAGAAAGAAAAGGAGGGGCTGCTCGTTTTAACTTTTTTTTCTGCTTGGAATTCTGCTTTGGGAGGAAGGTGGGGTGGATGTGAAATTTAATACCCATTCTTATAGTAATGAAATATGAGAAGAACTTGAATACATCTATACTGTTGTTGCTTTATGTTTTATGTTTTTATGTCTGTGTGCAGGACACAATGATAAAAACATAATATCTAAGACAGTGGTTCTCAACCTTTCTAATGCCGTGACCCCATAATAGAGTTCCCCATGTTGTAGTGACCCCCAAGTGGGTGTGGCCACCAATAAGAGGGAGTAGGACAGCTAGGGAAAAGGGAAAAAAATGGCGGACAGCATGGTTTGGCGACCCCCATGAAATGGTCGTTTGACCCCAAATGGGGTCCCGACCCACAGGTTGAGAACCACTGATCTAAGAGAATTGAAGGAATTGTAATTCTACCCTTGTTTAAAACGAAAGAGTTGGGAAAAATATTGTGATTATAAATGAGCTATGTTGTTTTGAATAAAGATTTGTATGCAAACAAACTCAAGCAGAGTTTGGTGAGCACTCCTTTGTTGGCTCTTTACTAAGCAATGTGTTTGTAAATACGGACAAAAGGAATGGCTAGGGGAGGGATAATTGATACTTTTCTATGGTTAATATATGGTTGGTTATATGATATGTAGACAAATACATAAAATGCTCTATAACATCTAATGGTGAGGCTATTTCAATGCATTCAAGTTGATTTTAAATTACCTCAAGTGGGAAATTCCACAATATGAAAACTAATGACATGTTTATAAAGAATTAGATACTGGGGCTGTTTTCTACTTTGTCTTATCTCAGGAAACAAGGCTTGCTGATCCAAACACCCCCTTTGAAATTTCCTGTCTACATGTTTGAGGTGGGACAGTAGAACCTGATCCGAACGTGGAAGGAGGAAAAACTGCAACTTAAGTGGGAAGGACCATTCCAAGTGTTGCTGACCTCTGAAACCGCAGTCCAGATGAAAGAAAAAGGGTGGACCCACTACACACGAGTGAAGGGACCAGTAGCTGAACCAAAAGAACAGTGGACCTGTGTTCCAAATCCAGAACCTTTAAAGATCACTCTTAAGCGACAGTAACCGAATGTCCAAACCAGATCTATATGACTGGGTGGGATTAGGGTTTGCTATTTTTCTTTGTCTTATAGGAGTTATGATTGCGTGTCGAACCAGGAACGAATTCACATCCATATTGTGCCAAAATCCCAACAGCCTCAAGAGATTCAAGAACTTAATCTTTTACCTGATGTGTTGGTTATGTGACTGTAATGCCATATTGATTGTTGTTGTTGTTTCCATTGTATTGACTGTGTAAGATCTACCGGACGTGAAGAACATTTTGGACCATGTGATATAGTACTCATCGAGAAAAAATTGAAACCTTTTGAGGAATATACTATATACTTTAAAAGATAACTAGTCCAGGACGAACAATGAGAGTGACTAAAATGCAAATCCTTAGTGTTGTATATTTGTCCATGGTTATCTATCTCTCCCTTTCTAGAGAATGATATAGGAGAGCAACAAAAACAGAAGGATGTGAAGCCTGCATTACGAACGCCACCAAAGGGAACGCAGTAATTAAAACCTTGGTATATCATACCCAAGCACCTAGGGGATGTATATTTCAATCTGTGTATTCAATTAAATAATACACAATATTCAGTTTGTAAGGTAGAAGACAAGAAGATACAATGTTATGATCCATCAATGCCAACATATTTCAATTTTAGTATATATGTAGGTCTAGCTAAAACAGGAACGAGACAGAGACCTGAAGGTAAAGAAAGATTAATATATGTTAATTCCACAAAAATATTAGAAAAAGGGACAGAAAAGGCTTTAATACTGTTTGATGCCTGTACAATATTAAGTTTATCTCCTCTCGCCACAAAGTGTGGGGACTCTAGTTGGATCTCAGCATATAAACAAAATCATAAATATATATGTCCCACTAATTTGAACTTTGCAAATGGGAACCCCAATCAATGGTCACCTTGTGGGGGATCTGTTCAGGGTGGAGTTGTGTGTGTGATTACACTGGAGGGGGTTATCCAGGATGTAGTGGTATTACCAAATTTAACAGAATATATGGAACTAATACAATGGAGTTGGAAATCACTAAGAACCATGCTGAAGTAGTAAGTTATGGATTTGGGATAGATATTCCATGTAATGTTGAAACAATGAGAGGAAAGGACTGGACACCAGAAAAGATCGTGTGTGACTATGGGCCTGCTACTTGGGCCGAAGATGGATCTTGGGGATATAGAACGCCCATTTATATGTTAAACAGAATAATAAGATTACAGGCTGTATTAGAATTAGTTGGAAGAAAAATAGATACTGCTTTAAATATTTTGGCAAAAACTATTGATAAGCTTAGAGGGCTGTGTATCAAAATAGATTAGCATTAAGTTATATATTAGCTAAAGAAGGAGGGGAATGTGGGAAGTTTAATTTAACTAATTGTTGCTTACAAATAGATGAAACAGATACAGTGGTGAAGCAATTAACCACTGAAATGAGACAACTTCTACATGTTCCAGTCCAGACTTGGACTGGTCTTTTAGATGAAGGAGGATTTTTAGGGGGAATGTTTACACCAGTGGTTCTCAACCTTTCTAATGCCGCGACCCCATAATACAGTTCCCCATGTTGTGGTGACCCCCAACCACTTATACATCACCGGGTGCCAGGGGCATGGCCAAAGAAAAGGGGGAAAAAATGGCGGACAGCCTTGTTTGGCGACCCCCGTAAAATGGTCGTTTGACCCCAAATGAGGTCCCGACCCACAGATTGAGAACCACTGGTTTAGAAACTGGAAGCAAGCTTTATTCATGCTTATAATAATCATTATGGGATTAATGTTTTCACCTTGTCTCATCCCTCTTATTAAGAATATTGTTCCGAGTACTGTAGAAGGAATAATACACAGTAATCAGAAGGAATCACTTAGGGAGAAAAATGTACAACCTTACACAAATCAATGAAGACGCTAATTTTGCAGAATATGAAAAGACATTAGAAATACAAAGCAATGTGGAAAAAATTGTTAATGTTTTATTTTTAAAGAATGGGTAAAAAGAAAAAGGGTGGATTTTATTTTTAAAAATAAAAATGTATGTGCTTTTAGCAGTATCATGTAATCGTATTTTATATTTTATCATTAGCATCGTATAATCAATTGCCTGAGTAGATGCTTCGAGTATATGGGAAAAATACAAGCCTCAGGTGGAGGAAGGGGGGGAGGACAGGAGGTACCATGGGGCCCAGTGTGAGTCACCATCTAGGAATTGTTTTTAAGGACCTTCTGGAGCCTGGTACCCCTACTGCAGGGGTTCTCAACCTTGGCAACTTTAAGACTTGTGGACTTCAATTCCCAGAATTGAAGTCCACAAGTCTTAAAGTTGCCAAGGTTGAGAACCCCTGCCCTACTGGATCTAACAGGTGTAGAAGATGGGAGAGATCTCTCCTCTACAATTGATACAGGATAGTAGGGGGGGGGGAATCTTATTAGTATAATCTATTCTGTTCTGTTGTAGAATTGAAAGACTTGAGTCAGCTCTTTCCAGGAAAGGGAAGTTTATTGCGCAGGTTCAGAGAGCCATCGTGGCTAAGGATTCTGAACAAAAGCCTGGTCCTTGATGACCATTTTTATAACCCTTCAAGCAGAGTTATTTCCTGAGCAGGTCCCATTCCTCACATGGTTACATTCTATAGGTCCTTATTCTAACATGGGAAAACTACTAGACAGATCTATAATCGATAGCTCCTCATTTACATCGGAATGCTTTTAGCAATCAGTAATATATCAAGTGTTAAGCAATTTAGATACACCCTGTGACAAGCAGTTAGTAATATATCATGTGCAGAGCTGGGAACAGGATGTCTGGCCATCCTAAATTTAAGAGCTGTCTTGTAAGCGAAACAAACCTCCCTTTCACACACACTCTTTGGTGGGCCATCTGCTTTTTACCCATATTCTTTGTCGGATCATTAGTGTTTTCCCAGGTGCCACTTTAAAGCCGAAGCCAATGGGGCCATGGGGGAGGGAATGGGGCGTCGCGATAGGATGTATAATAATATGTGATTTTGGAATTTGGGGGGTGGTTCAGTGCTTGGCTCCGTTGCATGGCCTTCCTGAATGCACCACGCTTTGCAAACCGTTATTGTTTTAGGCTTGGTTGTGAAGTCTAATAAACTTTTCTATTTGTAACTCAAGAGTGGATTTCTATTTGTCACTATTTTGGTGTCTTAACCCTTCCTTCCTTCCTTCCTCCGCCGGGCTCGCCCGTCCTCCTGCAGGGGCGAAGGGGGGGGGAGGAGAGGCGGGTCACGGCTCCGTCCCTTCCCCGCAGGGGAGTCCCAGCCCGCCCGGGGAGGAAGGCCGGAGCCTCCGCCTCTCCGTGGGACTTTCCGGCCAGGCCTCCCTCCCAGCGCCCGTCCCGCCCGACCAGGCCTCGGCCTCCCCCCTCCCTCCGCCAGAGCGCCTCTCGGACTGCCACTCCCAGCATCCCTTGCGCCCTACCTGGCTCCGAGCCCCTCCGCGGCCGATTCTATTCGTTTCCGGAAGTGGAGGCGGGACCTCTCTGAGCGCCCTTTCCTGCAGAAGCTCCGCCTGTTCCTCTGGAAGGACCGCCCCGAGGAGTCCTCCTGCCAATCGCGGCTCTCCCCCGAGCGACCAATTGGCGCCCTCCTTCCTCAGCTAGCCAGATGGCGCCTGCGCGGTGCTGTGAGGGGATTTCCCTTCCGGCGCGGAGTTAAGGCGGGGTGTCCGTCTTCCTCCCACCCGCCGCCCCGCATCCGTCGGGCCGGCCAGGCTCCCCCCGCGGCCCCCAGGCAGCCCCTCCCGCCTCTCAGGGCCGATCCCTGCCCCCCCCGCTCCCCTGCGTCCCCCCCGGAGCCCCTCCTCGCACGGGGGGGAAGGGGGGGGCGAGGGGGACCTCTGACCTCGGGTGCTTCGGCCTGGGCTAGGACGCCCTGTGACCTCTGAGGCTCCTCCCCCTTCCAGGCAGCCTGCCCACCCCCGGACAGCAGGAATGGGAGGGGGCGGGAGGGCGTGGGAGGAGACGCTGCCTTGGCCGGGAAAGAAAGGCCGGGATGCCAGGGGGTCACCTGGAAGACGGAGACCAGCCAAGGTCGCCCAGGGAAAGAGATTGTTCCCAGAACAGCCCAGGCGCAACTGAGGGGTGGACGAAGGACCAGGGGGGGGCAGAGAGAATGGACTTTATCTTATGCTTTTGCCTGAGACATTGCAGGGCTCTGTGGCAGGAATAGCCCACACCCCGGAAGACAAGCTCGGGATCCAAAGTTCACAGACTTGAACGATGGGCCCTATCCAACCACATGCCATTTAATGTGGAGAAAAGCAAGGTTTTACACCTGGGCTAGATAAACCAGAGGTACCAGTACAGATTAGACGAAACATGGCTCAAAAACTGGAACTGTGAGAGGGACCTTGGACTCTCAATGGACGATCACTTAAATAGGAGTCAGCCGTGTGTGGCAGCAGCCCAGAAGACCTAATACAATCCTTGATTATATAAACAGAGGCAGAGAATCAAAATCATCCGAAGTGTTAGTACCGCTTTATAAAGCCTTAGTAAGGCCACATCTGGAATGCTGCATCCAGCTTTGGTCACCACATTACAAAAAAGATTGCAAAGGAGAGCAACTAAGATAATTAAATGCCTGCAAGCTAAAAAATATGAAGACCGGTTGCAAGAACTGAGCATAGTGAAAAGAAGGACTAGGGGGACACGATAGCAGTATTCCAGTATTTGAGAGGCTGCCACAAAAAAAAAAGGGGGAGGGTGTGTCAACTTATTTTCTAAAAGCACCAGAAGGCAAAACAAGATACAATGGATGGGACCTAATCAAGGAGAGAAGTAACCTGGAATTAAGGAGAAACCTCCTAACAGTGAGAACAATTAACTAGTGGAACAATGTGCCTTCAAAAGTTGTGGGTACTTTATTACTGGAGGTTTTAAGAAGAGACCTGACAGCCATTTGTCTGATACAGTACAGGATCTCTTGCTTGAGCAGGGGCTGGACTAGATGGCCTCTAAGGTATCTTCCAGATCTATTCCGATTAACTGATTGAGTTAGGAGTGGAACTCATTTTTAACCCAAGGACTAATTTGTGTGCAGAAGTTGGTGTAGTTGTTAAGGCCTCAGGGTTGAAAGTGGGGGACCATGAGTTCATGTCCCACCTTGTCCATGAAAGGCAGCTGGGTGACTTTGGGCCAGTTATTCTCAGCCCAACCCACCTCACAGGATTCTTATTGTGGGGAAATTAGGAGGCAGGAGGTGTGTTTGAAATTTTTGCCACCATATTTCTAAAAATAATAAAAGGTGGGATATAAAATTAATGTCTTTTGCAAATTCTGCTAATACAGCTAAATACAATTAGACTCAGAAGAATTTTCAGAAATATCAAGGTTAACAGTAAGTTTTCAAAAGTCACAACTAATCTTCTATACCCTTCCTTAAAATTAAAAGTGAGATAGCTAATAGTCTCAATACAACCATACAAAGAAAGTGCTTTGAACGTCTAGGAATTAATATTAAAGAATTAACCAACTATTTAATAATAATTTCTTCCCTTATGGAAAAAATAAAAAAGGAAATGAAACGATGAACAAGAAATATTCACAGGTTCATAGAATATATTCTGCCCAAATAAATAGATGTGTTGCTTCATTATTAGCATTCTAAATGTGATATTACCAGTCTGAATATCGTGGTTAGACTACTTTTTAATTTCTGCAAAACAAGTTTTTTTTTTTCTTCTCAAGGCCATTTTTTGAAATGGGAGAACCTGTCTTTTCATCCCTAAACACTTGAATCACTTGCAAACTTCTAAGGAAGTTTCCCATCTGGGAAAGACTAAGGTAACCTATAAATTGGCCCCTTGTGGAATGTTATCTAGATTCCATGTTTTCTGCTGTTCAAGTCTCACATGTAATCAAGGTCTTTCGTTGGATCTTTGGCTTACTGAAGTGTCACATATACTAAATATATGATTTCTTCTGTATCCTATAGAAATACTTGATCCCCCTTAATAAATGCTCTTTTCTTTGTCTGAGTTATTTGGAGATTTGTACTTTCGAGTGGGCAAATGAGTCCCTTTGCAAAGGTCAAAATTTGACCTTGATTCAGGGATCAAATTCTTATCAGCTCCAAGCCAAATTTGCAATGCCTGAGTTTGGAGGCTACACACGCCATCACCACAGTTGTTCAGAAAGCCCACCCAGCCTACCCCCCAGTTTGTACTGCTCCTCATGGTGTTCCTTTCTCCCCAGGGAGCATGACGCCGAGTTTGAGAACCTCTGCCAAAGAGAGCTTTGCATGCTTAAGTTCAGCTTTGAATGTTCCTCTTTGTATTGGCCTCTTAGCCTTCAGCCAGCTTGTCTGTGGCTGGGACACACCCTTGACTGGCAAGATGCAGCTGAGCTGGGATAGGATGGCAAAGGAGGCCTGTCATCTCCTGGGGAACCCTGAGGGCTTTGTGACCTCATCATCCCTGCAGGCCAAACTGTCAGTTATGTCAGTTATCAGAGGGAAGGGGGCTCCTAAGTGGGGAGTTGGTGTTCAGAAGGGCCCCTGGACGCTGGGCAGCCTTCCCTCTTCTTCTAAATGACTATCAGGGAGGTAGATGGGGGTGAGGGTGAGAGTTTGGGTTGGGATGAGGGTGAGGATGAAGGTGAGATTAGGGAGAAAGAAAGGGTGAGAATGAGAGGGAGGGTGAGAGTCAGATCAGGGGGATGGTTAGGGAGGGGGGACAGGAGGGGAATGGGACTGGGGAAGGGAGGGGAATAGGCGGGAAGGGGAGAGGAAAGAAGGGGAGGACAAAGTGGACAGGGAGGGAGGGAAGAAAGGAAGGAGGATGGGGAGGGTGAGTGGGATGAAGAGTGGGAAGGTTTATAGGGAGAGAGGAAGGGAAGGGGAGAGAGGGAGGGACTGAGGTGGACAGGGTGGGGAGGAAAAAAGGGAAGAAGGGGGAGAGGAGGGGAGGGGTTGGATGGGAATAAGGGGGGGGGAGATAAAAGGTTAAGAGAATGAAGAGTGAAGGTGAGGGGAGGGCTTAAAAGAGCAAGGGAGGGGCAGAAAGACCATTAGAAAGTTGGGAAGAGGCGAGGGAGAGAAAGGGATTGGAAGGGGATGAGGGGAAAGGGCAAAAGGGAAGGGAGAAGGAGGGGAAGAGGGAGAGGGACAGCAATGGGAAGGAGAGGGAGGGTGTGGGAGAAATGCAGGGGAAGGGGAGAGGAACGGGGAGGGGGAAGTGAGAACATTAAACCATCATAATAAAAGAAATAGTAAAATGGTTCTGTTCCCAAGTCTGCATGTCCTTGAAGGATTGGGCTGATAATACAGTATACGTTCACATGGTGAATGACAATAAAGAGTAAATATCCACATCTGTCCGTTATTGGATCCTAATTAACTCTGCCATAAATAGGCTCTTAGAACTAGAGAAACCATTGTGCTTGTCATCTAGGGCTGCCCCTAGTTTGCTGGCTACATTTGGCTGCATATTAGCCACGATTAATCCATTTCTGTTTCTCTCTCATGTGGGTTATTAAGTGGTTTTTGAGCTGCTTGTAAGGTCTTGTCTCAGCTAGTCCCTCAAAAAAGCAGAACTCTTGAATCAAGAGTCATTTCAAAAGGAACTTTTATTGAGAGATAGATTGCAGAGAAAGCAGGCAGGATCTAAAATTCCCGTGTGAAAACAACAGCTTAAAACCCACATTTCAAAATCCTTCCCAACTGCTCAGTATACAGAGAGCCAATGCAGAGGTGCAAAGGTGTTATGAGAACTCTGATCTGAGGAGGTGGTAAGAAGTTCTTCTCAGAGGCTGAGATCCTCGGGAGCTGAGACAAAACAGATGGCCCCAGGCTCATCCCTCCATCCCCAGGAAGATAATCAAAGGAAAAGAGGAACAGAGTAAAATGGATGCACCACAGAAAAGCCCCCGGGGTCCCCCCTCCCGCCAGAAGGGCAGCGTCCCTATAGGGATCTATGGGGAGCTGACACTGCCATTTGTTCTGAAGGATTCAGCACACTCTGGGTGCATTTATAAACTTTCTGCTGAGTGTAAATTTGTAATTTTTATTGAGACCTATTTTGAGTGAACCTTTTCCACGCACCATGAATTTTTAGGGGTTTTCTCCCAGGTGAATTCAGATCAGGAAGAATTTCTCATTGTATTCACACACAGTAAAGATTTGTGCTTGTTGTGAAGAATTCCCCACACTGAAGGTATTTATATGGTTTTTCCTCATGTGTGGATTCTTTGATGCTTAGAAAGACTTCCCTTTCCACTGAAGCTCTTTCCACACTCCAGGCATTTATATGTTTTTTCTCCAATGTGAATTCTTTGATGTGTATAAAGGTGTCCCCTCTGACTGAAGCTCTTTCCACATTCAAGGCATTTATATGGTTTTTCTCCAGTGTGGATCCTTTGATGTGTATAAAGACTTCCCCTCCCACTGAAGCTCTTTCCAAACTCCAGGCACTTTTAGGGTTTTTCTCCAGTGTGAATTCTTTGATGTTTGTAGAGGTTTCCCCTCACACTGAAGCTTTTCCCACATTCAAGGCATTTATATGGCTTTTCTCCAGTGTGGATTCTTTGATGTGTATAAAACCTTTTCCTCCAATTGAAGCTTTTTCCACATTCCATGCATTTATAGGTTTTCTCTTCTAAGCAGATTCTTTGATATGTATAAAGGCTTTCCTTCTGATTGAAGCTCTTTCCACGCTCCAGGCGTTTATGTGGTTTTTCTCCTGAATGGATTCTTTGATGTGTATCAAGGTGTTCCCTCCGAATGAAGCTCTTTCCACACTCCAGGCATTTATATTTTTTTCTCCAATGTGAATTCTTTGATGTCTATAAAGGTTTCCCCTCTGACTGAAGCTCTTTCCACACTCCAGGCACTTATAGGGTCTCTCTCCAGTGTGAATTCTTTGATGTCTATAAAGAGTACTTTTCACACTGAAACACTTTCCACACTTCAGGCATTTATGGGGTTTGTCTCCCGTGTGAATTCTTTGATGATTATAAAGGTTTCCCCTCAGACTGAAGCTCTTTTCACACTGCAGGCACTCATAAGGTTTCTCTCCAGTGTGAATTCTTTGATGATCATAAAGATATACACTCCGACTGAAGCTCTTTCCACACTCCAGGCATTTATGCAGTTTTTCTCCTGTGTGGATCCTTTGATGTAGATAAAGTCTGCTCCTCTGACTGAAGCTCTTTCCACACTCCATGCATTTATGCGGTTTTTCTCCTGTGTGGCTCCTTTGATGTACATAAAGGCTGTTTCTCGAACTGAAACTCTTTCCACACTCCAGGCATTTATGCAGTTTTTCTCCTGTGTGGCTCCTTTGATGTGCATAAAGGTTCCCCCTCTGACTGAAGCATTTTCCACACTCCAGACATTTATGTGGTTTCTCTCCAGTGTGAATTCTTTGATGTTGATGTAGAGCTTCATTCACAGTAAAGCTCTTTCCACACTCCAGGCATTTGTATGTTTTTTCTCCAGTGTGAATTCTTTGATGTCTATAAAGGTTTCCACTCTGACTAAAGGTCTTTCCACACTCCAGGCATTTATGCGGTTTCTCTCCTGAGTGGATTCTTTGATGTGCATAAAGGTTGCTCCGCAGACTGAAGCTCTTTCCACACTCCAGGCATTTATATGGCTTTTCTCCAGTGTGGATTCTTTGATGTCTATAAAGGTCTCCACTCTGACTAAAGCTCTTTCCACACTCCAGGCATTTATATGGCTTTTCTCCAGTGTGGATTCTTTGATGTGTATAGAACCTTTCCCTCCAATTGAAGCTCTTTGCACATTCCATCCATTTATGAGGTTTCTCTCCTAAGCGGACTCTTTGATATATATAAAGGCTTTCCTTCTGATTGAAGCTCTTTCCACGCTCCAGGCGTTTATGCGGTTTTTCTCCTGAATGGATTCTTTGATGTGTATTAAGGTGTTCCCTCTGACTGAAGCTCTTTCCACACTCCAGACATTTATGCGGTTTTTCTCCTGAATGGATCCTTTGATGTCTATAAAGGTGTCCCCTCAGACTGAAGCTCTTTCCACACTCCAGGCATTTATGTGGTTTTTCTCCTGTGTGGCTCCTTTGATGTGCATAAAGGCTGCATCTATGACTGAAGCTCTTTCCACACTCCAGGCATTTATGCAGTTTTTCTCCTGTGTGGCTCCTTTCATGTACATAAAGGCTTCCCCTGTGACTGAAGTATTTTCCACACTCCAGACATTTATGTGGTTTCTCTCCAGTGTGGATTCTTTGATGTTGACGTAAGTGTCCACTCTGAGTAAAGCTCTTTCCACATTCTAGGCATTTGTATGGTTTTTCTCCAGTGTGGATCCTTTGATGTCTATAAAAGTTGCTAATCTGACAGAAGCTCTTTCCACACTCCAGGCATTTATGCAGTTTTTCTCCAGTGTGGCTCCTTTGATGTGAATAAAGGCTGCATCTATGACTGAAACTCTTTCCACACTCCAGGCATTTATGCAGTTTTTCTCCTGTGTGGCTCCTTTCATGTACATAAAGGCTTCCCCTGTGACTGAAGTATTTTCCACACTCCAGACATTTATGTGGTTTCTCTCCAGTGTGGATTCTTTGATGTTGACGTAAGTTTCCACTCTGAGTAAAGCTCTTTCCACATTCTAGGCATTTGTATGGTTTTTCTCCAGTGTGGATCCTTTGATGTCTATAAAGGTGGCTACTCTGACAGAAGCTCTTTCCACACTCCAGGCATTTGTATGGTTTTTCTCCAGTGTGAATCTTTTGATGTCTATAAAGGTTTTGCCTCAGACTGAAGCTCTTTCCACACTCCAGGCATCCATACGGTCTTTCTCCTGTGTGGATTCTTAGATGGATTTCAAGAGCTTCATTTCTTTTGAAGGATTTTCCACATTCCGGGCATTCATATTTCTCTCCTCTCTCTTGGATTCTCTGGGGATTCCCGGGTCTTCCGCCTCCTCTGAAGGACCCTCCGCCCTCCAGGCCCGTCTCGGGGTCTCCGCCCGTTTCCTGCTCCCCGCTTCTCCCTCCAGGCGGCCTCCTTTCCCGGAGTCCCCTTCGGCTCATCCCTGCCGGGCCTTCCCCGCCGTCTCCTCCCGGGGCTGCTCCGCGGGGCCTCCTCTCCTCTCGGGCGGCGCCTCCTTCCTTCCTTCTTTCCTCCGCCGGGCTCGCCCGTCCTCCTGCAGGGGCGAAGGAGAGGCGGGTCACGGCTTCGTCCCTTCCCCGCAGGGGAGTCCTAGGCCCGCCCGGCGAGGACGGCCGAAGCCCCGGCCTCTCCGTGGGACTTTCCGGGCAGGCCTCCCTCCCAGCGCCCGTCCCGCCAGACCAGGCCTCGGCCTCCCCCCTCCCTCCGCCAGAGCGCCTCTCGGACTGCCACTCCCAGCATCCCTTGCGCCCTACCTGGGTCCGAGCCCCTCCGCGGCAGAGTCAATTAAGCGCCTCAGTTCTATTCGTTTCCGGAAATGGAGGCGGGACTTCGCTGCGAGCCCTATTCCTCTATAAGCTCCGCCTGTTCCTCTGGAGGGGCCGCCCCGAAAAGTCCTCCTGCCATTCGCCGTCCTCCCCCGGCCGACCAATCTGGGGCCTCCTTCCTGGAATCAGTTAGGTGGCGCCTGCGCAGTAGCGACGGGCAGGCTACACTCGGCGCGGAGGCGAGGCGAGGGTTTCCCTTTGACCTTTGGGGTCCCTTCTTCCTCCCCCGCCCCCTCTCCCCCAGGCAGGCAGAGGGTGGGGGCGCTGCTGGGACTGCCACTTCCCCCCTCCCTCCCCATCCGGGGTCTTTCTTTGGCAGGGCGGGAGGTGGGGGCTCCGCCCAGGCTCCCCCCGCGGCCCCCAGGCAGCCCCTCCCGCCTCTCAGGGCCGATCCCTGCCCCCCCCGCCCCCCTGCGCCCCCCCGGAGCCCCTCCTCGCACGGGGGGGAGGGGGCGAGGGGGTCCCAGGCCGGGCTGGATTGGGAGGATTTCTGTTCCCGTCTTCCCCCCCCCGTTCTGCCCAGCCAGAGAGGGAGGGGGGAGGGAGAGGAGGCGGGGCCAGAAACGCCCCCAGGACCATTGAGGGTCTCCAGCCTTGGGGGAGCTTTGAGGCTTCTGGACTTCAACTCCCAGAATTCCTCTTGCCAAGGTTGGGGACCTCTGACCTCGGGTGCTTCGGCCTGGGATAGGACGCCCTGTGACCTCTGAGGCTCCTCCCCCTTCCAGGCAGCCTGCCCACCCCCGGACAGCAGCCATGGGAGGGGGCGGGAGGGCGTGGGAAGAGACGCTGCCTTGGCCGGGAAAGAAAGGCCGGGATGCAGGGGGGTCACCTGGAAGACGGAGACCAGCCAAGGTCGCCCAGGGAAAGAGATTGTTCTCAGAACAGCCCAGGCGCAACTGAGGGGGGGACAAAGGGCATGGGGGAGAGGGGGGGGGAGAGAATGGACTTTATCTTATGCTAATATGCTAATCGTGGCTAATATACCGCCAAATGTAGCCAGCAAACTCAGTGCAACCCCAGATGACATGCACAACGGTTTCTCTAGTGCAGTGTTTCCCAAAGTTGACAATTTTAAGGCATGTGGACTTCAACTCCCAGAATTCCACAGCCAGCAACGCTGGCTGTGGAATTCTGGAAGTTGAAGTCCACATGCCTTAAAATTGTCAACTTTGGGAAACACTGCTCTAGTGCAGGCATGTCAAAACTGCCAGCCCATGGACCGGATGCGTCAAAGCAAAACTGCACTCACCCCATTGCCGGCAATGGCAAAAAAAAGCCGCGCTACGTCGCAACACATCACACCACGTGGTGAGTTTGACACCCCTGCTCTAGTGCTAAGAACCTCCTCAAATATTCATCACTGAACTAATTATGATCCAATAAGGAAGAGATGTGGATACTTACTCTTTATTGCCATTCGACTTGTGAGCATATACAGTATTATCAGCCCAAACGTTCAAGGATATGCAGTCTTGGGAACAGACCCCTTTTACTATTTCTTTTATTATGATGGTTTAATGTCCTAACTTGTGAGACATAATAGTTTAATGTGAATCACACTACATTTTTTTAAGCGGTTTGTCCGATATTTCTTACAAAATAATCCACATTCTTGCAAATTCTTCGAAGGATGCGCAAACCTATGAGTGCAAGTGTATTCAATTGCACTCACTGTTACTATCACAAAGATATTCACTCCATCGTTGGAACAATGTGGCTGTAAAGTACGTGTGGCCGTCAACTCAAAATTTCAGTGCTGCGGGAAATACATTCCTTGCCTTGGCCATGAAAGAGTCCTCTGTGCTAATTCTTTCATGTAATCAATGAGGGTTTTCCAAATGCCTCTAGCATCTAGGACCGTCCAAGATATTTAAAATTCTAAAGTTGTCATTTGGATGTCCTCAGTGTTCTATTTATACTGTTTTGGCTTTTTAATAAAAAAACACTACAACTGTCAAGGTATTGATTTAATAGTAAACAGCCTATATAATGTAATGAAAGGTGTATGATGCAATGATGGGGATGACTCAGCAGGGTCTGTGTCCCTATAAGAGCCTTAGTATAAAAGGAAGGCTTTTACTAGAGTGTTTTTCTCTTCTTCCGTTTGCTGCTGTGATTGCTGTTTGCTGGATCTTGCTGTATTACCACGTATATGTATATTTGTTCCTGGTGTATGATATTGTAGATAGTGTAAGATAAACCATCGTTTGATACAAGCTTGTTTACTGTGTTTACTCCTGGGTTATCTCACGGAATAAGACTTTGAACGGTCTGACAGAAACTTTCTAAGGCCAACTAGGGTTGTGAAATAATGATGTCATTGAATATAAGAGTACACCTGGTCCCACTGAGTGAGGCAGGTGTAAATTGGAGACAGATGACCTGTTGGGGAATGTAGGTTAAAGTCTGCAAAGGCCATATCTACAGGTAATCCCTGAGTTAACGCTCATTCAAAGCTACATGATGAGTGCCCCCTAGTGTTTACAAGCAATTCCCAAAATTACAAGTATTGCAGCACCACAGCAGTCATTCCTTACAAACGACCACATTAGCTCTGCAACATCCGAGTTATTCCTTCCCTCTTCGCCCCAGCTGCAGGTCTCCCTAGGCACCAGGCCTTCAGTACTCACCCTGTGAAGACGGAGAAGCTTCGCCTTCGGTGTGTTTGCAGAGAATGGAGGCCTAAAATAACGTTAAGATGACGCAAGATCAGTGGAGCGAGATCTCACACTACTGATCTCATGGTTCTTTAGACCTCTATTCTCTACAACAGAGAACCAAACCAAAGCCGGGGGACACTTTGACGTGCCTCTGGAAGCTGGATCGGGGCTCCGGAAACCTGGAAAAGGCCTCTGCCGCCCAGATCTATGGCCATGGAGCCATTTTGCGCCTCCCCCCCCCATGGCCCCATCCAGGCTCCAGAAGACCTCTGGAGCTAAGATCTGGGGTTGCAGAGCCATTTTGGAGCCCCCGGTGGCCCAGTCTAGGCTCTGGAGGCCTTTTCCAAGCCTTCAGAGCCCGGATCCTTGGCCGCGGAGCCATTTTGCAGCTCCCCTGCGGCCTGATCAGGAGTCCAGATCGGACCACGGGTGGGGGTGGGGGCACAAAATCGCTCTGCGGCCATAGATCTGGGTCTGGAGGTCTTTTGCAGGCCTCCAGAGCCCAGATCAGGCTGCGGGAGTCCCGCAAAATCGATCCGCAGCCATGGATCCAGTCTCTGGAGGCTTGGAAAAAGCCTCCGAAGCTTGTCCTGCTAACATCTCTCTTACCAGATGGCCAGAAATAAAATCCAGTCTTATGAAACAAAGATTTTAATGCAAGAGAGAGAAATTCAACTCTGCCCATTATATGCTTGCTCACGCACAGGTCTATAGGGATTCAACTGAAGCAGCTGTCTGAGAAACATAACTACATTTGCTTCCTTTCTGCACGAGTAGCTGGCTGTGACCGTGTATCACTCTGGAGAGCAAAATGAGAAACCCAAATAGCTTCCTCAAGGACTTCCTCAATTCAACATGGCAGCTGCCAATAACTTCTCCTTTCCCTGAAGCTCACTCCCATCACTGGGTCGAAGTATCTCTGGGAGTTGGTGCAAACGGTCTCCTCGGGAGAAGCAGCTCCAGGAGAAGGACGCCTGCAAGAAGGGAGCTGTCGAAAAGTCCTATGAGTTGCAGGGCTGTGTCTCGGCTGCAGTCACACAACACACTTGGTTCCACCCTGTGGTTAACCAAACACAGAAAGTGACATGCCCCAACAAAACAAACCCTTATCCTGGCTTAACACCAGATCTAGCACGTTGGCGCAGTCCCACTGTCACAGATAAGAGCAAAAAATTTGCCGCACAGTGCGGGTATTCACAATGCAGTTAGACAACTAGGACTCATGCCAGGTCAACCTCCTCAAGTTGCCACCCCCCAAAGTCCCAGAATTCTGAGTGTTGACCATGCCGGCTGGGAAATTCTGGAAGCCACAACCACAAACCCTGTGTGGTTATGCCAGATTGGGGAAGGCTGCTTTAGAAGGCCAATTTCCCTGCATCCAAAGTCAGGAGATGTTGCCTATCATGTGGTCAGAAATGCAGCAGAAATCTTCGCGTTGGAGTTTAGGAATAAAGAGAACCGTGGAACCGCAGGGGCCGCTGCCATCACAGAGGGACTCTGCCTTTCTGGAGGCGCCTACTTCTTCGGATCCTGACTGGGCTGCTGTGGTCGGAGTCGACATCTGCTCCAGGCTGCTGAAAAGAAGGCAAGATTCATAGATGTAACACGCAAGACCAGTCGTAGGCACAGGCGGATCCCTGGACATGCCATATCGCCTGCATCTTTTGCTCTGCAAGCCCACATCCTCTGTGTGGTTTCAGTCTCCCCCCAATTCCTTATGAGCGAATTCAGCTCTCAGGATTCCATAACTGCCTCCCCCCCCGATTTTCATATCGCGGGGAAAGTCCAGAGATCTCTATTTGGACAATATTCTAAGCTTTCTATGTATCTATTCTACGTTGGGCACATTCTGGGATCCCCCTTTTATTAAGCAGCATCATTTGGAGGGAACCCAGCAGTCCTCTATCATGGCACCTGCCCTGTGGAACAGCATCCCGCCAAGATCCAGATGGCTTCAGCCCTCTCGGCCTTGCGGAAGGGCCCACAATCTTGGCTGATTGTCAAACATTTCAGCTGGGATGCTGGGTGACCTACTGTTGATTGTGTCACAGTTCTTTTTACTAATTACAAATCCATTTTTAATTAGAAACGTGCTATGCTGCTTGTTGTTGTTAATTGTGAAGTCGTGTCCGACCCATCGCGACCCTATGGACAACGTTCCTCCAGGTCTTCCTGTCCTCTACCATCTTCTGGAGTCCATTTAAGTTCACACCTACTGCTTCAGTGACTCCATCCAGCCATCTCATTCTCTGTCGTCCCCTTCTTCTATTGCCCTCAATCTTTCCCAGCATTAGGCCCTTCTCCAGTGAGTCCTTCCTTCTCATTAGGTGGCCAAAGTATTTGAGTTTCAACTTCAGGATCTGGCCTTCTAAAGAGCAGTCGGGGTTGATCTCTTCTAGGACTGACCGGTTTGAACGCCTTGCAGTCCAAGGGACTCGCAGAGTCTTCTCCAGCACCAGAGTTCAAAGGCCTTCTTACGGTCCAACTTTCACAGCCATACATTGCAACTGGGAAAACCATGGCCTGGACTATACGCACTTTTGTTGGCAGGGTGATGTGTCTGCTTTTTAGTATGCTGTCTAGATTTGCCATAGCTTTCCTCCCCAGGAGCAAGCGTCTTTTAATTTCTTGACTGCAGTCCCCATCTGAGGTGATCTTGGAGCCCAGAAAAATAAAATCTGTCACTACCTCCATTTCTTCCCCATCTATTTGCCAGGAATTGAGAGGGCCGGATGCCACGATTTTGGTTTTCTTAATGTTGAGTTTCAAGCCAACTTTTGCACTCTCCTTCTTCACCCGCATCAAGAGGCTCTTTAGTTCCTCTTTACTTTCTGCCATTAGAGTGGTATCATCTGCATATTTTAGGTTGTTGATATTTCTCCCGGCAATCTTAATTCCAACTTTTGTTTCATCTAGCCCTGCCTTTCTCATGATGTGCTCTGCATATAAGTTAAATAGGCAGGGCAACAGTATACAGCCTTGCTGGACTCCTTTTCCAATTTTGAACCAATCAGTGGTTCCGTGTCCAGTTCTCACTGTTGCTTCTTGACCCACATATAGGTTTCTCAAGAGACAAAATTTGTATTATGTTGCTTTCTTCTTTGGGGTTTTGTTCCTCGTTTCTCCCCATCTCAATTTATAGGTACAGCCCTAAACTGTGCATTTATGCTATCACAGGTCTAGTTAGGAAAAAATCCCCATTAAAATCAAAGGGCCTGGAGACTAAAACATGTGAAGAGCAGCTGCAGGACTTGGGTTTGGCTAGTCCAAAGAAAGGAAAAAACAGGGGTGACATGATAGCCGTGTTCCAGTATTTGAGGGGCTGCCACAAAGAAGAGGGGGTCAAATTATTTTCCAAAGCACCAGAGGGCAAGACAAGAAACAATGGTTGGAAACTAATCGAAGATACAAGCAACCTAGAATTAAGGAGAAAGTTCCTAACAGTGAGAACAATTAACCAGTCGAACAGCATGCCACGAGAAGTTGTGGGTGCTCCATCACTGAAGGTCTTTAAGAAGAGGTTAGAAGAAGCTAGAGTCGCTAGACAGACACTTTGAAATTGTATAGATTCTCCTGCTTGAACAGGGGGCTGAACTAGAAGACCTCCAAGGTCACTTCCAACTCTGCTATTCTATTCTACTGTATCCTGTTCTATTACGTTCTATTTTCTATTCTATATTCTATTCCAGGGGTGTCAAACTTGCAACGTCATGTGATGTGTCGCGACATACCGTGACTTTTTCCTCATTGCCGGCAATGGGGTGGGCACAGTTTCTGTTCTGTTCTATTCTATTTTCTATTCTATTCTATTCTATTCTATTCTATATTCTATTCCAGGGGTGTCAAACTTGCAACGTCATGTGATGTGTTGTGACACATCGCGACTTTTTCCTCATTGCCGGTGCAGTTTCTGTTCTGTTCTATTTTCTATTCTGTTCTGTTCCATATTCTATTCTATATTCTATTCCAGGGGTGTCAAACTTGCGACATCATGTGATGTGTCGCGACATATCGCGACTTTTTCCTCATTGCCGGCAATGGGGTGGGCAGTTTCTGTTCTGTTCTATTCTATTCTATATTCTATTCTAGGGGTGTCAAACTTGCAACATGTGATGTGTTGTGACACATTGCGACTTTTTCCTCATTGCCGGTGCAGTTTCTGTTCTGTTCTATTTTCTTTTCTTTTCTTTTTTCTTTTCTTTTCTATTCTATTCTGTTCCATATTCTATTCCAAGGGTGTCAAACTTGCGACATCATGTGATGTGTCGCGACATATCGCGACTTTTTCCTCATTGCCGGCAATGGGATGGGAGCGGTTTCGGTGTGACACTTCCGGCCCACAAGCCAGCAGTTTGACACCTCTATTCTGTTCTATATTCTATTCCTTTCTATTAATCCCTCTTCCTCTTCCTAATCTCATCTAATCTCTTTTAACGATTCTCACCACCAAGATTACCTCCAGTTCCTCATTGGCCTCCGTTGTCTCAGCAGGGGCCTCTCCGAGTGCCTCGTGAGGATCTCTCTCAGCCTCCTCCTCCTCTCCTCCTTCTTCCTCTCCCTCTTCCAAAGACGAGCTGGAATCTTCTTCCTGGCTGCTCTCCCACCACCTGTCCCCCGAGAGGGTCGTGTTCATCCGGGGAGGGGGCAGCGCAGCCAGAGCAGCTGGGAAACTGAAGGCCGCCAAGAACCGTCCTCTCAGGAGCCGATAGGCAGGGTTGTCCTGGAGCTTCTGGCGCACCAACTGCCTCAGGGCCTCCAGGTCTGGCTGGCTGGGCTCTGCCCGCTGCCCTTCGGGGGCCAGAAGGGAGGCAGCGCTGTGCTCCAGGGACTGTTTGTTCAGCAGCAACGCCGAGAGGGTTTTCAAACTGCAGAGAAACGGGGGCAAATATGGCAGGCCCCTTCCCAGCGAGGGAACCCTCACCTCCCGGCCCACCTTGGCCCACGCTTTCACTGTCGGCTCTGCTTCTAGAGAAAGGAGGCGAGAAAGGGGGAAGGCCGTGCCCTCCTGGGGTGGACGGGGCATGGGGCAGGCCCGCGGAAAGGGCAGTGCTGGGTCAGAAGGGCTATTTCGCACGGCCGAGTCTTGATGCGCCTGGGGCGGGGGCAAAGCCTCTGAGCTGGAGGTGCTGGCTGCAGTCCCCCCAGAGACAGTGCAAGGCAAGGAAGGTGCCCCGGCGCCAGCAGGGACTGAAGAGCACCCTGGCTCCGCGGAGTTCCCAAGAAGCGGCAGAGGAGGAGGAGGAGGGGGACCTTCCGTCGGCCGAGCGCTTGCTTCGTTCTGTGGGCAGCTGGAAGGAAGGCCCACTTGTACTGGGGGTCCCTCTGCCACCGGAACCCCCCCAGTCGGGGTGGGGATCTTGACCAAAGTCTCTGCAGACTGGCTAGGAGCACCAGAGCCACTGGCCAGCGGCTTTCCTTGACTGGGGATGCTCACCAGGGTGACTGGGAGAAGGCCTTGGGGGGTCAGCACCCAGCTGATGGGCAAGGTGGGTTGGGCAACTGTATTGGGCTGTGATGGGGCAGCTACCAAAGGGAGGTGGGGTAAAGAACCAGAGGCTGAAGAGGGGCAAAGCGTGTCTGCCAGGGTGGTGTTCTCGTTAGCAGGAGGCCCAGCAGGTGCTCTGGCCACATCGGGATCCCTCCCAGCTGAAATGCTCTCTTGGCTGCCATCTCTGCCTTCTTCTCTAGCGGCCTCATCCTTGTTTCCGTTGCAGGGAAGGGTCCTCTCCCGAGAGCCCCCCGCCAGGTCCGTGGGAGATGCCAAGTCCCTTCCAGGCAATGGCCCCAGAGGCATGGGAGCTGAAGCAGGAGGCGGCCCTGGAGACGCCTGGCTGCCTGTGGGAGCGTGGGGGCAGTTGGCCAACGGGGCAATGGGACCCCTTGTCTGTGGGACCATTACAGAGGTAGAGAGGAGCAGCTGGGGGGCGAGGAAGACCCTCTTCTGGGCAGCCTTCCTGGCAGCCAGCTCGCGCTGCCTCTTCTCCCGCAGCAGCTCTGAGACGGTTTTCGGCTTGGGCGCCGGGCCAGGTGGCGAACGGGCCTTCCATGTGTTGGTGGGCACGGGCCCCTCTTTAGCTTTCAGAGGAATCAGCTTCTTGTTGGGCTGGACACTGGCCGCTAGGAGGCTGGGCTGAGCTGGGCAGAAATAAAGCAGCAGAAGCTCAACTTGGGATCTTCATAGCCACCCCGCTAAAAAAAAAACGGCTTTCACAAAGCTCATTCGTGCAGTTGTGCCATTTGGAGACACAACACACGCCTCAAGTTGCTCTTCCCCTCCAGGGCTGCTGTTACAGCGCAAATCTTTAGGTCAGTGATGGAGAACCTTTTAGAGACCGAGTGCCCAAACTGCACTTCAAAACCCACTTATTTATCGCCGGGTACCAGGTGGGCGTGGCTGTGGTGGTCATGGCAGACGGGGTGGGTGTGGCCAAGGTGGGCATGGTCACTGTGATGTTGCTCGTGGGGAGGGACACCTGTGGGGGCCGGGCAGGGTTGGGGGAGATTCAGGAGGTCTCTGGCAAATGGGGTGGTGGGCAGGAGGCTCGTCCTGCGGGATGAGGCGAGGCAAGGTGGGGCGGGGGTACCATTGTCACGTGGCTGCTGCCTGACACTGGCGCACTCTGGGGCTCCGCAGCCCACTGCCTCTGAGCTGGACAGCCAGCCGACAGCTGAGGAGGCAATGCAGTGGGTCATGCCCAGGAAAAGGAGAGCATGCGAGGCCAGGAGGGATGGGACTGGGGGGGGGATGCATCCAGCCACGTGGGACCTCAGCGAGTTAGCGGGTGGCTGGTTGAATAGGGACGGTTGCCATCTGAGGGGCATGGCGCATGTGCCCACATAGAGGGCTCTGAGTGCTGCCTGTGGCACACGTGCCATAGGTTCGCCACCACTGCTTTAGGTGGTCTCTCCTGCCTGCCTGAGGGCCCTCCATGCTTCCACCCCCTACCAGGGCCTGACTTCCCAGATTCCCAGTCCCCCAAGGGGCAGCCCTTTGGCCCTGGAATCTCAGCCAGCCACGGGACTAGACCTTTTGTTTGCTCAGTTCCACCCCCACGCATCTGAGACAGATGGGAAGCATCTAGGTGGGGGCCGTGATGTCCAGGGCAAGGAAAAGCCTCCTACAGCAGCCTGGAGATGTTGGAGCCTGAGGTTTGAGCACGGGTCCTGAATATCCATAGTGCAGGCTGGACCTGCCATCCGCTCTCCTCTCTTGTCCGCAGACTGGCACTTGGAGCTGGCAAGGGCTGCAAAGTAGGCTGGGAAACAGCGCCCTCCACCCCCAGCTCTCCAGGGGAATTGGAAGCAAAGCAGAAAGAGACACACACCTTTGGCATCCTGTGAAGACGAGGGCTGCAAAGGAAAAAAAAAAAAGAATCAGCTTCAGAGGCTGGCTGGTAAGATCCAGTCTCTTCTCCTGCCCCATCCTCCCACGCCAAAAATCTCCCCGGGAAAAAGAGGTCCAAGAGAACATGAGTTGTCCCCTTGGAGGGAAAAACCGCTGACAAAGGATGCTTTGAATTAAAACGAGCAAGGAGAAGAGAAAGAAAGGTGACTGTCTGGGAAGGGACTCTTTCTTTCTCCAGGCTGTTGGGCTACACCGGCCTGCAGGCCCAAAAGCGCTGCTTGAATTAAATAATTAAATGGGATTTAGAGAAGCAAAGCCAAGTTTTTCCATAGTTTTTTGATGTTTTCAGCGTGGGAGCCGTATGGATCTCCAGAAGGCAGGTCCTAAGACTGAATGGGGGGTACTTTCCAGGCCCTGATAGATGACATTGTATAATTGGAGGGAGCTGGAGCACCCACTTTCCCCATCTCACTGGGCAGATGGTCCCTCAAACTATGCCACAAAGAGCTAGCTAAGCTCTTGAATTGCACTTGGAAGTCATTTCTATCTATCTCTTTTGATCCAAAACCAAATCTCACTTTCCCCTGGATTCTGCCATACTCCCAAGGGGGAGGGAGGGATATGCCTGCAGGGTTATGACTTTCACTTCCTCTATTTGCTACAATGTAACCTCATTACAATGTAACAAATTGCCTCCTGCACTATGCATCTCTCTGAACTTTCTTCTCCCTAACCTGGCAGTTAGGAAAAGGGGGGGGGAGAAATACAAACATCTGGAATCTGGCTTATTTCTCCAGTCTCAAAAGGAGGTGTGAAGAGCTCTGGAACATCGTATTACAAACAGAGCCAGACTGATGTTATCTTTCCTTTCCCATCGATGGATTTAACACCTGGGAATTTGCCAGTCTGAACCACCTGGATGAACTGTGGGCTGGGGTTTGCTTAGGGGCACTTTAAAGTAATCGATCTGTAAGGGAATCCCTCAGATCCTGTCTATTATGCCTGCTATCAACTACTCTTAATAAAAGTTCCTGTTGGAAGAAATTGTTTCCAAGAGTTCTGCTTTCTTAAGATGGGGGATTGAAGTGGATCCTTACAGTAAAAGCAAGGAACATATTTCTACACCTCTGATTTCCGGAAAATCTATCCACTCTAACTGATGTGAAGGACCCCTAATATCACCTCTGTTCCTTTGCCAAGAAGGAAAGTCCCCAAGGATTAAGGGGAGGGTATTCCACATACACCTCGGCTGCCCAAGAAGCAGACGGTGAGTAGAGATTCCAGCTCTCCATGACTTCTCCGCTAACAACAAACCCACCCTACAAGTTCTCCTTCTGTCTTAAAAAAGAGATGCCAAGGAGATCAGACCTGCTTGCTGTTGCCCACGGTTGTGACGATGGCCTTCAGCAGCTCTGGCTGCCTGGATTTTCTCTTCTGAATCACTTTCATGCAGCCATCCACATCGATGTGAAGGAGCTGAGAGAGACAGAGCGAGGGGTCAGTCTCCAGCCAGGCAAAAGGCCCGGCCAAGAAAGAGCGTAACAAGAAAAGCATGAGTAACAGCAGTCACATATCTGGAGAATGCTATAGTTATGTGAAAAGTGTGCAGTTTCTCAAAACAATCTTTTAAGACTCTTCCACACAAAATTAGAAGAAAAAAATCAGTTGCATCATTATGTACCTTCAGTGAATCTATGACAACTCTCCCAATTTCAGAGTAGCTTATTTGAAAACAATATTATCTTACTTTCGGGTTAATATGATATTCGATGGGAGCTGCAACGAGGAAAACTTTTTCTGCATTCATATTCATATTCAATCCTATCCTATCCTATCCTATATGACCTTCGGATGCGACAAACAGTCATAAATGCTGCTTGGTTGCCAAGTACCTGAATTAAGGTCACATGACCATGGTGAGGGGTGGGAGGCAACCGACAGAACTTTGAATCTGGGTCACAAACAGCCCCCAGGTTGGTCTGCTAGAATTTCAAATGATTGCTAAGCGTCCTGTTGTAAGTCAAGGACTATGTGCAGTTCAACCATGGTTTTCTGCAGCATTTGGGAAGGGAGAATCTGGATTAAAAAGCAGAGATGCTGAATGCCCCAGATAAGCCAAGATCAAGGTGGAAACTGATGCCCAGTTATGGGCGAATTCCTATGCTGGCCAATTTGCCAGCAAATTTGCCCATGTGGGTGAAACTCCTCTGGAGATCTCCTGGACTGATACAACTTCCCCCCCCTCCTGCCCCTCCTGGACTGATACAACTTCCCCCCCCCCAAAAAAAGATGTCTGACTGGAGGCCACTTGGCTGCAGCCCAAGAGAGGCACATGGGAGGGTGATCTTCACCAGGCCGGTGCCACTCACCTGAATCAGAAGCGTGAACAAAGGTGTGCTTGTGAGGTGGGCCGTCTGCAGCTGCCTGAAGATCAAGTCCGCTAGAAAGAGAAAGATAAAAAGGTTTTTCCTCCCAAAAAATTAGCCAGGGCTAGGAGTTACCCGAAGCACAGGAATTTCTCTATACAGGTGGTCCTCAGTTAACGGCCGCATGTTCAACAACTGTTCCAAACTTGTAAAGGTGCTAAACAAGAGGTCCTCAAATTTCTGCCCATCGCAGTGCTACCAATTCCATATGATTCAGATTTGCAGCCTCCCCTGCCAGAATTCCCACAAGCAAAACAATGGGGAAACCAGCAGGAAGTCAGAGATTGGAATCACATTGTCAGAACCCATTTCTATTTCATTTCTATCTATCTCCTCTGATCTAAAAACAAATCTCACCTTTCCCTGGGTTCTGCCAGCTCCTCAAATACTGGAATGCTGCTATCATGTCCTCCCTCGTCCTTCTTTTCTCTAGACCGGCCATACCCAAATCCTGCAGCCGTTCTTCCTATGTTTTATTCTCCAGGCCTTTAATCATCTTAGTTGCTCTTCTCGGCCCTTTTTCCAAAATCTCAACATCTTTTTTGTAGCATGGAGCCAGAGAGTCTGGAGACCCATCCTGCAGGGATGTTTCCATGGGGATTTCTGCACAGAAGAGGGCTTGGACAGGATGGCCTCACAGCCCTCTCTAAACTGACCCTTCTAGTCTCCCATAACAAGGCGAGACAGGCTGCCGCTTGGATCGCAGGTACCTTTTGACTTGCGGGAAGCGGCCTCCTTCATCCGGAGGGCCCACTCCTGCACCATGTTCCCAGCCCAGGGCGTGACAGCCACCATCAATCTCCGGTAGAGGGTGGTCTTCCCCATTCCATCCTTCTGCCGGCCGGCTCCATTCGGCACACTGGCCGGTGGAGCCAACTGGGAACTTCTGGGGCCAACAGAGGAGCTGGAAGCAAAGCGTTTCTTTCTTCTGATTTCCCGCTGGAAAGGAATAATAAGAAATGTTTCTGCACGGAGGATCCAAGGGGTTCATCCGCTGAAGGTCCGGCCTTATCGGGACCTCATTCCCGGGATCTTGAGGTATATGAAGACATACATCTCTCCCCCTCCCCCCAGCCACGCAACTAAATAGGTCTTACAGCCATGCTTTTCATAAGCAAATCCCGTTTTGGATCCGGTGCATCACCCTATATCCCACCCCCATTTATAGGGGGAGAGGTAGGAAAAACCCTCCTATGAGCCCTTTGAGTTCACCAGAGGAAACAGATGTACAGGAAGTCCTTGACAAGCGATTGTAAAGGTGCCTGATCATTACGGTCCTATGTTGCGATAACTGCAAATCAGGACGGTCGCATGATCTTACAATCTTTTTGCACTATTTGTTAAGCAAATGCTGTTCACTGGCTGTTAAGTAAACCAGTAATTCACTATGATGGCGGTTTTGCGGAAACCGGAAGGGCCGACTGACTGCAAAACGGTCAGCAAAGTGGTCCCGTGACCACAGGACGTTGCAAACGGCCACAAATGTGGCTGTGTGATTGAGTGCCCAAAGTTCCGTCCCGTGACCGCAGAGGCGGGCTCGACTGTCATAACTTCAGACCCAGGGCATAAGCCCCGTTGTTTGCAACTTCCACCGGTCGTAAATCGAGAACCACCTATCCTTCTGTGCAATAAACAGAAGCAACAGGCAGGCTTGAAAATTCCCAGACCGGAACTTCCCTCATCGCCTTCCTTCAAAAGTGGGGCGCTCCGAAGCAGCTTACGTTTCTCCTCTGCTGCTCATAGCTGTTCCTCCTCAAGACTCGTTTCACATAAGCCAGGGAAACCCTCCAGGCATCGTTGGCGTTTCCAGAATTCTGCAGAAAAGGAGGAGGAGAAAGAAGAGAGAAAAAAAAATGACGAAGAATTCAATGCTTCAATTTTTAAACAAGAATTACCAGCGGGGTCCAACTTTTTCTTAAGGGAAGGCTTTATATAAGAATTCTTTTTGAGGATAGGTCAGAAACTCTACATCAGTGGTTCTCAACCTGCGGGTCAGGACCGCATTTGGGGTCGAACGACCATTTCACAGGGGTCGCCAAACAACGCAGTCCGCCATTTTTTCCCCCCTTTTCCTTAGCTGTGCTACTCCCTTTTATTCTATTGGCTTTTGAAAGCCAATAGAATAGACTCTCTTGAATAGAGTCTAATTCTATTGGCTTTCAAAAGCCAATAGGAATTGTCCAGGCTGTCTCTGCCCTGCTGAGCCCGCCAAAAGTCCCATTCTGCAAACGGTGCTGCACCAGTTGAGTAGTCCTCGACTTACGACCGGTTGAGTAGTCCTCGACTTACGACCGGTGGGGGGGGTCGTGGCATTAAAAAGGTTGAGAACCACTGCTCTACATTTTTATTTCTTTTCACATGACAGTCAAAGACAGCTTATTACTTTGTAAACCACGTAGAGAGGGCTGTAAAGCACTGTGAAGTGGTATGTAAGGCTAAGGCAGCGATGGCGAACCTTTTAGAGACTGAGTGCCCAAACTGCAAACCAAAACCCACTTATTTATCACAAAGTGCCAGGCCGCCCTGGGGGGGGGGGCAGGGAGGCGCTCAGCCGCCTTTGGCATGCAAAAACTGGGGGCGCAAAAATGGACCAACATGCTGCAAGGCGCAAAACCTTTACTTCCAGTCCACCAATCGACACTGGTTGGTGACCTCTGCTCTACCACCTCTATTCCAGCTTGCTAGTCAGCCACTTCATCTCCTTTGTGCTGGGCGGGGCTCCTGCTCCGGGCGGCGGTGGCGGCCTGATGGACCTGCTGCTGGTGGGGGTGGCACGCATGCCAACAGAGAGGGCTCTGAGTGCCACCTCTGGCACGCGTGCCATAGGTTCGCCACCACTGGTCTAAGGGCTATTGCTATTCAGTGGCAATCCTAGGTGTCCGAGAAGCATATTCAAAATCAGGGTCCCCCAAAGCTGGGATTTTAGGTAGCGTACATCCCAGGGTGTGTGTGCGTTTACCTCGTTCCCTTTCATTTGAGCCAATTCTGGAATCTCCGGGCTGAGGGCAACAAGATGCTCGGTCCTCTGTCCGTCTTCTGGACCCGGCAGAGCCCCCGAGTCCAGCCTTCGTTTCCTGTTGACGTCAAAACCTTTGGAAAGCAGGGTGACCGCAGGCAACCCTCCAGGGTTGACTTCAGACAGCTCTTTCCTGGCAGGGACCCAGAGATCCAGGCTGGGAACTCTCCAGCGACCTGCCCCTTTGGGCTGATGGTCCTTGGGCCCCTCGTCCTTCTCCTCAGCACCGTCCCCATCCAAATCCAGCTCTGAATATTCACTGCTGGACTCGGAAAGGCTGGAGCTGCATCGGCGGACACGTCTGCGCCTCGTATGACGTCTGCTCCCTTGTTTCTTCCTCCTGTACCTCTTTAATACAAAGGAGAGAGCTGCAACACAGAGCAAGCGACCTGGGGGGGGGTAGTGTGTGTGTGTGTGTTACCGCAACAGCAGCAGCATCCTTTCCTTCTAAAGCAGGGGTAGGCAACCTTGGCTCTTTTATGACTTGTGGACTTCAACTCCCAGAATTCCTGAGGCAACCATGCTGAGGGGAAAGGGAGAGGGTTCCAAGCTGAGCCAGGCTGGCTCAGGAATTCTGGGAGTTGAAGTCCACGAGTCATAAAGCAGCCTAGGCCTAGGCCAGAGGTAGGCAACCTTGGCTCTTTTATGACTCGTGGACTTGAACTCCCAGCATTCCTGAGCCAGCCATGCTAAGGGGAAGAGGTTTCCAAGCTGAGCCATGCTGGCTCAGGAATTCTGGGAGTTGAAGTCCACGAGTCATAAAAGAGTCAAGGTTGCCTATCCCTGGTCTAAAGCATCTTATGAGGCCAGAAAGTAGCATTTCTTGGGATATCTTTAAACATCGCAAAGCCTGTCCTCTTCAGCAGAACACAACCCGCCCAGCTTCGGCATTTGTGTTGTCACACCCAAACCTCCGTGTGATGGCGTCAAAGCAGCCTTTTTTGTCAGAACCCATTTATATTTCATTTCTATTTATCTCCTCTGATCTAAAACCAAATCTCACCTTCCCCTGGGTTCTGCCATACTCCCAAGGGGGAGGGGGAATATGCCTGGGGGCTTATGGCTTTCACTTCCTCTATTCGCTACAATGTAACTTTCTGTTTATTGCCTGCTGGGTCTGCTGCCCATTACAATGTAACAAATTGCCTCCTGCACTATGCATCTCTCTGAACTTTCTTCTCCCTAACCAGGCAGCTAGGAAAAGGGAGGGGAAAGAAATATAAACATCCGGAACCTGGCTTATTTCTCCATCCTCAAAAGGTGTGAAGAGCTGTGGAACATCGAGCTACCAATGGAGCCGGATTGATGTTACCTCCCCTTTCCCACGATGGACTTAACACCTGGGGATTGGCCGGTCTGAACCGTCCGGATGAACTGGGGGTGGGGTTTGCTTAGGGACACTTTAAAGCAGGGGTGTGAAACTCAATTTCATTGAGGGCCACATCAGCACTGCAGTTGCCTTTGGGGGGCCGGGTGCATGCAGTCTACTGGGTGGGTGTGGATGGAGTGAGTGTGACAGCTCTACATCGTTCGCGTCAAGGGTGCCTGTGGGGGCCTGGGCAGGAGTGGGACAGATCTGAGGGTCTCTGGCAGAAGGGGGTGGGACCGGGGCAAGCGCCAAGGCATGGTTCATTTCTTCATTCCTCACAAAGGGTGACACTTCCCCAGCATGTACCCAGGGGGTGGGGCTGCCATAGCAGGGGCTGGTTCCTTGCTGTTTCCAGACGGCCTTGTGGAGCTAAGACTGAATGTGTTTCAACATAGATGGCCACCACAAAATTGTACATTGGCTTCTGGCTGGCCTGGGCCAGGGCCAAGGCAGTGGGGGCCGTTCCCTCACTGTTTCCAGGATGGCTTTGCGGGCCACATGAAACCACTTCAGGGGCCGCATCCGGCCCCCGGGCCTTGTGTTTGACATGTCTGATTTAAAGTAATCGATCTGTAAGGGAATCCCTCAGATCCTGTCTGTTATGCCTGCCATCAACTACTCTTAATAAAAGTTCCTGTTAGAAGAATTTGCTTCCAAGAGTTCTGCTTTCTTAAGAGGTGGGATTGAAGTGGGTCCTTACCCTTTTCTAGATCTGGTGGGACAACAGGAGCGGGACCTGCCCCACAAAAGCTGGGCATTCTCAAGAAAACAACATCGCGAAAGGAAGAACTTCGCTCACCCGGTATCCCAGCAGGATTTTCCATTTGCTCAGGCACTGAGCTCCTGAGCGGTGCGGTAACTCCGAGGCGATTTTTGCCCAGTGGCCTAAAGAGAGAGAACAAAGGAGTCACTTCGTCGCCTGACTTCCCAGAACTAAAATAATTTGTAAACACAGGGCAGGCTCTCTTCTTTCTGAGGATCCCTGTCAGAAATGAGCCTTCCTTTCTTTGCAGCAAAGGGGCTGAGAAAACGTAGAGCCCATCCAATATGAAGATGTCCAATAATGGAAGACTACACTGGTTTTTAAAGTGCCCATCGCGGATAGCCAGCTTTCTGCTATCCGTGCAAAAAACAAACAATCAAAACAATAAAAAATGCACCAGATCATTGACAAACTTTTCTCTGTGAGCACGTGATCACCCTTGGAAGAATAACAGGACACTCTCAGGACTGATGAAGCCCCCCACCAGAGCAAGGGTCAGGCCCCTTCAGGTCGCTTAGTAACACTGCCATAAGGAAGGGCACACATTGGAAGAGACCGTTGGGAATTACTACCACATGTGGTGGCAATGCCCAAAGGCACAAAAATTTTGGAACTTATTAAAGAAGTGGTCGGAAGAAATTTTGCAAATAGATATAGAAGCCAAACCGGAATTTTTCTTATTGGGAATTATAGAAAGAAAAGATAAGAAAGACACACATTATTTACTACTGCATATAGTAACAGCGGCACAAATAGCCTTCGCTCAAAAATGGAAAGAGAAAGATACTCCAACCGAAGAGGAAATATTATTGAAAATTTTCAATTGCGCTGAAATGGATAGACTTACATGGGAACTCAAGGACAAAAGTGAGACCAAGAATTATAAAATCTGGGAACAATTTTATGATTGGATAGACAATAAGAGGGTAGCCAAGATAAATGTATAGTGCTAGAATAAAATATAGATTATAGACAAATGTATATTTAAAAGATAAATAGATATATAGAAATAAGGGAAAAGTGTTAATAGTATTTTATAAATAGCGAGCAAAGTTCAAGAACTATATGTCTATATGAGTACTATTACTATTGTAAAATGTTGGAAGATGTATGGAACCAGTGACGTCATATCTATGTCCAATGCGTTTTTAATTTTGTATTATTAATAAAAAAATGTAAAAAGGGGCACACATTGGTGTGGATTGAGGATGCTTCTGTATTTCCTGCTTTGTTTCTACTCTCGCTTTGATGTATCTACCCAGGAATTAGGAAGAGGGGAAAAGAGCCCTGGGGCCACCTGTGTTCACTCCTGCCGACTGGCCAGAACGAGGTCACTGGGAAACGGCTGGTTTATCACCTTTTTCAGCTCAAAGTTCTCACAACGCGAAGTTCACGCCAGTGGACTGCTTCCAGATGGACCGGGGCGTTGGAGTGGGGCTGAAGAAATGGAAACTTTTAGCTTAACGCTTTGGAGCGGGAACTTCAGATTCCGCCTTTGTACTCTGCAATCACTTTCCCTCAGTAAAAAAGCCTCTTTGAAACAATGCCTGTTTCTGTCCCATCCCAGCCTATGGCCGTCCTTGTTAAATGCACAAGGACAAAAACCCCTTTTGAGGAGTAGGCTGGAGACTCAGAAGAAAACAAAACCCCTTTTAATATGGGTAACAAACCCGCCAAATGGTCCAAAAACAAAAGCAACGCAACACAACCCAAATGGAGGGAATTGTCCACATGAAACACAATGCGAAACAGGGAATTAGTCACCGGCAACACCAACAGAACATGATCCCATGAAGTACTTTGCAAGGGTTGCCTTCAGCCACCAGCACCGCCCACACCTTCCCTTTTTATTAAGCAGCCCCAAGGCGTGGCTTCTCAGTGCCTTCTCCTCCTTTCCTGGAGTTGTCGTATTGACTCCCTCTGACCTGCTCTAGTTAACTGCCTTCGTTTACGAGCGTCTCTAATGACTTCCAGCTGCGAGTCCTCAGAGTCTGACTCATCTTCCCACACAACTGTGTCTCATCCTGAGCACAATTCGAGGGGCCAGGCTCTTCATCAGATTGTGAGTCTTGTAACTCATCAGAGCCTCCCTCCGACACTGATGACTCTCCAAACCCCTCTTCCTCCTCCTCCTCCTCCTCCTCTGATTCCCCGGACTCAGCTGCCGGGTCCACTGGCTGGCACGGACTCACAACAGTTTCCTGAGTTGTGCTTTCCTGAGGGGACAGCGGAGGCCTGGTTCTTACAGCAAGGGCACACAGTTTCCTACACACACACACACACACACACACACACACACACACACACACACCCTTACCCCTGCCGTATTTTTCGGTTAGCTCAATCAGCTTCTTTTCCTCCTCTTCGCTCCATCTCCCCTTCTTTATGTCGTAGTGCAAGGCGTGCAAGTACCTGCGATTCACAGGTGGAGAGGAAAGGAAGACGTTACGCGCTGCTGGATAAAGGGGACCCTTCCGACATACAGCTAGGCCTCAAATTGCAACCACTCATTTAGTCACTGTTCAAAGCTACAACGGCACTGGAAAAAAAATAACTTAGGAGCATGTTTGCAGCATCTCCGCAGTCACGTGTTTCAAAACTTGGGATACCTGGGAACTGACTCATATCTACGACGGTTGTAGCGTCCCCGGGGTATGTGTGATCTCTTTTGCGATCTTCGGACAAGCCGAGTCAATGGAGAAGCTTTGTGTTTGACATGTCTGCCTTAGAGTCATACAGAAAGCCAGAAACAACACAGGGCAGGCAGAGATAGGCCTGGTCTGAGTAGCAACCGTCCAATTTAAGCAGGTGGGAATCTACCTGTCTCGGCATTGCAGGTCGTTCCTGCCGGGCACCTCAGCCCGGATTTTATACCAGTCCCGCTCTCCGTACTTTGCCACGGCTTTCAGGAGCAACTGGAAGGACAAGACAAAGGGGGGGGGGGGCAGATGAAGGTGTTCTGCTGGCAGAGGAAGAGAGGGGTGTGCCTGCCCTACAAACAGCAACACCTGAGGAAATCCAGAAAGGGGAGGGAGAGCTGGTGGAGATGGGAAGTCAACCGAGAGATTGTTGGGTCTCCCAATGGAAAAGGGCCCTTACTTACAGCATCCTCCTTTGGCGTCCAGGCGCCTCGCTTTAAGCTGGGGTCCACTCGCTTGGTCCACCTGTAGATCAGCTGGGCAGAGTCCCTCCCCTCCATGTAGTATGCAACTGTGCAACAGGCAACACTTACAGTCAGCATTTTACTAGACCGGAAGATTCCTATTGCTCAATCGTTTATGCACAGCCCAAGAGAGGCCGGTTCGCCTCGCCCGCAGAAGACAATTTCCTTGTATTCCCGGAGTCAGGGGCCTTTGGCCTCCCCCCCAAATAAGGCCGGTTCTTCTTCTTCTTCTTTTGCTCCAAAAGACGCATTAGGGCTTATTTTCTGGTTCGATTTTATTTTCGGGAAATACGGTACTAAATGGACCCATCTGGCTGACGATCCTAACTGGAGCTTATTTTTGGAGTGGGGCTTATATTACGAGCATCCTGAAAAATCACGCTATTTTCTGATTGGGTCTTATTTTTCAGGGAAACGATATTTCAAGCAGTTGCAGCATTCTGAGATCATGTTATATTTGCAGGGGGTCTTCCAACTTGGCCCTTTTATGACTGGTGGACTTCAACTCCCAGAATTCCTCAGCCAGGCACGCGTGCCTGGGTGAGGCATTCTGGGAGTTGAAGTCCACCAGTCATAAAAGGGCCAAGTTGGAAGACCCCTGTTATAGGGTCACCTGTGATTGTTCCAGCTGGCTTCCAGTGAGCCAAGTCAAGTGAGGGAAGCTGGATTTATGCAGCAACTGCAGCATAAGAGGGCGCAAAATCAGGCTGGATGAAGTTCCAGCCCCAACTGGATGTCGTAAATCGAGGACCGTCTGTAAAGCGGGTGCTGCAATCAGGACATTTCCCCCCCCCAGGAAGTGACTTACTTTTCCGGTAGGGAATGTGCTTCCCGATTCGCATTTCCTGCACGAGCTGCCTGAGCATCTGATCTTCTTCGGGGCTCCATTCGCTCCGTTTGAAATCTCTGTTGTAGGACTGGAACTTCTGGAGGCACTGGAAGGCTGTGCGCTCCGTCTGGGGAGGGAGCAGAAGCACCAGATTGGGTGGGTGGGTGGGCCAGGGGTGTCAAACTCAATTTCATTGAGGGCCGCATTAGCACTGTCGTTGCCCTTGGGGGGCCGGGCGGGTGAGGACAAGGTGGGTGCGGCCTACTGGGTGGGCGTGGACAGAGTGGGTGTGGCCTACTGGGTGGGTGTGGCCGGCTCTACATCGTTTGCGTCAAGGGGGCCTGTGGGGGCCTGGGCAGGAGTGGGACAGATCTGAGGGTCTCTGGCAGAAGGGGGTGGCACCGGGGAAAGTGCCAAGTCATGGTCCAGGCCTCGCTGCCTGCTGAAACCCCTCTGCCGGAGCCCATCAAACCAGATATGTGAAGTAGGTGAGGGCCATTTGCTGGTCACTTCCAGGCGATGGTGCATTTCTCCATCCCTCACAAAGGGTGACCCCTCCCCAACATGCACCCAGGGGACGGGGCCGACGCAGCAGGGCCTGGTTCCTCGCCGTTTCCAGACGGCCTTGTGGAGCTAAGACCGAATGCGTTTCAGCATAGATGGCCACCACAAAATTGTACATTGGCTCCCGGCCGGCCTGGGCCAGGGCCAAGGCAGAGGGGGCCGTTCCCTCACTGTTTCCAGGATGGCTTTGCGGCGGGCCGCATGAAACCACTTTGCGGGCCGCATCCGGCCCCCGGGCCTTGTGTTTGACATGTCTGCTTTATTCCATCGGTTCCTAGGGACACCCAAGGGATGGGGACTGTGGTGGAATTCCTGGCTAGACTAGAGGTGGGATTTAAGAGGTGGTCTAGCTCAGAGAGATTCGGGGGGAGGGGGGAGAGGAACAACAGAGGCCAGTCCCTTGAAGCTTTTATCTGCCCGTCCCTAAGAGGAGGCAGTTAGTCTAGCGTTGCGACACGTCACGTGACGAGTTTGACACCCCTGGTCTACAGCATCCTGGCCAGAGTGGCCGGCCTTACCCCCAGCTCTTGGGCGATTGCTTCCCAATGCAGACCGCCCTGCCGGACAGCTGTTTCCTTCAATTTCTCCACCTCCTCCTCACTCCATTCCTTCTTGTTGATACTGGGATGCTCGTAGTTTTGCCAGTATTTCCTCAGCTCGCTTGCGTTGCGTGTTCCTTCAAACTAGGGAGATGCAAGACGGGGTAAATGGGTCACAACTTCAGAGTGTTTTTATTTAAAAAAAAAAAAGACAAGCAGGGGAAAATGTCCAGGTGAAATTCCCTCCACTATCCCCAGAGAAGATTTTAGAACCACGGGGCAGAGGGAGTGGGGTGGACTCACACTGATGTTGGCAATCTTGTCCCAGTCGTGTTCATCGTGTCTGTTTCCCAGCAAAATTTCTTCTGGAAGCATGCTGGAAACACAAGACCGGTTAGAAAAGCTGTGCTAATTCTTTAAGCAGCTGTGTAGGAGAATTAGAATAGAGTTGGAAGGGATCTTGGAGGTCTTCTAGTCCAACCCCCTGCTCAAGCAGGAGAGCCTATACCAGGGGTAGGCAACCTTGGCTCTTTTATGACTCATGGACAGTCCGACAGTCACCACCACCACCTCCGTGAATTTCAACCCTCAGCCCACATTTATGGCCGTCTGCAGTGTCCTGTGGTCACGCAACCCTGTTTTACGACAGTTTCATCCAAAAACGGGACTTGGCAAAACCACGCCCCTGAGAACCATTGACCTGCTTTACGACTGCAGTGGTTCGCTTAGCAACGATGGCAATTCACTCAACAGCTTCCAGTAAAAGGCTGTAAAGTCATGTGACCGACCTGTTTTCCGAATGTGATGGGCAGGTTCCATTGTGGTCATAAGTCAAGGAGTACCTGTATATATCAGGGGTAGGCAACCTTGGCTCTTTTATGACTCGTGGACTTCAACTCCCAGAATTCCTGAGCCAACCATGCTGAGGGGAAAGGGAGAGGTTTCCAAGCTGAGCCACGCTGGCTCAGGAATTCTGGGAGCTGAAGTCCCCAAGTCATGAAGGGGCCATAGTCCCCCCATGCTGGCTCAGGAATTCTGGGAATTGAAGTCCCCAAGTCATTAAGGAGCCATAGTTCCCCCATGCTGGCTCAGGAATTCTGGGAGTTGAAGTCCGCAAGTCATGAAGGGGCCATAGTTCCCCCATGCCGGCTCAGGAATTCTGGGAGTTGAAGTCCATGAGTCATAAAAGAGCCAAGTTTGCCTACCCCTGCGCTAGCCGAACGGTTGAAACCTACTTGATTTCACTTATTTCACGTTCTGTTTCCTGGATCTGCTTCGCCAAGATCTGCTTTTCCATCTCATCCCTGGATTTCTCCCGTTTTTCATTCAGATACTCAACCCTGTGGGAAAAGTTAGAAGCGATCTGTGCAGAAACCCAGAAACAGGGATGGGAACAATCCCCCTGCCACAAGCTGGATGACATAAGCCGCCTCGTCCTTTCGCATTTTCCAGCTGTACTATGAAATTCACCTCAAGAGGTACACAACCACAGCCTTGGGGCCAGATCAGTCAGGCCCAGGCAGATTCTAGAGGTGCCTCGGGTCGTATGTTGTGGAACCCACTTTGAAGAGCAGCTTGGAGAACAGGAAGAGTGTATGGGAAGCTTTAGAGCCAGCTTGTCTATGCAGTGGTGAAGAAAGCAAGGTTCTCGCCACAAGGGCTGCGGTTTTCTTCATGAGGAGATGCAGCCTCGAGGTTAGTGTCAGAATCCAATTATATTTCATTTCTAGCTACCTAATCTGAAAAAAGATCCATTTCTTACTCTTTGTGGATTCTGTCATACTACGAAAGGGGAGGAGGGAGCAAGGGGGTTTAGGACTCTCACTTCCTTCATTTAAACTACAAAGGACTGGACGTGATTCTCATCAAGAGGACTGACCATAACAATATGGCCACAGCCTTTCATCTATCTCTCTGAAGTCTCCCTTCTGCCGGCCGTGAGGAAAAGGGGGTGGAAATATAACGCCTGGGATTGTTGCTGGAAGGACAGTGGGGTGGGGGCTGCTTGGGAACACTTAAAACCTTGAATGGTGGGGGCTGGCCCCTCAGATCCTGTCTAGAACGCCTGCAACCGTTTTCTCTTAATAAAGATGCCTGTTGAAAGAGATATCCCAAGACTTCTGTCTTCTTAAGATGCAGAGTGGGCTGGGTCCTTACATTAGACATGTTTCCTAGAAACTCTGCCTGCTGTGGCTCCTGCAATCTCTCCGAAGTGTAAGACCATTCCAACGCAATGGAATAAACCTCCCTCTAATTAAAGAAAACCTCAGGCTGTGAAAAGGCCGAGCGGTTGCCAGAAAGTGCAAATTGTTCTGGTCTACACAATCGGTGGGGCTACAAGTAGCTACAAAGCTACTTACTTCAGTAGCTTTGGCTGCAGCAGATGCTGTAAGCGATCGCTCACCACGGCCTGTCGCAGGAGCTGTTTCTCTCGGCTCTTCCCTGAGAAAAAAAGAGCAGGATTTAGCGCGTGCCAGAGGTGGCACTCAGTGCCCTCTCTGTGGGCACGCGCGCCATGCCCCGGAGATGGCAACTGTCCCTCTTCAACTAGCTGCCTCCTAACTCACCGAAGTCCCACCTGGCCGGATGCATCCCGGTACGGTTGGTTTCCCTCCCTCCGTCCCATCCCTCCTGGCCTTGCATGCTCTCCTTTTTCCAGGCACGACCTGTTGGCCGGCCATCCAGGTCAGAGGTGGCTTCTTTGAACTGCTGGCGGCGGGCTGCGGAGCCCCAGAGTGCGCTGGTCGAGGGGCCGGCAGGCTGTGGCTGCTGATGGACACTATCGGCCTCCATGCGCTCGCTGACCTCTGTGTGCGGGGGCCAATGGTGTCAGGCAGCAGCCACCCCGGCCCTTGCCTTGTCCCATGGCAATGGCACCCCCGCCCTGCCTCCCCTCACCCTGCAGGACGAGCCTCCTGCCCACTGCCCCTGGATCTCCCCGGGCCCTCCTCAGCCCCCACAGGCGTCCCTCCCCACGAGCAACACTGAAGTGACCATGCCCACCTTGGCCACATCCACCCAATCTGCCACGACCACCACAGCCACACCCACCCAGTGGGCCACGCCCACCTGGTGCCCGGTGATAAATAAGTGGGGTTTAGGTTGCAGTTTGGGCACTCGGTCTCTAAAAGGTTCGCCATCCCTGGTTTAGGGTTTAGGAAAGTGGCATTTGATGCTCTTTCCTGATGGACCAATCTCAGGATGGATGTCACAGCAATAATATCCAATATTTTAGAGTTAATTCAGAGGATGGTGGGAGGGGAGGAGACAGATAAGGACTGCAAGGGAAGGGAACGGAAGGGAATCTTTGCCCTTCAGATTGACTGGAAAATGTGAATTATGACTGCAAAATAGGGGAGCGGGATAGACTGGAATGTCATGTGCAAAGGAAGGGAAATTCAGATCTTCGCATCCATCCATCCAACACGGTGTTCATATGATTAAAGACTTTTTAGAATAAACAATGCCTGGAAGTTCTTTGAAGTGTTCCATTCGTCGGAACCTTGACAACGGAATTCTCAGGGTCTGGGGGGGGGGAACGGCCAGTTCCGAAGACGTTCACAACATTCCTTCTTTCTCAGGGAAAAAGGGAGCCCGGTCCCTGGGACAGTGCTTCACAGGCCGTTTGCAAGAAAACCAAAGAATCCTTGTGCAATGCACTTAAGAGCTAATGCCCAATTTAAAACCACTTGCTTAGCGCCTGTTCAAAGTTACAATGGCACAGTCGAAGCGGCCTCCCCAGTCACGTGATCCATATCCAGATGCTTGGCAGCTAGCGTGTATTTACCACGGTTACAACATCCTAAGGTCACGTGTGACCCACGTTCTCTTCCCCCGTGAACGGCCCCTTTACCGCCGCCCCTTACATTTGACAGTGATCAGCTCCTCGAAAGACTTGATGCCTTGCCGTGCCTTTTCTCGGGCATCGTTGTTGGCGGGGGGACCCTGGGGAAAAATATCCGGCACTGTCAGAATCCAATTATATTTCATCTCTAGTTATCGACTAAGGAAAACCTCATTTCTGTCCTCTCTGGATTCTGTCATACGACGAAGGGGAAGGGGGGTGAATAAAGGGGGTTTATGGCCCTCACTTCCTTCAGTACAACTTCAAAAGGGACTGAATGTGGATACCACCAAAAGGACTAACCATAACAATGGGGCCATCAGCTTTCATCTACTCCCCTCTGAAGTCTCCCATCGGCAGAGGAAAAAGGGGGTGGAAATGTAATGCCTGGGATTGTCCCTGGAAGGATGGTGGGGTGGGGTGGGGTTGCTAGCTGTGGGCCACCCAGAGATGTTTGGAGCGGGGCAGCGTCCAAGTTGAATAAGTTAATATTGGAATGTAAGAGCCGAGGTAGCGCAGCAGTTAGAGTGCAGTATTGCAAGCCACTTTAGCTGACTGTGTTCAGCGGGTCAGCGGTTCAAATCTCACCAGCTCAAGGTTGACTCAGCCTTCCATCCTTCCAGGGTAGGTAAAATGAGGACCCAGATTGTTGGGGGCAATGTAAATATATATATATATATACATTGCTTACTGGTGTACACCGCTTAGAGAGTGCTTGCACTTAAAGCGGTATATAAGTCTCATAAATAAATAAATAAATGTAATACTTACAATCCCTGATGTTTTGTCCTTAAAATATGGCTTCATAAAATGGCCCAAAAACATGTTTGCTGGCAAGGATTTCCCATCGCTGGATTTCACCCCTTTTGTTCCAGCCAGCTCCCAGGTGAGTTTTTCCTGCAGGGCATTCACAAACAGAAAGGTGCCCATCAAGCCAGAATCCTGAGCCTGCGTGAGCCCCGGTCCAACTGCATCCCAGCATTGGGATGAAGAAGGCCCACCGTCCCATCATTCAGACAATTCAGCCGAGCGATCACCCTCACAGGATACTCCTCCTTTCTGGCAGGGCTGAGAAAAAGGGCAGGGCTGCGAAAAAGCCGAGTGTAGGGATTCCAGAAACAGCCTGTCAACAGACTACAGTTTTTTGTTGCTTAACAATTCTGGGAGTTGAAGTCCACAAGTCATCCAAGGGCCAAGTTTGAAGACCCCTGCATTAGAGATTGCAATGTCTCCAGTGTGCTTGCTTTGTTGGGACCATCAGCTGGAACTTTGACAGAGAATCTCAAAGCACTGCAGGAGATGAGACGAGGCTGTGTTCCCGAGGTCCCTGCACCTTAACTCACCTGCTGCTTTTTATTTTCGTCAAGGAGACTCTTGATCTCTTCAATCTTCTCCTGGATCACTTCCTGATAAACCAGGTTCATCTGGAGGCAGGTTTCCGGGGTTTGGGGTAGGTCAACCTCCTCATCTTCCCCATCTTCACCTTTCTCTCCACCTGGTTCCACCTCCTGACACAGAAAAAGGGAATTAAAGCTAGAAAACTGTTGTGACTGAAAACAAGAAACTCCTCTAAATAAAAATGTTAAGCTCAAGGGCTGCAGGATGCAAAAAAATAAAATAAATTACATTACGTTGTTATACTGTATTACGAATTAGTCGATGTAAGACGGTGAGAAATAGAATATATTCAAACAGAGAAGACGTGGATCCTGAACATTAGCTTTTGTGGCGAATTGTGATAAAGGGAACTTTGGTTATTTAAAACTTGGAAATTATAAATGTTAAATTTAAATATTTAATGGGAAACTAAAAATGGGGAAAAACTAACTAGGACTTTGATTGTCTACAAAGATTGAACATTAAAATAACCAGGATACGTATAAACTAAAAAAATTATTGATAAATGTAAGAAAGCTATTTTTATTTAATTGATATAATAAGAATTGTATTGGTTTTAATTGTAAGACAGTAAATACTAAGGGGAAAAGAGAGGAAATATTTAATGTAGTAGTTTGAGACTTATACTGAATACTTGTTTGTTATTGAATTATTAACTCACCCGCCACGTTGCTTTTTAAATATTTAATTGTAAAATTAGAAAAATAAAACTTTAAGAAAAATTATATTATGTGACTACAGCTTCATTTCTTTTTTCCATCTCTTGCTATTATTTTAATGCTATGTATTATTTATTTTTAATCTATCTTTAAATATGAGCCAGCAGTGTGCTGCAGCTGCCAAAAAAGCCAACAAAGTGCTAGGCTGCATTAACAGAGGGATAGCATCAAGATCATGTGAAGTATTAATGCCACTTTACAATGCCTTGATAAGGCCACACTTGGAATACTGCATCCAGTTTTGGTCACCACGATGTAAAAAACATATTGAGACTCTAGAAAGAGTACAGAGAATTAGGGGACTGGAGGCTAAAACATATAAGGAACGGTTGCTAGAATTGGGTATGTCTAGTTTAATGAAGAGAAGGACAAGGGGGGACATGATAGCAGTATTCCAATATCTCAGGGGCTTCCCCAAAGAAGAGGGAGTCAAGCTATTCTCCAAAGCACCTGAAGGCAGGACAAGAAGCAACGGATGGAAACTAATCAAGGAGAGAAGCAACCTAGAACTAAGGAGAAACTTCCTCACAGTTAGAACAATTAACCAATGGAACAACCTGCCTCCAGAAGCAGTGAATGCTCCAACACTGGAAGTTTTTAAGAAGAGACTGGACAGCCATTTGTCTGAAATGGGATAGGGTTACCTCCCTGAGCAGGGAGTTGGACTTGATGACCTCCAAAGTCCCTTCCAACTTTATTATCATTATCATCATCATCAGAATCCAAGGAGTTTACTACGGTTTTTGTTATTTAACTGTGTTATAAGTGTCATTTAAGAGTCAGTTGCATAGTTTTGTTTTGAAGTTCTCTTCTGAATGGAAAGCATGGAAATTGGCTGTATGCAGAATTGGCTGTACATTTAAAATTTTGAATATTAATATAAGAGGCCAAGATGTCTTACAAAAGGCAGCTAAATCAACAAGACATTCGGCTTTCTCTCAATAGTACTAGCCACCACATTGCTTCCTTCTTTTTAGTCATTCCTATATTTCTATAAAGATGAGCGTTAAAAAGGAAAACATGTCCAGAAGCGCAACATTATTCAAAGGCAGCCCCTCCCAACTTCCAAGGCAAAATTCCAACTTGGTTACTTGCCAGGTCAAGTTGAGTATCGGATTCGTCGTCTTCCAGGTCATCTGAGCAAGAAGATATAAATGTGAGAGAAAGAAACATTTTAATTATTTACTAAGTTTATATGCAGCCCATCTCGCAGTTTGGGCAACTTGCAATGTACACACTTCAAAAGATAAACTTGGAAACAAGGAACCACTTATGACTATTTTGCTGAGACAGCATATGGGGATCAGGAAGCCCATTTTACGTATAGTTTACAAGTGTTCCTTAAGAGATGTGTTCTCTAGTTTCTGTAATAATTAACGGTGCTGTGGTTTCCTGCTAATTTCCACCAGTGTTTATTGACAGCCATGAAGGACTTCTGGAAAAAAAATTTAAAATGTCCCCAGGCTAGCAAAACCTTACTAGCTTGTTGCAAACAATCCTTTACATCAGTGGTTCTCCACCTGTGGGTCGGGACCCCATTTGGGGTCGAATGACCATTTCACAGGGGTCGCCAAACAACGCAGTCCGTCATTTCCCCCCCCCCTTTTCCTTAGCTGTGCTACTTCCTTTTATTCTATTGGCTTTTGAAAGCCAATAGAATAGACTCTCTTGAATACAGTCTAATTCTATTGGCTTTCAAAAGCCAATAGGAATTGTCCAGGCTGTCTTTGCTCTGCTGAGCCCGCCAAAAGTCCCATTCTGCAAACGGTGCTGCACCAGTTGAGTAGTCCTCGACTTATGACCGGTTGGGGGTCGTGGCATTAAAAAGGTTGAGAACCACTGCTTTACATTATTAAGAGTCACTGTTTTGGTTTTTAAAAAAACATAAGTTCCTATTGGCAGTTTAAACCATGTCAGAAGCCCCAGCAGTAACACTTAAAGGATGAAAACAGATCTATTCTTACACTGTCCTGCTTACAGCTATGCAATGCTGCTCTTTGAAAAGTTTTAGGATTACAGTGCCTGGTCAGTTTCCGAGGAAACCAACACCAATCAAATGTAGTAAGCCTTCAGATTGACTCTGGGAAAGTAAAGCAAAAAAACCCCCAGCCTATCCCTTCTTCTCTGCAATGAGGGACTGAGCAGCCAAAACTAATATGAAAAACGATACAGAACCCAAGTCAACAAATAATCATGTAGCTTTATGGTAGAGCACTTTATGACTTGTGGACTTCAACTCCCAGAATTCCACAAGTCATTAAAATGCCCAAAGTTGGGGACCCCCTATGGTAGAGCTTTTACCACTGTCCTTTAAAAACAGAAAGTTATAATACATCTGTGGCCTTTACGAGTGTACTCACTCCTTCTGTAGCAAAATTCTGTTTCAACCACCAGACTGCTAAGCAAAATGACTAAGAGACAGACACCGCCAAGATTGCTGGTGGCAATCTTCCAACAGTTCTCTCATACAGCAGAAAATGGATTTTTTATTTATTACCATTCATTATCATATTTGCAAATGGTTCCTAATCAAGACAGCCATTCCGTAAGGAGTGGCTGCATAAGCTGTCTAAGATCTAGGACAGTGATGGCGAAATGTTTAGAGACCGAGTGCCCAAACTGCAACCCAAAATCCACTTATGTATTGTTGGGTGCCGGGTGGGCGTGACCAATTGTGTGGGCATGGCCAATTGGGTGGGCGTGGCTGCGGTGGTAATGGCAGACTGGGTGGGACTAAAAAGTTTAATCAATCAATTCCAACTTTGCGAGAGATTTTTTTTTTCCTGCGAGAAATTGATTGATTGATTGAACCTTTTTTATTTTGCACATGGCGGTGGAGGCCTAAAGCAAAAAGGTTTTATAAAACCCAGCTGAAGGCCTAGGACTGGGGCGATGGCGCGCGTGCCCACAGAGAGGGCTCTGAGTGCCACCTGTGGCACGTGTGCCATCTGTGGCACGCGTGCCCTAGGTTCGCCACCACAGACCTAGGAAGTGAGCAGCATACAAATGCTTGTAGAAGGAAAAAGAAATACAGGAGAATATTTGTAGCTTAGGGTTGAAATGAGGAATTCTTGGTGCTCTCTAAGCTTGATTGTTTTTTTAACACTGATGATGCTACCTAGTTTGGGTAATGAAACGTCTGCAAGAAAACAAGCAAGCTCAGAGAGCACCAGGCACCCATCTCATTTTACAATATCATTTAAAACCTGTGGACATCTTTAAAGGACTAGCTGTATTATGGAATGCAGTCCTTAATACTCAAGGCGCTGCCTCTGTGTTTATTTATTTCCTTGGCTCTCTTCCCCGCCAAATTGGGGCCCAGTCACAGGAGACTTGTGATGCAGAAAAGATTCAAAAAGGCAAGGCAGAGATGTCCCCCCCCCCCAGGGCGCACCTTCCTCTTCAGAGCCAGATTCCAGGCTGGAGTCCAGTTCTTCAATTCCCTCCGAGGGAACGACTAGGCCCAAACTCCTCTCCAGCTCTTCGATCTCCCGTCTGATTTTCTCTCGCTCCGCCTCGAGCTCCATTGCTGCGGCACCTGCAAACGAGGCAGAAAAGTCATATAAAAAGGGGCCACACATATTTCATATAGAGCAGGGGTGTCGAACTCAATTCCATTGAGGGCTGCATCAGCATTGTGGTTGCTGGGTGGGTGTGGCCGGGGTGGGTGCATCCTACTGGGTGGGCATGGATGGAGTGGGTGCAGCCTACTGGGTGGGCTCTACATCGTTCGAGTCAAGGGTGCCTGTGGGGGCCTGGGCAGGAGTGGGACAGATCTGAGGGTCTCTGGCAGAAGGGGGTGGGACCGGGGCAGGCGCCAAGGCATGGTCCATTTCTTCATTCCTCACAAAGGGTGACCTCTCCCCAGCAGGCACCCAGGGGGTGGGCCCGACACGGCAGGAGCTGGTTCCTCGCTGTTTCCAGACGGCCTTGTGGAGCTAAGACCGAATGCGTTTCAGCATAGATGGCCACCACAAAATTGTACATTGGCTCCCGGCTGGCCTGGGCCAGGGCCAAGGCAGTGGAGGCCGTTCCCTCACTGTTTCCAGGATGACTACGCGGGCCACGTGAAACAACTTCAGGGGCCGCATCCGGCCCCCGGGCCTTGTGTTTGACATGTCCGATACAGAATATAGAATATAATGAACTATAAAAGATGGAATGGAATAGGAATGGGACAGAATAGAAATTAGAATGGAACACAACAGAATGTGGAATGGAATAGAATAACAGAGTTGGAAGGGGCCTTGGAGGTCTTCTAGTCCAACCCCCTGCTCAGGCAGGAGAACCTACACCAGGGGTAGTCAACCTTGGCTCTTTTATGACTCGTGGACTTCAACTCCCAGAATTCCTGAGCCAGCTTAGCTGAGCCAGCTTAGCTGGCTCAGGAATTCTGGGAGTTGAAGTCCACGAGTCATAAAAGAGCCAAGGTTGACTACCCCTGACCTACACCATCTGAGACATATGGCTGTCCAGTCTCTACGTAAAAACCTCCAGGGATGGAGCGCCCAAATTTCTGGTGGCAAGCCGTTCCACTGGTTAACTGTCCTCACTGTCAGAGTTTCTCCTTAATTCCAGGTTGCTTTTCTCCTGGATTAGTTCTTGATTCCATCCCTCCGTTAATGCAACCTAGAACTGTGTTGGCTTTTTGGGCAGCTGCAGCACACGGCTGGCTCCTAGTTATGCACTGATTTATTAAATTTGTCGCCCATCTCACCGTCCAAAGCCATTCTGGGCGGCTCTTCAGGCAGCAGTGCTATGTGTTCAATGCTCTATTTTACACCTATTGCAGGTGCTCCTGACACGCATAAAGGAAGACCCGGGAATTAGCGCCACGCGTAAGAGAAAAGCACCCTCCAAACGTGCAACGTGGACACGGGAAAGGGGGGGGGTCTCGGGAGGCGCCGAGCTTCTCCTTTTAAAGAAAAGCCGCCCACCCCCTCCGGCTCTGCCGCGTTCACACAACCCATTGGCCGCTGCGGGGCTGGGTCTTGACTCGCGTGTGTGAACCCGGCCCATGCTAGGCTGGCTCAAAAAATCGCAGCTAAGCAAGCCGTGGCTTCCCGTGGGCCTAGCTCCTCGTCCCGAAAGAGGCCGCCCCAGCCCGACCGACGACGCGGGCCTCACCTGCTCAAAGCCGCCGCCGGGCGCCGAGGCACCGCTTGCAACCCTCAGCCGGAAGCGGGGAACATGCCGGGTGACGGACCAGGAAGTGACGTCACGCACGGCCTACAACAACCTTTTCAGACTCTGGAAAGAGAAAGCCACGCCTACTTCCCCTCTAGAGGCCAACGATCGCCCAAGCTCCGCCTTCCCGCCCAAGCGTTGGCCAACCCGCTGTTCGCTTTCTTTTCGGGGCTTTGCCAATCTCCGGCCGCGGATCACCTGCCCGGCGCCATCCAAGAGCGGCGCAAAACGAGAGAGGGGGAGGCTTGGAGTAGGTGCACGTGATGTCTTGGGACCAGCCAATCAGGAGGAAAAGAAACGGGAGGGGGTGTGTCCTACGAGTGGCGGTAGCCAATGAACGCAATCGGCCCGGGGCGTTCGTACAAAGAGCCGTTCAGTTTGCACTAGCTCACTGTTTCTCAACCTTGACAATTTTAAGGCATGTGGACTTCAACTCCCAGAATTCCACAGCCAGCATTGCTAGCTGTGGAATTCTGGGAGTTGAAGTCCACATGCCTTAAAATTGTCAAGGTTGAGAAACACTGCGACTAGCTCCTGCAGCTGTCGCCCGCAGTAGCGTAGAAGGTACTGAACTGTGGTGCGGAGGCTCCGCTTTCAAGGCCAGCCTCTTCGGCCTCCTTAGATGATGCGGAGCGAACCAGCCTACCTCGCAGGGTTGTTAGGGAGAAAATAGTAGGAGCGCTGCTTCCAGTATTTGAGAGGCTTCCACAAAGAGGAGGGGGTCAACTTAGTTTCAAAGCACCAGAGGGCAGGACGAGAAGCAACGGATGAAAAGTAACCAAGGAGAGAAGCAACCTGGAGTTAAGGAGAAACTTCCTGACAGAACAATTAACCAGTGGAACAGCTTGCCACCAGAAATTGTGGATCTGGACAGCCACTTGTCTGAAACAATTAACCAGTGGAACAACCTGCCTCCAGAAGTGGTGAATGTTCCAACACTGCAAGTTTTTAAGAAGAGACTGGACAGCCATTTGTCTCAAATGGCATAGGGTTTCCTGCCTGAGCAGGGGGTTGGACTAGATGACCTCCAAGGTCCCTTCCAACTTTATTATTATTATTAAACCTCCAGATTCTGATTCTGAATGGAAGGTGGCTTGCAAACTAAACAAGCACGTTCAGCCTATCCTTGCTCAATCCTGGTTTGTGGAAGGAAGCAGAGAACCACAAAGAAAATGGGCCCAGCACATTATTTCTTAATTTAATTCCAAGATTAATGTCTTTGGCACTACTCAATGGGTGCTGCTTAATTTTTTTTTTTTTTATCAGTTTCTTTCTGTGACTTTAGGTAACAACTCTGGATCATCCACACATCCACAACCTTCAAAAATGCTCCAATTGTGTAAATCCTTCCTTTAGCTCTGCTCAACCACTACTATGAACGGGAAAAGGGGTGCATTTTATATAGGTGTCATATTTATGTGGCTGCCCATCTTACAAAAACACGACTCTGAACAGTATATAACAGAAAACCAAATATATAACGGTACTCATAAGCATAAAACTATAAAAATACATTTATGTGTATTCTCATCACAGGCAGATGGAAACTTCTGCCAAAAAAAGGTCAGAATAGTATCTAATCCTTCCAGAACAGGTAACTCATCCTTAAAGCAGAGGCATTTGCTTACAGACTTTTTCATGATTGAAAAAAACAAAAACATAAGCCAAACCAAACTCCATACTTGCAGTTTCATTTTAATTTAAAAAATAATACTATTACAAAAACCTGGAGAAATTAAAAAGCTTCAAAACTGTATATTCAGAAGGTTAAATCTTGGGATACTTTGCTATGCAAACGGTTCCATCGCACCTGTACAACAGCTGGTTTTCAAGAAACGTGATTTCTACCAAGAAGACAGTTTTAATAATAATAACAATATCTGTGCGCGCGAGGACAGCTCGGGCTGGCAGCCAAGTTAAATAAGAAATATATTCCTGACTAGACTTTTAAAGCAATCTCTAAATGAGCAACCAGCCAGTGAAGTGTGAAAATATTTGGTTATCTTTGCACATTATGAAATAACTTTCCGTTGATCAATCCAGAGGTTAATAACTCAAGAGCTGCAACTTTCTTAACAGTCTCAGAAGTTAAAGATCACAGCACAAAGCCATTGAAAAATCCAGCTTCCAATCTTAGTTTTCTCCAAGAATGAGAGGTAATAAATAGATTCTCAGGGGGTTCCTTGTGATGGTATCTCAGATATTTTGTCTAAAGACTTCAGAAGGTCAGCTACAAGCTGCAGTTCTTCTGCACCAGAAACCAGCTGCCTAGAAGGAATGTAAGATGGGGATAAGTGCCCTGGTGACAGCTACGTTGCTACCTGCAGTGAGTCAGGCAGACCCAATTTATTCAATTCTATATTCTCTTACACCCTGCTCTTTCTGTGGTGGTCCCTAGCACCTACTATTTTGGAGTAGCTAATTTAATTTATCCTCCATTTTCCCTCCTCCCCAAAGCAAACAACAAATCCTATCTCTTGTTTGAGGTCACAACCATACCCTCTTGGCCTCGGAGGCCCAGCTTCCATGGCACAAGCATACACACACAAATGTGAATCACCCCAAGGTTTTCTGCTCTGACCTTGTTTTCCAGCCATTACAAGATTAAGGTTTGGGAATTCAAGTGTCTGGTTCAGAATAAATGTTACCGATCTGTACACCCCTTTGTAAATAAATGCATCTGAATGGTGTTTTAGCAGCTGGGTGGCTAAATTCAATAAGCTGGATGCACGGATTGTAAAGCCCACATTATTTTCCTTAGCTATAAACGGTGACATTTATCTTATAATCAATATTATTAGGAAGTATGCTGCACAGCTACCACATTGAAGCCCAAGGGCAGAATTTAACCTTGCTACATGTAGTAAGTTGGAAGTGTTTTGAAGACACTTAAAAAAAAAAAATCAGCAGGAATTAACATACTAGCACCTGGGAAAGGCCTACTCATCATACTATTTCACTATTTAGACTTTAGCAATTTGTTTAAATTCCGGGACCATTTTTTTAAAAAAGGCATCCACTTTTCATTGGAACAGAAAGGTTGTTTATATCCCATCTTTATAATTTTTTTAAGCAACTCAAAGCGGGGAACATGTGTAATTTCTCCTTACAACAACCCTGTGAGGTGAATTGGGCTGGGAAAAGGACTGGCCCAAGCTCACCCAGCTAGCTTTCATGGCTAAGGTGGGATATACTATAAACCCTCAAGTTGGCTAGTTGTATATGCGCCACTGAATTCTAATGAAATTTTCTTTTTCAGCCCTGATTAAACTGTGGCTTGTTCAGCAAAGCTTAGCGCCGTGTACGAATTCAGTGTTTCCATCTGCTTCATCTACTCAAGACTTACTTAATTGACGATTTAGATCTTGTTATCACAGCAAGAAGATTCTGCAAGGCAACATCTGCATTTTGCTTGACTACGGCCAGGCTTTCTAGATGGCCAGACCTTAAGGCCTGGTTCTCCAATTTGTAGTTTTCCAACTGAACCTTCATGGAAACAAAGAAGCTTTCATTAGTTGCTGACTTCCCAAACGTTGCTTTTTCAGCCCTGGGGTTTTCAAAGTGTGACGTGAGCTAAGGATATTTCTGGTGGAACATTCAAGGTCCAAGAAAGTCCTCCAAGTAGATTTGTGTAGGATCAGCTTACTTCTTTATATCTTTATTTTAGAAAGCCATTTTAAAAAAAACACTAATAATAATCAGCATTTAGTTACAGGAAAGGTTGCTTTGCAGGGCGTACCCTTCCACCCCACTGACTTTTCAAATAGGAACTATCTGTCCTTACAAGGCCTGTAGAAAGTACGTTTTCCCACCAGCATCGAGTCAAGATCAGCTCAGAACTCACAGATCCATAGCCAGCTAGAACCACGGTTCCAGAAGCTGGCGCAGCTGCTAGTTTTAGATCCCTAGCTGTCTTGGGAAGAAACAGGGCAGAGGGGAGCAGTTAGAGGCTGTGCACCTCAACCTCAGAAGCTCTTCTGATCAAGCAAGGACAACATGCTTCACTGGTGGGACTCTGCACAATCTGCTGTGTGTGAAATCTAGGATTACCTGCTCCAATACAGGCAGGGCTCAAATTACAACCAGTTGCTTAATGACCGTTCAAATTGATGGTGGCCACAGGATGGGTGCTTTATGCCCCATAAAGTACCCCTGGCCATTAGAAATGGCCATTCTGTCCTCCCACCCCGTGACTGTAGGTCAGCTACCTTGCAGCCCATCAACTACGACCAGTTGCAGTGTTCCCCAGTCATGTGAATGCAATTCATGATGGGTTTTGCCAGTTTCCAGCAAAAAAAAAAAAAAAAAGCTATCTGAATGACCAGTGTTCACTTGGTGGCAGCATTTACTTAACTGCCACAAAAAAATGTCAGAGAAACACTTTCAGTCACATGGGTGCCTTGACTTATGACCAGATTTCAGTTGTAAGTCAAGGACTCTGTGTGTCAGAATCCAGTTATATTTCCTTTCTATTTATCTCCTCTGATCTAAAAACAATTCTCACCCTTCCTTGGATTCTGCCATACTCCCAAGGGGGAGGGGGGATATGCATGCGGGCTTATTGCTTTCACTTCCTCTATTCACTACAAAGTAACCTTTTGTTTATTCGCCTTCGGGTCTGCTAACCATTACAGTGTAACAAATTTCCTCCTATACTATGCACCCCTCTGAACTTCTCTCTACCGGGCAGCTAGGAAAAGGTGTGTGTGGGGGGGGGAAGAGATACAAACATTCGGGACCTGGCTTATTTCTCCGGTCTCAAAAGGAGGTGTGAAGAGCTGTGGAATGATCGTGCACAAACGGAGCCAGACTGATGTTATCTTCCCTTTCCCATCGATGGACTTAACACCTAGGGATTGGCCGGTCTGAACCACCCGGATGAACTGTGGGGTGGGGTTTGCTTAGGGACACTTTAAAATAATCGATCTATAAGGGAACCCCTCAGATCCTGTCTATTATGCCTGCTATCAACTACTCTTAATAAAAGTTCCTGTTGGAAGAGATTGCTCCCAAGAGTTCTGCTTTCTTAAGATGGGGAATTGAAGTGGGTCCTTACACTGTGTTTTATCTCCCCCAAAATTCTTTCAGAATTTCTCTATCAGTCACACTGGTGGGAGGCCTCACTGTGTACCTGAAGGTGCAAGTTTTCCTGCTTCAGCTTGATGACGCTGTTTTCTGCTTTCATAGCCCGTTTCTGGAATAGAAAGCAGAGAAAGGTTTATTTGGGGGGGGGGGGGCTGCAGGCAAACACGACCCACAGTTCTTAATACTGGGAGAGAAGGACCACCACACAGGCAAAGAACAGATGGCTCCCCTATCATATCTTGGCGGGAGGATGAAAGAAGCACCCATCCATCTCGGAGCCCCAGAATGAGGCAGCAGGATCAGCTACTACCTTACCCAGACCTAACTTGATACCCAGCTCGTTCCCACGGCGCCCCAGACCCACCGTCATTAACTGGAGGTTCTCTTCCACTTGTTGCACCATAGCCTCCAACTCATGAGCCTCCTTCTCCTCTTTCCGTTTGTTCTTCTCTAAAGTCCTTTCCAGATGCCTTATTCTAGTGGAGAGAAGGAACGAGTCCATTTTGGTCTCTAGCCTGCAGCCAAGTCTGGCGAATTCTGCCCTCCATGGTCCCCCGGGAGCACAAGATGAGCAAGGGCGCCTGTGAAGACACAGGGCCCCGAACAGAGGCAAAGCAATCAGCTGGCCAGAGCAATGGTCTTTTAAATCACTGCCAACGTTCGCTCAAAAGCTCCCACATTTGCTGGCACGAGTTCAAACAAAAAACAGCCAGGGAAGTTTACACTGTTCTTAAAGCAAGACAGATAACAAGAAAACGTAGAATCCTTTTAACTCTCAGCTTGCCTGTGAACTGCAAACTGCAAGGAGAGATCAAGAAGGTAGTCCGTGGTCATCTAGCAGGAAACAAATTGGTCCAGAATACAAAGTGTCCAGGTTACAAGAGCACACTCTCTCAAGATTTCACGTTTGTTCCCGGCAAATGCCCCACCCGACAGCGTCACCTTAAATCCTACTCCCCAGGTGTGCCTTGTGGAATGGGGCGGGACGCTCTCCTCCCGAGCAAGTGAGCCTGCCTGCGTTGTTCCCTCCTCTGCTCTCCTTGTTCTAGGATTAGGTGGGAAGGGGCCTTGCTCCTTGCCTGAACTCTGCCTTCTCTGTTCCAAACATAAAGGGCCCTGGCCTGCCTCAGCCTGCTCCTCCCTACAGTTCTCCGAAGCCACAGACACCCCTTCCTGGGCTTCAACAGGGAACTCCATGTCTTCCTCGGAGTCAGGCTCCGACGGAGGCATAACAGCGCCTTTTAAAGCAGGTTTGCTAACTCATACGTTAAGTCAGTGGTTCTCAACCTTTTTAATGCCGCGACCCCCAACTGGTGGTAAGTCGAGGACTACTCAATCGGTCGTAAGTCGAGGACTACTCAACTGGTGCAGCACCGTTTGCAGAATGGGACTTTTGGCGGGCTCAGCAGGGCAGAAACAGCCTGGACAATTCCTATTGGCTTTGGAAATCCAATAGAATTAGACTCTATTCAAAAGCCAATAGAGTAGCACAGCTAAGGAAAAGGGGGAAAAAATGGCGGACTGCGTTGTTTGGCGGCCCCCGTCAAATGGTCGTTTGACCCCAAATGGGGTCCCGACCCACAGGTTGAGAACCACAGTGTTAAGTAAACCCTTTGCTACCTTGTCAGAACCTGGAACTTTATGTCCCCCGAGATAACTTACGTAAACAAACATTTTAGGTTACTGAACTTGGAAGGAGCCATTCAATCCTATCCCCCGTTCAGCAAGGAATCCTAAAAAAAGCCTCCATAATCATCGTGTTTGACTGCTAGTCTTGTAAAGAAGATTTGACTTGATTTGACGTTATGGCTCACCTCTGCAGCAAGGAAGAGCCCAACAGCTGCCTGGCTGCATTGTAGAAATGGTTCCACCAGGAAAAGGTTTTTTTTTTTTAACATCAAACAATCTGCCTTCATGTGACTTCAGGACATTTTTCTGTTACCCGCCCTCTGGAACGGCCACATCTTCACAGATATTTAGAGTGCTATGGGAGCCCATCTTTTATTTCTTAGGATTAAATGTACTTTCTTGATTCAGGGGGTTCAGGTCAAGAGAACTAACCAATTAGAGCAGTGGTGGCGAACCTATGGCACAGGTGCCAGAGGTGGCACTCAGAGCTCTCTCTATGGGCACCCGCGCCGTCGCCCCAATCCTAGGCCTTCAGCTCAGTTTTATAAAACCTTTTTGCTTTAGGTCTCCGCCGTTGTGTGTAAAAAGAAAAGATTCAATCAATCAGTCAATTTCAACTTCTCACGGGAAAAAAAAAGATCTTGCAAAGTTGGAATCGATTGATTGAACTTTTTAGTCCCAGTCTGCTGTTACCACCGTAGCCACACCCACCCAATGAGCCACACCCACCCAATAAGCCACACCCACCCGGCACCCGACGACGCATAAGTGGGTTTGGGTTGCAGTTTGAGCATTCAGTCTCTAAAAGGTTCGCCATCACTGAATTAGAGGTTTTATTTTTCTACAAATCTTAATTTTATACTCACCTTTCTGCCTGAGAGTCAGAAATAGCTTGAATTTGGCTGAGGGTACTTCTGAACTTGGAATTTTCTTCTTTCAGCTATATATATATAAAAAAAGATTCAGACGCTGAAGGAGTTGGACATCCTGGAAAGAAACTGTTCAAAAGTGGCAATTGCATGCATAGGCAACAAGACAGAAAATCAGTCCGACGTCACAATTAAGGACAATTTGCTAAAAAGGTGAAAATATCTTACCTTTGGCTGGGATACACAAAGAAAGTTCTGCGAGTGTTTCTCGCAAAGTGCCTAGCAAACCTTGCGATGCTTCAAAATCTGTGTGATGCTGCATTTCTATATTCTACGCCACAACCAGAAAGGGGGGGAAAAAACCACCCCAAATTTCCCAGACCACGAAAAGCACACCCAGGTCACCAGCCTGCCCATTCAGCCACATGAAAGAAATTACAACGAAGGTTTGTTAAGGATGGAATCCCGAGCTTTCTGATGGGAAGGAGATTTTGAATGCCTCCCGATGATCAAGAGAGAAACTTGGATATGAAACAGGATGAGATAAACCTTTGGAACGAAATGGGGATTCCCCTCATTTGGGACCCGTATTTGGAAGTTGGAAAACAAATCGTGGGCACCCACACAGAACAGCCATTTTTGCTGTTTTGAACAAAATATTGGCAGGCAGCAAAAGTTTTTACTTTTTTTCAGAATAGCTGATGGGTCTCTGGTCCAGAAAATTGCTACTGGTCAGCCAAGCTATCCAGTGGACACTCAGGAGACTTAATACAGTGGTTCTCCACCTGTGGGTCGGGACCCCATTTGGGGTCGAACGACCATTTCACGAGGGTCGCCAAACAACGCAGTCCGCCATTTTTTCCCCCCTTTTCCTTAGCTGTGCTACTTCCTTTTATTCTATTGGCTTTTGAAAGCCAATAAAATAGACTCTCTTGAATAGACTCTAATTCTATTGGCTTTCAAAAGCCAATAGGAATTGTCCAGGCTGTCTCTGCCCTGCTGAGCCTGCCAAAAGTCCCATTCTGCAAACGGTGCTGCACCAGTTGAGTAGTCCTCGACTTACGACCGGTTGAGTAGTCCTCGACTTACGACCGGTTGGGGGGGGGGGTGTCGCGGCATTAAAAAGGTTGAGAACCACTGCTTTAGGCTAATTGCTCCCGGATAGCTCAACCCACTTCACAAGATTGTTGTTGCGGAGGCAAACACGAAGGGGAGAATACGTGCTACCTTAGAGGAAGAAAGGAAAGATACACACGGAGCAAAATTCCGTTTGCTAGGAATGTAGCCTTGTTGTCTTGGAGAAGTGAGGAGAGAGAAGAGCTTCCCAAGAGAGACACCAACACTCACTTCTTGGTAACGCAGCTGCAAGAGTCGGCAAAGGCCATCTTCTGGGGACATCCCACCGCTTAGCGAGCTTTGGTCGCCCTTCCCAAGACAGCTGCAGGAGATGTGGTCATTTCCTCCCAGCTGGTCCGGGGAGAAGGTCTGCAGCTCTGAGAGATTGCAAGAGAAGGAGTTTAAAGGGCTGCTGCTAAGCGAGGCGCTGGGGGCTCTGACCAGGTGGGCTTCTTCGACGGCCGAGGGCTGATACGAGCCGCTCCAGTCGTCCTCATCTTCTTGCAGCAAGGAGTCCAAAGCAGTTGGGTCTTCAAAAAACGGCTCTCGCAAGTCCTTGTTCGACCCCAGCGACTCGGCCAAGAAGGAGCTCTCATCCAGAAGGAAGCAGGACCTCAGCGATCCCTGCAAGCGAAGCAAAAAGTTTGGGATTTTGACCACCTCACGCTGAGACCAAAGGGCCTTCCTGCTCCAAACTGGCAGACAGAATCCCTCTACCTCAGGGGTAGGCAACCTCAGCTCTTTTGTGACTGGTGGACTTCAACTCCCAGAATTCCTGAGCCAGCCATGCTGAGGGGAAAGGGAGAGATTTCCAAGCTGAGCCGTGCTGCCTCAGGAATTCCGGGAGTTGAAGTCCACGAGCCATGAAGCGGCCTAGGCCTAGCCAGAGGTAGGCAACCTCGGCTCTTTTGTGACTGGTGGACTTCAACTCCCAGAATTCCTGAGCCAGCATGGGGGGAACTATGGCCCCTTCATGGCTGGTGGACTTCAACTCCCAGAATTCCTGAGCCAGCATGGCTCAGCTTGGAAACCTCTCCCTGTCCCCTCAGTATGGCTGGCTCAGGAATTCTGGGAGTTGGTCCACAAGTCATAAAACAGCCAAGGTTGCCCACTCCTGATCTAAACTTATCAAATCATGATCTAGATTAGGGGTGGGGAACCTTGGCTCTTTTATAACTTGTGGACTTCAACTCCCAGAATTCCTGAGCCAGCATGGCTCAACTTGGAAACCTCCCTTTCCCCTCAGCATGGCTGTCTGAGGAATTCTGGGAGTTGAAGTCCACCAGTCACTAAAGAGCCGAGGTTGCCTAACCTTGCTCTAGCAGAAGCTGTAGCTTTCCAAAAATCCCCTCAAAGGCCACAACCGCTCATTTCTTGACAATAAGGAGTTGCGTCAGAGGTCTTCAAAGGATGGGAGGGAAGCCAGGAGGCCACAGACCAGGGGTGGGCAACGAGCTACCTTCTGGAGACTCAAACTGCCAAACTGCCCTCACTCAGCAGAAGTAGCCTGCAGTGCTGCACTCTTAACCACTGCACCACCAAAACCACTGAAAGCAATTAAAAGCATAAACACAAAATAGAGTAATCAATAACTGAGACAAACATTTTGCAGATTTCTCAGGATTCCATGGCCTAATGGCAATCCCACCTCTTCAGGCCCTCTAAAAGGCAAACAGGCATCAAGGAGACTCTGCAGCCCAGCCACATTTCTGCCCCAGCTCAAGAACTTCAGAAATTTCCTCAAATAATAAGCTATCCCAACTGCTTGGGCTTGGCCCAACTCCTTAGAGAACAGCTGCTCTGTGAAAGCACATTAATCAGCACAGAAAACGGCTATTATTCATATTGTGATGCTGTGTTTTTTAAAGGTCTCCCCTGCCCTTCTACAGCAGCCAGAGGCAGGCAATTAATAATAATAATAATAATAATAATAATAATAATACAACATAACAACCCAATTGTCGATAAGAAAAACAAAAAAGTCTGGATAGTGGACGTGGCAGTGCCTGGAGATAGCAGAATAGACGAGAAAGAACTGGAGAAGATAACAAAATACAAAGACCTACAAATAGAAATAGAAAGGCTGTGGCAAAAGCAAGCAAGGGTAGTACCAATAGTCATAGGCTCCTTGGGTGCAATCCCAAAACAACTGGAGCACCACTTGAACACCATTGGCATTGACAAATTCGCTATTAGTCAATTGCAAAAGGCGGCCTTACTAGGAACTGCTTCCATCCTGCCACGATATCTGTAATACCATCAAACATCCACATCTGCCTATCCCAGGTCCTTGGTAAAGACTCAATAGGTAGACAAAAATGCCAAATCCAGTCTGAACATCTGGCTGACTGTGCGACAATCCATAATAATAATAATAATAATGATGATGATGATGATGATAAAGTTGGAAGGGACCTTAGAGGTCATCTAGTCCTACCCCCTGCTCAGGCAGGAAACCCTACACCATTTCGGACAAATGGCTGTCCAGTCTCTTCTTAAAAACTTCCAGTGTTGGAGCATTCACCGTTTCTAGAGGCAGGTTGTTCCACTGGTTAATTGTTCTAACTGTCAGGAAATGTCTCCTTAGTTCCAGGTTGCTTCTCTCCTTGATGAGTTTCCATCCGTTGCTTCTTGTCCTGCCTTCACGCATCTTGGAAAATAGCTTGACTCCCTCTTCTTTGGGGCAGCCCCTGAGATATTGGAAGACTGCTATCATGTTCCCCCTCTGCCGGTTTTCTCCCTCTAGGAAAGCAGCGGTCCCCAAATCAATTTTGCATTGATTAGTTTTTTAATTGATTGATCAGCATTCAAGACTTCCCTCTTCCCAAATGATTCTAGCCCTCCAGCAAAATCCTTCCTGCTTCTTAGCCCAGGTGAATTGCTCTGAGGAAAGCGGCGTCAGGATGGAGGGTGCTTGTAGAGGGGAAAGCCCACCCACTCCTTTTCCTGCCCCCCCCAAAACCCCAACCTCTCTCCACCCTCTCACCTGGGGGCTGCTGGTCTTGGTGCCCCCATGCGAGGAGGCGGCTGTAGCCTCCTTCTGCTCCTGGCTCCTCACAAACGCCTTGAAGGAGAAGGGGTTGGCCCCCTCCCCAGGGTTGCCAGGCAGCCCACCTGCCAGAGGAGAGAAAACAAGTGAAAAAGGACAGATGGGCCTCTATATTTCTCCCCCCCCCAAAGAGCCGAGGTGGCACAGCAGTTAGAGTGCAGTATTACAGGCCACTTTAGCTGACTGTGTTCAGCAGGTCAGCGGTTCAAATCTCATCGGCTCAAGGTTGACTCAGCCTTCCATCCTTCCGGGGTAGGTAAAATGAGGACCCAGATTGTTGGGGGCACTGTAAATATATATATATATATATATATATATATATGTATGTATGTATGTATGTATGTATGTATGTATGTATATATGTGTGTGTGTGTGTGTGTGTGTGTGTGTATATATATATATATACACATACACACACACATTGCTTACTGGTGTACACCGCTTAGAGAGTGCTTGCACTTAAAGCGGTATATAAGTCTCATAAATAAATAAATAAATATATACATTGCTTACTGGTGTACACCGCTTAGAGAGTGCTTGCACTTAAAAGCGGTATATAAGTCTCATAAATAATAATAATAATAATAATAATAATAATAATTTGGCCCTCCATTAACTGGGTTTGGCAATTCACCAGTCCTTAAAAGTCAAGGCGGTAAACACCTCCCCTTCTGCAGGCAAAAAAAAAAAAAAACTCTGGACGTGCTCAGAGGCACTTTCCTTCTCGGCTCTATTGCAGAAAACGGGGACTGCGCGCACACACACACACACACAAACACACACACAGCGCCATTGATGGCCACCACCAATCCCAGCGACACACCAGCCTACAGACTCTGGGTGGGAATCATGGGACCTGGAATCCTGGGAGGGGGGGCTGTTTCAGAGAGACGCCGGCCTTCTTTCTGCAGGCCGGCCTCCCCAGCCAGCCCATCGCTCCCCGGCCTGGCGAGCGACCCTGCGCTCCAGCGGGCCGGTTTCGGGAGGGAGAACGAGGCAGCGTCCCGAAGGAAGTCACCGCCCAGCCAGCCAGAAAACACTCTGCACGTGCTCAGAGGCAGTGGCCCTGCAGGCCTTTCTTACCGGCCGGGCCTGCCCAGGGAGGCTCCAGCCTCTCCCCGAGGACGGCGCCCGGCGGGAGGGCGCTGCGCCCGGCCATGGGCCGCGGGAGACGGCCGAGACTCGCCTCCTCCCTTCTTCCTCCTCCGCCGCCGCCGCCGGAGGAGCGGACTTCCGGAAGCGCGTGGGCGGGGCCTCGGCACCACGCCCCCCCCTCGCGCCGCAGAGCTACGAAACCGCAAGAGTCGCCCGCGGAGAACCTTCCCTTTCTCAGCAGGGAATTTAACCCGAAGCCGCCCAGAGCTGGAAGGGACCTTGGAGGTCTTCTAGTCCAGCCCCCTGCTCAAGCAGGAGAGCCTACACCGTTTTCGACAAGCGGCTGTCCAGTACCTTTATTGCACCTTGCACCTCTGGTTTAGATGGACTGAGTTTAATGTTAGGGTAAACAAAAAATGGTATAAGACAGGTTCTCCTACTTGAACAGGGAGCTGGACTAGAAGACCTCCAAGGTCCCTTCCAGATTCTATTCTATTCCTATTCCTTCTATTCTACTCTACTCTACTCTACTTCCTAGGGCAGGGGTAGGCAACCTTGGCTCTTTTATGACTCGTGGACTTCAACTCCCAGAATTCCCGAGCCAGCATGGCTCAGCTTGGAAACCTCTCCCTGTCCCCTCAGCATGGCTGGCTCAGGAATTCTGGGAGTTGAAGTCCACCAGTCATAAAAGAGGCAAGGTTGCCTACCCCTGGTCTAGGCCTAGGCCGCTTTATGACTCGTAGACTTCAACTCCCAGCATTCCTGAGCCAGCCTGGCTCAGCTTGGAAACCTCTCCCTTTCCCCTCAGCATGGCTGGCTCAGGAATTCTGGGAGTTGAAGTCCACGAGTCAAAAAAGAGCCAAGGTTGCCTACCCCTAGTCTAGGGAGACCTGAGCGGGAGGGGGGGGGGAGTAAATAGTCAGGATCAATGTTGCAGTGCCACTGCGGTCGTTTGTAAGGGCGAACGACTGCCGTGGCACGGCAACATTCGTAGTTAAGGGACTTTTTTCTAAATATTAGGGGGCGCTTATTCACTAAGGGAACGTTCGTAACTCAGGGATTACCTGTATCTCACAAACCTTTGTTGGCCTTAGAAAGCCTGGTTTCTGTTAAAAAGCTTTAAAGACAAGGGGACCGTTGAGAGCATCCAATTTACAAGTGTTTCAGATAACTGGGGATGGTCTTACATGGGGCTGACATTTGGAAAACCCATTTAGATTGTATGAAAGAATGACAGGGAGGAGCTCGGTCACACCCACAACAGTGAAGGCCAAATTAGCCCTAGTGTCAGGTCCTGCCAGTTCTTGCCATCTGGAGGGGCATTGGGGGGGGGGGTGGACAAATGGACAATACGATTGTGTGTACGTGATGGGAAATAGGGAGGGGGGGGAATGACAGGTGATGAAGACCATAGAAGCCCAGAATTAGTTGGTACCAGAGGCACCTTTTGCTTCAATCCGATGACGTCGAGGGTCTTTCTTTCCTAAGGGACCCAGTTGGGGCAGGTCAGACGCCTAGATTCTGCCACATTGCATTGTTCAAATTAGGCAGAGTTGGAAGATCTTTTAAAGGCAACCTATTAGCATAATCTAACAAAGAGGTTTCCCCTAATGAAAAGAGGAGTCAGTAGAAAAAGTACAAAAGAATAGTTGATTGGATGGAGGAAATGTTACATCAGAAACATGGACAGTAAGATAAACATCCCATAATCTTAAGCATAACCATTTGAAAGAGCATTTTATTAAAAGGAGAACATTTGCACGGGAAAAGGCATCACGAGTCACATAAATCTGTTGTGAAAAGGGACATTTTCAGCCAGCTGAATCTTCTAGCGTGTTCAGTTGAAAAAGTCCTTTGTTACTCAGCCTGAGAAAGTCCCTTATTTTGCAGTTAGAAAGTGACAAGCACCTAGATGCTAAGGCAGAAAGGTACATCACAAGGTTATGATAAAAACATAAAAGTTACAAGAAAGCGCAAATAAGTACAAGAAACGTGCAAGGAATGTATTCCTGCAACACAGACATTGTCAAATGAGGCAAAAGTTATTGGCTGGGTAACTTGAACTGCTAACGAGAGAGCGAAAGTAGCGTTAAGGATGAGGTTGGAGGCAAAAAGGAGAGAAAAGGGGGAAGTGACTCATTAATAAATGGACTTGAGTTTAATCTTCAGGTAAACAAAAAACGAACAGGGAAGTTTTCCTCACTTGAAAAGGCAAAGCCATAATCCAGCAGGGCAGTTGGGGAGGATGAGTTGCAATGTTGGCTGAGAACTGTTGCCAGATGGGCTGTTTTTCTACTGACTGGATTAGTTGTGGAGGTTTCTTGCAGGAAAACTGGGGCCTTGGTGGGTTCATTTGGGGGGGGGGAGGTTGCTTTGGCCTATTTTTAAGGGGGTTAAGTTTTAGGGCAATACATCAAACTATCACGAAGGATATCTGCAAAATACATTGCAGGAGCAGGCAGGGCAGGGTCAGCCATGCAAACCCCCAGCTTCTCCTTTCTTGCCACCCCTTTCCGCCTTCTTTCCCAAAGACCCTGTCAAGCGTCCTGCGGTCAAATGTCTAGGAGAGGGGGGCAATGGGCAAGAAACCTGCTGTGGGAATTCGGGGCGGGAGGGAACGATAGCTGAGGAAGAGCAGACCAACATGGAACCAGTTTGTGCCAGGCATCGCCAGGGGCGTTTACAAGTATCATGACTGAAGGTCTTTCCACATTCAAGCATATTTAGCGTTTTTCCCCCCTGGGAATCTTTTGATGTCAATGAAAGTGTACACCGTCGGTAAAGCTCTTCCCACACTCAAGGCGTTTATATGGTTTTTCTCCTGAATGGATTCTTTGATGCTTAGAACAGCGCTTTTCAACCAGTGGTACGGGTACCACCTGTGGTACATTGGCACCTGGCAGGTGGTACGTGACCATCCTAGAAAAGGGGTAGCGAGGGAGGAGAATGAGCTGAACCGGTGGCAGCACCGCACAAGCCTGAGCAAGAAACGGCTGGAACTGCAGGGCTCAGCAGAAGCACCAGGATCAGCGCCAGGCTCCAGCTGGAGCTCAGCGCTGATCCTGGTGCTTCTGCTGAGCCCCGAAGAAGCACCAATCAGCTGCAATGTTGCAGCATCTCCAGGGTGTTGTGATTTACATTCAGATGCTTGGCAACTGATTCATATTTATAATGGCCACAGTGTCCCAGGGACATGTGAAGTGACCAAAACTTGCTTCAACAACCCAGCAGATGGGGGGAATAAAAATCAAACACCCCCACCCACCCCTGCTGCCAATCCTCAACAGAAATGCTCACAACAATGAAAACCTCGGACAGGAGGAAGAGTGCCGCCAGGCGGGCAGGCAGGTGTCTTGCTCGGCTGTGGCTTGGGGGGCACTTTTTTCAGTGCCATTGTAACTTCGAACACTCACTAAGCGAACTGTTGTAAGTCGAGGACTACCTGTACCTCATCATTTTTTCCTTTTTGGGGGGGGGTCAAGTTTTTGACACCTTGCTAGGCGACTGGTGGTACTCGGATATTGCCATATCCTAAAAGTGGTACAATGGGTGAAAAGGTTGAAAAGCCCTGGGTTAGAAAGCCTTCCTTTCTCACAGAAACTCTTTCCACACTCCAGTCATTTCTGTGGTTTTTTTTCCAGTGTGGATCCTTTGATGTTTGCGGAGCTGTCCACTCAGAGTAAAGCTCTTTCCACACTCCAAGCATTCTTATGGTTTTTCTCCTGTGTGGATCCTTTGATGGGTATAAAGGTGTCCCCTCTGAGTGAAGCACTTTCCACATTCCAGGCATTTATGCTGTTTCTCTCCTGAGTGGATCCTCTGATGTACATAAAGGCTGCTGCTCTGAGTGAACCTCTTTCCACACTCCAGGCATTTATATGGTTTTATTCCTGAGTGGATCCTTTGATGGGTATAAAGGTGTACCGTCCGACTGAAGCACTTTCCACATTCCAGGCATTTAAATGGTTTCTCTCCTGAGTGGATCCTTTGATGTACATAAAGGCTGCTGCTATGTCTGAAACTCTTTTTACACTCCAGGCATTTATGCTGTTTCTCTCCTGAGTGGATCTTTTGATGTACATAAAGGCTGCTCCTCTGAGTGAAGCTCTTTCCACACTCCAGGCATTTATGCTCTTTCTCTCCTGAATGGATCTTTTGATGTAGGTAAAGGCTGCTCCTCTGAGTGAAGCTCTTTCCACACTCCAGGCATTTATGCTCTTTCTCTCCTGAATGGATCTTTTGATGTATGTAAAGGTTGCTGCTCTGAGTGAAGCTCTTTCCACACTCCAGGCATTCATACGGTTTTTCTCCAGTATGAATTGTTTGATGTTTATACAGGTTTCCTCTGTGACTGAAGCTCTTTCCACAGTGCAGGCATTCATGCGGTTTTTCTCCTGAGTGGATCTTTTGATGTATACAAAGGCTGCTGCTCCGAGTGAAGCTCTTTCCACACTCCAGGCATTTATGCTCTTTCTCTCCTGAATGGATCTTTTGATGTAGGTAAAGGTTACTGCTGTGAGTGTAGCTCTTTCCACACTCCAGGCATTTATATGGTTTTTCTCCTGAGTGGCTCCTTTGATGGGTATAAAGGTGTCTCCTCTGACTGAAGTTCTTTCCACACTCCAGGCATTTAAATGGTTTCTCGCCTGAGTGGATTCTTAGATGGTTTACAAGAGCTGTATTTGTTTTGAAAGATTTTTCACATTCTGTGCATTGATATTTCTTTTCCCCCTTCTGCATTCTTTGGGGATTCCCGAGTCTTCCGTCTGTTCTCCTCTCACTGAAGTTCTTTCCACACCTCAGACGTTTATGCTGTTTCTCTCCTGAGTGGATCCTTTGATGTCTATGAAGGTGTCCCCTCTGACTGAAGCTCTTTCCACACTCCAGGCATTTATACGGTTTTTCTCCTGAGTGGATCCTTTGATGTATATAAAGGTGTCCCCTCTGACTGAAGCTCTTTCCACACTCCAGGCATTTATACGGTTTTTCTCCTGAGTGGCTCCTTTGATGTTGATAAAGGCTTCCTCTGTGACTGAAGCTCTTTCGACAATCCAGACATTTATATGGTTTTTCTCCGGTGTGGATCCTTTGATGTTGATAAAGGCTGCTGCTCTGAGTGAAGCTCTTTCCACACTCCAGGCATTTAAATGGTTTCTCTCCTGTGTGGATTCTTAGATGGTTTTCAAGATCTCTATTTCTTTTGAAGGATTTTTTGCACTCTGGGCATTGATATTTCTCTCCTCCCTTCTGGATTCTGCTGCATTTCCTTAGTCTTCCGCCTGTCCTGAAGGACCCTCCGCCCTCCAGGCCCGTCTCGGGGTCTCCGCCCGTTTCCTGCTCCCCGCTTCTCCCTCCAGGCGGCCTCCTTCCCCGGAGTCCCCTTCGGCTCATCCCTGCCGGGCCTTCCCCGCCGTCTCCTCCCGGGGCTGCTCCGCGGGGCCTCCTCTCCTCTCGGGCGGTGCGTCCTTCCTTCCTTCCTCCGCCGGGCTCGCCCGTCCTCCTGCAGGGGCGAAAAGGGGGAGGAGAGGCGGGTCACGGCTCCGTCCCTTTCCCGAGGCGCCCCAGACGCTCCCTGGGGAGGAAGGCCGAAGCCTCCGCCTCCCACGGACCCGGTCCCCCTCCTTCCCTTCCTCCAGAAGAGACCATCTTTGACAGCGTTTCCCAGCATCCCCTGCGCCAAACCTGCAGCCCGGCTCCTCTCTCGCCTATTCCGGAAGCTAGCTCGTTGCCCGTTTTGTTTCCGGAAGTGGAGGCGGGACTTCTCTTCGCATCCTTCTGCAAGAAGATCCGCCTGTTCCTCTGGGCTAAAGACCGCCCCAAGGAAGCCCCCCCCCCTGCCAATCGCCGCGCTCCCCCGAGCGACCAATCGGAGACCTCCTTCCTCAGCCAGGCAGATGGCGCCTGCGCGGTGCAGCGCGGCGTCCTGCTCCCGGCGCGGAAGGGAGGGGAGGGGCTCCCCTTGAATTTTGGGGTCCGCTCTTTCCCCCCCCCCACGCCCCGCATCCAGGCAGGCGCAGCTGGGGGGCCCTTCCGGGGCTGCGTCTCCGCCCCTTCCTCATCCGGGCTCTCTCCCTTGGCAGGGCGGGGGAAGTGGGGGGGCGCTTCCCCCCTTCGCCCTCCTGGGGGGCTCCGGCCAGGCTCCCCCCGAGGCCTCCAGGCGGCCGGGCCTCCTCTCTGCGCCTCCTGGGCCCCCCAAGCCCCGCTCCCTTCCCCGGAACCCCTTTGCCAGACTGCAGCGGGGGGGGGGAAATCCCCTCCAGGACCCCCCCCTAATATCTGGGCCTCTCTGACCTCTAGGCATCCTGAGGTCGAAGCCCCCAGAAAGGCCCAGCTTTCCCCCCCTGCCCCCCTCCCTGCTCTGCCCCCCCCATGCGCCCCTTCGTCCCCGGGGAGCCTGGCCCGAGACCCTCGGCCTTGGGGGGCTCCCCGTGCTTCCTACGGCCCCCCCCCAAAGGCCGGAGGGGTTCCTGCTCCTGCTGCTCTCCCGGACTCCAGCCAGCTTCTCCCGGGCTGAGAGAGGATGCTGAGCTGGCCGTTTCAGAGCCTTTGGAACTTCTATGGCCCCCACCTCCCCACAAGCCCCTTTTCTACGATGTGAAATCATTTTAATGCTCCTGCACTCAATACCCGAGGTTATCGGATGCTGGAGCCCAGTGACCTTCTCCAGGCACGGTTAGATGTAGGCAGGAAGGTCTCTTCTCAGCTAACAACGGAGCTGGAAGGGACCTTGGAGGTCTTCTAGTCCACCCCCTCCTCCAGCAGGAGAGCCTCCATGATTCCAGAAAGTGGGAATATGCTGGGTCTGGAGGAGCTGGGAGTCTCTTCATTGGCTTCTGTGTTGTGTTCTGCTTTTATTGAAGTGTGTTGTTGAATAAATGTAATGCATGTCTTCATGCCCCTGGCCAGCACCTGTTATTCGGTAGAATACACCTAATATTTTTATCATCATTTTTGAGCAAAGAGAAGGGCTGAGTTTAATAAGCAGTGGAAGAACTGCTTAACATTATTCTGAAGCTCACTAGACCAGTGGTTCTCAACCTTTTTAATGCCGTGACCCCCAACCGGTCGTAAGTCGAGGACTACTCAACCGGTCGTAAATGGAGGACTACTCAACTGGTGCAGCACCGTTTGCCGAATGGGACTTTTGGCGGGCTCAGCAGGGCAGAGACAGCCTGGACAATTCCTATTGGCTTTTGAAAGCCAATAGAATTAGACTCTATTGAAGAGAGTCTGTTCTATTGGCTTTCAAAAGTCAATAGAATAAAAGGGAGTAGCGCAGCTAAGGAAAAGGGGGGAAAAAATGGCGGACTGCGTTGTTTGGTGACCCCCGTGAAATGGTCGTTCGACCCCAAATGGGGTCCCTCCCCACAGGTTGAGAACCACTGCACTAGACCCTTTGACTTGATAAGCCTGGCCATGGCTTACGATGATTACAGTGGTGCCTTTGGAGAGGCTCCCAGAGTGAGATCTCCATGGAGGGCAACTGGCAGCCTTTGAAGCCATCTCAGAAAGTATCTCAGGACCCATCCTCCCCACCGACAGTTGGCTGTGGGTCCTGGAAGGCTTTGTTTCCAAATCCTCAATCCTTGCATGTCTATGGAGCTTCTCAGTCATCTTGGTCACGGTCCTCTCAAAGGTGCTTCGTGCAATAAGGTGTAATAAGATTGTGTGTTTGTTGGCACTGTGAATTGTGTCCGGTGTGTGTGTGTGTGTGTGTGCACGAAGGGAGGCTTAGCCAATCTCATTGTACGCATGTTGTACTTTGACAATAAAGGCTGATTTGATTTGACTTAAAAGGAAGAATTTTTGCTTCTTAACCAAGAAGCTTCATCTGTCCTTGCACTTCCTCTTCTCTCTCTCTCTCTCTCTCTCTCTCAGGCACACACACACACTCTTCTGACAACTTTCACCCCGTGGGAGTTGGGACCACTTCCTGTTCTTGCCTGATGCCTCATGGAAAACCAGCTTCTTGCTTTGATCAGACAGCTTGGGAGGAACCAGAGCTGTGAATCTGGAGCCCTGGTCAGGCCAGCCAGACCGTTGCTTGGAAGCTCCTAAGCAGGTTGGTGGTGGAACTAGTTTCTTGGGTAAAGAAGGAACGTTTTCTGGGATGTTGAGATGGGGCAGGGGGAAGGAGAGCACCTCTGCTGACATGGATGCTGAATTGGGATCAAACTGACCTGCTGAAGTAGGAATGGATTACATCTTTAGATTTCTGAGGAAGGTGGAAATCTTTCTGGCTGGAACAGTTCTCATAAGAGCACTTGGAGCATTGGTGGGTGAGGTTGGCAGTTCAGTTATTGTGCCTGAATCTGCCACATCAGAATGCCTCCCAGAGAGATGGGTAAGCCATTGGATCACCTGTGGGGCATATGCCTTTCTCCTCCATCCTGCCCCTGGAAACAATGGAGGTTAGCATTAGGAACTGAAATTTTTAGCTGGAAGCTAAGAATGCAAAGCATTTTTTTGGGGGGGGGGGATTGGAATGTCCTCTGGTTGGAGGTGATGGGGGGAGGTCATGCGGTTTCTCAACAGACAGGAAATCTCAGGCAAACGAAATAAAGTCCTGCTGGATCAATGGAGCAAGACCTAAGAAGAGCAACAAAGATGATTAGGGGACTGGAGGCTAAAACATATAAGGAACGGTTGCTAGAATTGGGTATGTCTAGTTTAACGAAGAGAAGGACAAGGGGGGACAGGATAGCAATATTCCAATATATCAGGGGCTGCCATAAAGAAGAGGGAATTAAGCTATTTTCCAAAGCACCTGAAGGCAGGACAAGAAGCAACGGGTGGAAACTAATCAAGGAGAGAAGCAACCTAGAACTAAGGAGAAACTTCCTGACACTGAGAACAATTAATCAGTGGAACAGCCTGCCTCCAGAAACAGTAAATGCTCCAACACTGGAAGTTTTTAAGAAGAGACTGGACAGCCATTTGTCCAAAAATGGTGTAGGGTTTCCTGCCTGAGCACGGGGTTGGACTAGATGACCTCCAAGGTCCCTTCCAACTTTACTATTATTATTATTATAACTAGATACCAGCAGATGGAAGGTGCTGGAGCTATGGAGACATACCAGCGAGAAGCCGCTGGTTGTCTGGGAAGAGAATTGGGAGGGACCAGCAGAGTCCCAACCATTAAGCAGGAAGGTCCAAGAGAAACTGCTTTCTCCCCCTAAAAGTCACGAACCCTCACTGGGGCTTCTTCCCACCCCATGGATCACTCCATCAATGAGATACGGTCGGTCCGAACTCTTTATTAGCATTTTATCCAACTCGGAAGTGAGTTGTTTTGAAAAGCACTTGGGTTATGATCATAGCCTTCTTTTTAATGTATAATAATAGTAGTAGTAGTAGTAAAGTTGGAAGGGACCTTGGAGGTCATCTAGTCCAACCCCCTGCTGAGGCAGGAAACCCTACACCATTTTGGACAAATGGCTGCCCAGTGTCTTCTTAAAAACTTCCAGTGTTGGAGCATCCACCGCTTCTGGAGGCAGGTTGTTCCACTGGTTAATTGTTCTCACTGTCAGGAAGTTTCTCCTGAGTTCTAGGTTGCTTCTCTCCTTGGTTAATTTCCACCCTTTGCTTCTCGTCCTGCCTTCAGGCGCTTTGGAGAATAGCTTCTTTATTGCTGTTTATTTTTGTGGTTGCTCATCAATATTGATCTGTGTATGTTTTTCAAACTCCGTTTTTCAAGGAGTTAACGTTACACGAAGAATGTTCTCTAATCTTGGGCGATCTTGTGAGTCACTGAGCAGCATTTGATTCTGGCAGGTAACACATCTAATCCAACCACACATTTAAATCATTAACAGAATAATAGAATTGGAAGGGACCTTGTTGGTCATCTAGTCCAACCTCCCCCCAAGCAGGAGACCCTACACCATTTCTGACAGATGACAGTCCACTCTCTTCTTGAAAGCTTCCAGTGATGAAGTTCCCACAACATCTGAAGGCAACTCCATCGGTGGATTGTTTTCACTATCAGAAAATTCCTCCTTATTTCCAAGTTGAATCTCTCCTTGTTCAGTTTCCATCCGTTGTTCCTTGTCTGGTCTTCAGGTGCTTTGGAAAACAGGTTGACCCTCTCCTCTCTGTGACAGCCCCTCAAATGTTGGGACGCTGCTATCATGTCTCCCCTGGTCCTTCTCTTCTCTAGACTAAATAATTAAATAACTAAATAATCCACCCAATAACTAGGACATGCAGGATTGAACCCCGCTTGCCACCGACAGCTCCACCGCCATCCTGGATGTGTGGTTGCATGTCACATTGCTGTGTTGACTTCTGAATCCTGCCCACACCAGAAGCAAACATGCTGCTAATGGTAGTACATCTCTGTCCCGCATCTTCTGTGGTTCCACTTGCGTGGGCCACCTTTTAAGCCCTTGTAATAGTAGTAAAGTTGGAAGGGACCTTGGAGGTCATCTAGTCCAACCCCCTGCTCAGGCGGGAAACCCTACACCGTTTCGGACAAATGGCTGTCTAGTTTCTTCTTTAAAACTTCCAGTGTTGGAGCATTCACCGTTTCTGGAGGCAGGTTGTTCCACTGATTAATTGTTCTCACTGTCAGGAAGTTTCTCCTTAGTTCTAGGTTGCTTCTCTCCTTGATGAGTTTCCATCCGTCGCTTCTTGTCCTGCCTTCAGGCGCTTTGGAGAATAGCTTAATTCCCTCTTCTTTATGGCAGCCCCTGAGATATTGGAATACTGCTGTCATGTCCCCCCTTGTCCTTCTCTTCGTTATTCTCTTCGTATTCTGAGAGTGGCTGAGTCCCCCTCAGCCTTACATTATTATTATTATTTTAATATTTTTTATTTTTTTATTTTCCCAAACTCTCCCCCATACATATACCGTGATATTTATCAGATGTTAACATACGTTCTTTTTACATTCATATATAAGATACTTTTAATAAAATGAAATAAATACGTACACGGGACTTTTGGTGCTGCTCGCCCATTTCCCCTTTCACTGTATCCACACTCCTTCTTCTCTACTTTCTTTCTCCCTTTCTTCTCTTCCCTACTTCCCTCTTCTTCCTCTCCTCTTCTCTTTCCTTCACCACTTCTCCCCACTTCTCCAACCTTCCTACTTCCTTCTCCCCTCCTTCACTCTTTTCTCTTTCCTCTCCTTTCTTCCCTCTCCTCCCTCTTCAGATACAATTCAAGCCTTACATTATAATGCATCCATCCTGGTCCCCCATCTCAGGCTAGCCCTCTCTTCTCTGCCCCCTCACTAAATATCTCCCAGGGCCACATCCTTTCCTACCACTGGAGACAGTCCAGCCCTCCAACGGTTTGATGGTGCCCTGTAAGCAGAAGGTCTACTTCCCTGTTTGCCTGTTTCTCAATGACTTTTCAGAATGACTTCAGGGCGTCCTTTCCAGGACGGCCAAATAGGATATTGAGCAACCGACCAAGAACATTTCAAGAAAACAGCTTTTGTTTTCTTTTTGAAAAAAAAATATATATCGGAACAACGTCCATGAAATGCAGAAATTCAGATGCTGAATTCCTAGTTCCTAGTCCTAAATATGAGGAAAGACTTTAAGGGCAGTTTGAAAGGAGCTGAAAACCAGCAAATGCTCTTTATTTCCCCCCCCCCCCAAGCTGGCTGAAGCCAAGGGAAGCAAGCAGCCACTGGGGGAGGTTGGGCCAGCCCCCCCTCTCAGCACTAGGAAGAAAGTGGCCAGGGGGAAAATAAAACATCAGACAAATTTTGCCCCCAAATGGCAGGGAATTGTCCAGATAAGGGCCTGGAGTCGGAGCTGCCCCAAATGCCGGGAAGCACCAGCAAGGCCAACTTCCCTTTAAACATTATTTTTAATGTTTAAAAAAAGATGTTGTAAAAAAGAGGTTGAGACTCTGGAAAGAGGACAGAGAAGAGCAACAAAGAGGATCAGGGGACTGGAGGCTAAAACATATAAGGAATGATTGCTAGAATTGGGTAGGTCTAGTTTAACGAAGGGAAGGACGAGGGGGGACATGATAGCAGTGTTCCAGTATCTCAGGGGCTGCCTTAAAGAAGAGGGAGTCAAGCTATTTTCCAAGGCGCCTGAAGACAGTATAAGAAGCAACAGATGAAAACTAACCAAAGAGAAGCAACCTAGCAGGGGGTTGGAGGTTGGACTAGATGACCTCCAAGGCCCCTTCCAACTTTATTATTATTATTGTTGTTGTTGTTATTATTATTATTATTATTATTATTAAATGTTGTTGATTTTTTTTCCTTCTGGGTTCCTCATTGCTCTCTGAGCTCGGTTGTTTTCTTGCAGACGTTTCATTACGCAACTAGGTAATCACATCAGTGCAAGGTATTCTCTTTGCTTAATTCCACTGTCGCAGTTTAATTTGATAGCCCCCCCAAGGTCTTATATTATTTCACTAGATATATTCCCTAGCCCTCAGTTGTTGAAGGAAGCAGCGTATTTATGGGTGTCCCATCCCAAACCTCAGTGGATAAGCTATGTTAGGTCTGTGGGGGTGGAATGCAGCCAAAATCCAGGTGTTATTTGAGAAGTTTGCAGCCCCTGAGAAAGGGATGCAGGGATTTCTTCAGAAGAAGACCAACATCTGTGAGACACAAAGGAATCGCTTTCTCGGATGACTGGTTTCAATGCCAATTACTCATTGAGTAAGTGAGTCAGAGAAACAACAAGGGAGAAAACGGGCTGAAGAAACAAGGACTTCCCCCCCCCTTTGCCTTCCTCTTCTCAGTGACTCAGCCTAAAACAATGGGTGTCAGAGGGAGTACTTTTGTCAGGCTGTGGAAAATTTCCTTTACACCCACTTTGCATTCCCTCTGTTGGGAGATTCATCTAATCTCTGATCAAAGAGCAAGTGGCAGCCTTAGCCCAGCTTCAGGTTATGCGCCAGTTGCGCCTGTTCCTAAATTGGGAACTTGTAGCCATCCCCCAGACTGGAGTGCGATAATGCATTCTACCTGGGGCTGCTGTAGGAGATGACCAGGCTGTGCTTGAGGGAGGAGTCCAATGGGTCATCAATCAATCAATCCATCAGAATAGAGCTGGAAGGGACCTTGGAGGTCTTCTAGTCCAGCCCCCTGCTCAAGCAGGAGACCCTATACCAAGGGTAGGCAACCTTGGCTCTTTTATGACTCGTGGACTTCAACTCCCAGAATTCTTGAGCCAGCCGTGCTGAGGGGAGAAGTTTCCAAGCTGAGCCATGCTGGCTCAGGAATTCTGGGAGTTGAAGTCCACAAGTCATAAAAGAGCCAAGGTTGCCTACCCCTGCCCTATACCATTCCAGACAAGCGGCTGTCCAGTCTCTTCTTAAAAGCCTCCAGGGATGGAGCGCCCACGATTTCTGGTGGCAAGCTGTTCCACTGGTTAATTGTCTTCACTGTTGGGAAGTTTCTCCTTGATTTGAGGTTGCTTCTCTCCTTGATTAGCTTCCATCCGTTGTTTCTTTTCTTCCCGTCTGGTGCTTTGGAAAATAAATGTCAGAATCTCTAGTAATCGAGTATGGAAAACCCCATTTCTGCCCTCTCTGGATTCTGTCATACGATGAAGGGGAAGGGGGATGAATAAAGGGGTTTTATGGCCCTTCAGTACAACTTCAAAGGAATTGAATGTGGATATCACCAAAAGAACTAAAGCATAACAATGGGGCCATCAGCTTTCATCTACTCCCCTCTGAAGTCTCCCTTCCGCCGGCAGTGAGGAAAAAGGGAGTGGAAATGTAACGCCTGGGATTGTCACTGGAAGGATGGTGGGGTGGGGTGGAGTAGCTCCATTCCAGTTAAAGTTCAGAAAACCCCTCAAGACCTGGCTTGGGGGGTCCTGGGGAACCGATGACCATTTCAGTTGGCTCCCCTATTGTCAAAGATGTATGGATCCTATACTCCTCTCTGCATTTGTGGCTTACATATTTTAACGTTTTTAAATTTTTATAGCAAATGTCTATTTTTTTTTTTTTGCAATGACAATGTTTACAATAATTGCTTTTAGATTACTTTTATCTGAATGTTGAATGCTGCTGAGGGTCACTTCTGGCCAGACGGGCAGATATATAAATCTGAGAAATCAGTTACCAATTTTAGTCACACCTGTGCTAATGCCAAGAACCAAACCAATCACCTACAGCAGTGTTTTGGTGATTCTATTTATAACATTGGAGCTCTGTAATCTGGAGATTAGATTAATGCAAACCAAATTTCTGTTATTCACAGGAAGTACAGCTGATGTCCTAACATACACTGGAGATAGATAGATAGATAGATAGATAGATAGATAGATAGATAGATAGATAGATAGATAGATATACACATACATACATACATACACACACACACACACACACACACACACACACACACACACACACATATATATATATTATTAAGAATATTAAAAACAAAACAGTGATTCCTGGATAGACTCATATTAAACAATAAAATATACGATTTTATTAAACAATAGAATATACGAACACCAGGCAGTTATAAAACTATAAAAAGTTCTCCTCCAGCTCTACATAACATAAACACAGACAGTGCACATCTAATTACGTGGAATTAAGGAGTCCCCCCGACTTACAGTTATGCAAAGAAGGGAGGAAGAGCTGGGGTACCAGCACAAGTAAGGAAAGTGAGGAAATTACAGCTTGCAACACAGAAACTACGATCAAAACGCAGGTGGATTGGCTGGGACCCATGACGAGGTCAAGAAGCCGGGCGCAAAGAATGCCACACTTACAAATAGCTTCTCCCATTGACTGGAGACTACCCTGATGATGCTGGCAGATGCCAGCGAAAGCTTGGTTTTATTAAAACTTTTTATAGTTTTATAACTTCCTGGTGTTCGTATATTTTATTGTTTAATATAGATAGATAGATAGATAGATAGATAGATAGATAGATAGATAGATAGATAGAGACAGACAGACAGACAGACAGACAGACAGAAAAAGGGGAGAGAGAGAAGAAAAGAGAGAGAAAGGAGAAGAGAGAGAAGGAGAGACTTGGGGAAGAAAGAGGGAGGGAGGAGGGAGGGAGGGAAGTAGGGAGGAAAGGAAGGAAGGAAATGAGAATGGGAGGGGGGAGGGAGGAAAGGGGGGAGGGAGGAAGGAAGGAAGGAAAGGTGTTCACAAAGATGCTATAATTCTGCTAATGTCCCGTCCCGTTTGCTTTCCAGGTGAAGACACCTCCCTCCTGCATTTTCCGAGAAGTTCCTGAATCCACGCTCGACTTTTCTGTCTCCACTATGTCGGATCCAGAGGATGAGGATGGCGAAACTTGTTGGAACAACCTGGAAAGCTTCCGCGTGAAGTTGATTTCGGTGATCGACCCTTCCAGAATAACGCCTTACCTGCGGCAGTGCCGAATCATCAACCACGATGACGAGGAGCAGGTCCTAAATGATCCCAGCCTGGTACTCCGGAAAAGGAAAACAGGTATCCACTGATCCACTTGGAAAGAAATCTGAGCTTGCATAAAATATCAAACCAGAAGCTTCCAGGATGGCATTTAGCCAGCACCCTTTTTAAGAATCAGAAGCAAAAGGAGCGAGACAACAACAACAATAATAATAATAATAAAGTTGGAAGGGACCTTGGAGGTCATCTAGTCCAACCCCTGCTCAGGCAGGAAACCCTATTCCATTTCGGACAAATGGCTGTCCAGTCTCTTCTTAAAAACTTCCAGTGTTGGAGCCTTCACCGCTTCTGGAGGCAGGTGGTTCCACTGATTAATTGTTCTCATTGTCAGGAAGTTTCTCCTTAGTTCTAGGTTGTTTCTCTCCTTGATGAGTTTCCATCCGTTGCTTCTTGTCCTGTCCTCAGGCGCTTTGGAGAATAGCTTGACTCCCTCTTCTTTGAGGCAGCCCCTGAGATATTGGAACACTGCTATCATGTCCCCTTTGTCCTTCTTTTCATTAAACTAGTCATACCCAATTTCAGCAACCGTTTTAGCCTCCAGTCCCCTAATCATCTTTGTTGTTCTTCTCTGCACTCTTTCTAGAATCTCAGCATCTTTTTTACATCGTGGTGACCAAAACTGGATGCAGTATTCCAAGTGTGGCCTTACCAAAAGGACATTAATACTTCACGTGATCTTGATTCTCTCCCTCTGTTAATGCAGCCCAGCACTGTGTTGGCCTTTTTTGGCAGCTGCAGCACACGGCTGGCTCCTACTTAAGGGATTGTCCACTAGGACTCCGAGGTCCCCCTCACAGTTACTTCTGTTCGTCTCTGCAGGGCTGCTTCTAGACCTGCTCCAGAGGACGGGCAAAAAGGGGTTTGTGGCTTTCCTGGAGAGTCTGGAGTTGTACTACCCGCATCTCTACAAGAAAATAACCGGCAACGACCCCACCCGGGTCTTCTCCATGATAATAGGTAATGTTTTGCTCTGGTAGCTTTCCTGAGCTCTTCCGGTGACATCGTAAGTCCATCTTTGGTTGACTGAATCAAGACGTCAGCAACGGGGGTGTCTGAGCTACTGAAACTTGGTCTACCCCTGTGGTGTTCTCCAAGTCCCCGTCTTGCTCTTACCCACCTGGGTTCCTCTGCTCTGCAGACACGGCAGGAGAATCTGGCCTGACGGAGCTGCTGATGAGTGAGATCTCGAAGCTGCAGGCAGCCATCCGGGAAGAGAGGCAGAAGGTCCAGGAGCTGAACGCGGCCCTCAGCACCAAGGAGGACACCATCAAGGAGATGAGGGTGAGGGACAGCGTCCTGCGCAAGTACCAGGAGCGGGCACACAAGGTGAAGGAGGAGAGAGACGCCCTCAGCAGGGAACTGATGCTGTGCCGGGAGGAGAACTACAAGATGGCCATGAACTACGCCAAGCAGAGCGAGGAGAAGAACGTGGCCTTGATGAAGAACCGGGACCTGCAGCTGGAGGTAGGACGCTTTGTTGCTGCTCCTTGCTTCTCTTGGGCAACAGGAAGCAGAACAGGCCAGGTGTAAGGACCCACCTCACTTTACACCAGTGGTTCTCCACCTGTGGGTCGGGACCCCATTTGGGGTCGAACGACCATTTCACGGGGGTCGCCAAACAACGCAGTCCGCCATTTCCTCCCCCTTTTCCTTAGCTGTGCTACTCCCTTTTATTCTATTGGCTTTTGAAAGCCAATAGAATAGACTCTCTTGAATAGAGTCTAATTCTATTGGCTTTCAAAAGCCAGTAGGAATTGTCCAGGCTGTCTCTGCCCTGCTGAGCCCGCCAAAAGTCCCCTTCTGCAAACGGTGCTGCACCGGTTGAGTAGTCCTGGACTTACGACCGGTTGAGTAGTCCTGGACTTACGACCGGTTGGGGGTCGTGGCATTAAAAAGGTTGAGAACCACTGCTTTACATCTTAAGAAGACAGAACTCTTGGAATATCTCTTTCAACAGGCATCTTTATTAAGAGAAGATGGTTGCAGCGTTCTAGACAGGATCTGAGGGATGAACCCCTACCATTCAATGTTTTAAGTGTTCCCAAGCAGCCCCCACCCCACCGTCCTTCCGGGTGACGATCACTCATCCTCTCTTTTCCCAGATCCCAGGCGTTCCATTGTTCCACCCCTTTTTCCTCACTGCCGGCTAAAGGGAGACTTCAGAGAGAAAGTAGATGAAAGGCGATGGCCATATTGTTATGGTCAGTCCTCTTGATGAGAATCAACATCCAGTCACTTTGTAGTTTAAATGAAGGAAGTGAGAGTCATAAAACCCCCTTGCTTCCTCCTCCCCTTTTGTAGTATGACAGAATCCACAGAGAGTTAGAAATGGGGTTTTTTTCAAAGTAGGTAGCTAGAAATGAAATATAATTGGATTCTGACACCGGGGATGGGGGGGGGATTAGAACTGATGAGGACTTAAACTGAGAATGCCTGAATTTCCATGCCAACTCTGCTGTGAAGATACCATTAGCTTACACTACCCATTTAACCAGGCCGATTTAAAACCTGGTCCCACATTTCCACGCATTTGATTATTTTCATGTTACTGTGCCTTTTGTGGCTTACGCTATCTTGGAGGGTCTAATGGCAACTCACCGTGGCCACCTTGCCACAGCCAAATTGCCATGGCCAACTCATTGCAGCCAACTCGCCACGGGACAACTGGCTGTGAGAGAAAAGTTATGGTAATATCAAAAAATTAAAAAGAAAAAAAAAAGAAATTAAGAACAAAGATGATTAAAGGTATGAAGACGGTTGCAGGATTTGGGAATGGGCAGTCTAGAGAAAAGAAGGACTAGGGGGGACAGGATAGCAGCATTCCAGTATCTGAGGGGCTGCCACAAGGAGGGGGGGGGGTTCAAATTATTCTCCAAAGCGCCTGAAGGCAGGACAAGAAACAATGGATGGAAACTAATCAAGGAGAGAAGCAACTTGGAATTAAGGAGAAACTTCCTAACAGTGAGGACAATTAACCAGTGGAACCACAGTTGCCTCCAGAGGTTGAGGGTGCTCCATCACCGGAGGTTTTTAAGAAGAGACTGGACAGCCATTTTGTCTGAAATGGCATACAGTCTCCCGCTCGAGCAGGGGGTTGGACTAGATGACCTCCAAGGTCCCTTCCAGCTTTATTCTGATTGATTGATTGATTGATTAAAATAGTGGAATAGAATCATTAAAGAGAGAAAGCTAACGGAGGGACAAAATGACACGTGCGTGACAAAAATTAAAATATTTTTTAAAATTATTTTAAACAATTCAATTGAATGGTTGAATTCTCCTGCAGCAAGTTGCCCCATGGAGTGTTGCCCCAATCCTGTCTTAGGAAGCCCATCTCCCAAGTCAACAGGTGTCCGCATGATCTCTCTTCCCCCATTTTTTCCACCTTCTGGGCATCTCCTCCCCTTCTTGCCCCCCCCCCAAGATCGACTGCCTGCGGCACAGCCTGGTCAAGGCTGAAAATCACTGCAGCCTGGAGCGGAAGCACACGCTGAACCTGAAACAAGCCATGGAGCAGCGCCCCAGCCACGAGGCCGTGTGGGAAATCCAACGGGAGAAGGACCTGCTGTTGGCCAAGAACAAGGAGCTGGAGAGCACCCTGCAGGTCTCTGTTGGGTCAGGAAGGGGGAACCATTGGCAGAACAGGGTGGGAGAGGGTCCGCAAAGAAGGTCCGCCTTGGAGAAAACTGCAGGTGAAAGATTCAGAAGTTAAGGTTTCGATGGGATGCAGACTTGGATGGGAACTCTCTGGGAAAGTCTTAAGTTCTTGGACAGATCTGCAAAACAAGGAGGAATTAACTGAAATGGATCTCAGCACATAGGCAGCCTGTTTATTATTTATTTACCCCCACGACAGAGAACTCATAGAATCAGCTTATAAACAGCTTACCTAAAATTGCGATCTCTTTTATGTATAACTACTGGTGGCCGGATCAATATGGTTCGGTTTCTCTGAATGTAGCCAGGTTTTTGTCAGACTGTGATTTCACCATCCCTTGTGGCCTTTTTGAGTGGTAGCAGGGGCTGAAGACAAGGGCTGGGTTTCTACTTCTGACTGGGGCAGCGGTCCCCAACCTGTGGGCCACAGCCCTGTACCGGTCCGTGGCCTACTGCAACTGGGCCTCGTGAGTGGCTAGCTGGTGCGCAGAGGCGCACAACGCTGCTTGCATGAGCGTCGTGTGCATCGGGGCCTCACTCAACAAGTGTCACAGAGGCTTGTGGCCGCACTCACACGAGCATCAGCGGCATTCGGGGCCTTACTTGCACAAGCATCATGGGTGCTCTCAGCCCCACTCGCACGAGCAAGAGGTACCCATACACATGCATGTGCGTGCACGCTCCTGCCCTTCCCACAAAACCATCCCGTCTTTCCCTCCTCCCCCCAGGCCGCCAATCCGGAAAGGTTGGGGAACACGGGTCTGGGGAGTTTCCCTTTTGTTTGGTGTGTGTGTGTGTGTGCCTGTGTGTAGGAGTGAGGCACCTGCAGACTGAAATTATGCATTTCCTGAACTTTTGACATGCCCCAAAGCGCCACCGTCCCTGATCCACCCACCTCCTGCAAGGGGCAGGAAACCAGCTCATCCCTCCTATAGGCAATAAGGCAGTGGTGGCGAACCTGTGGCACGGGTGCCAGAGGCGGCACTCGGAGCCCTCTCTGTGGGCACACGTGCCGTTGCCCCAGCCTTGCCTCCCCCCACGACTCCCTCACCAGCAGTCCCCCTGGAGGAGAGTCACCCCCGAGCGTAGCCCATGCAGAGCAGCGCAGCCAAGGACATGGCAGCCAGGCAGCGTACACAAGACTCTGCCCTCACGCCCCATCGCGCACAGTTGATGCTGCGGGGCACGGGCAGAGGGCGTGGCCGCCATGGCGCGGCTGGGCGATCTGCGGCGGGCCCTGGAGGTGGTGAGTGGCCCTGCAGGGGTGAGGCAGGGAGTGGAGAGGGGGTGGGGCAAGTTTTTGAGCACTCGGTCTCTAAAAGGTTCGCCATCACTGCAATAAGGCGTCTCCCCAAGTGCACAACGGGGGGAGATGTGGAAGTAGGCCTAATCCGTGTATTTTCTTTCTTCTTAGGTCACCAAGAAAGGCAGCTCCGAGAAGGATGGGGTTCCGCTCCAGGCTCTCGAGACCGAGTGGAGGCGAGTGTTGAAGGAGCAACAGGAGCTGGTGAACACCACCTGCGATTTACGCCAAGCGCTCCAGAGGGCCGAAGATGGGCGGGAGAAGGTAAGCAGCCAGGCCAGCAAATCTAGCTATGGAAACTCTGCTCTGACTGAGACAATATCTAGAGCAGTGGTTCTCCACCTGTGGGTCGGGACCCCGTTTGGGGTCGAAGGACCATTTCACGGGGGTCGCCAAGCAACGCAGCCCGCCATTTTTTCTCCCCTTTTCCTTAGCTGTGCTACTCCCTTTTATTCTGTTGGCTTTTGAAAGCCAATAGAATAGACTCTCTTGAATAGAGTCTAATTCTATTGGCTTTCAAAAGCCAATAGGAATTGTCCAGGCTGTCTCTGCCCTGCTGAGCCCGCCAAAAGTCCCATTCTGCAAACGGTGCTGCACCAGTTGAGTAGTCCTCGACTTATGACCGGTTGAGTAATCCTCGACTTACGACCGGTTGGGGGTCGCAGCATTAAAAAGGTTGAGAACCACTGATCTAGAGATTCTGCAGTTGACTTACATTATATTATTTTTGACAGCTTGTAGGTGAGAAGGAGCTGCTGGAACTCCGATGCACGTCCTTGCAAAACGATAATCAAATTTACCAAAATCGTATCAAGGCTATTTTAAAACAGCTGGAAGAGGTGGCTGCTGAAAGAGATCAGGTAAGGATCACCCTTATTTTTCTCCAACCTGGTGCCCCCTGATGGGCTGGACTTCAACTCCCAGAATCCTCTGTTTTCTTCTCTTCTAACAAATATAGTACAGGGGATAACTTGCTCAATAGTAGTAACTGTGAGGGGGATCTCAGAGTCCAAGTGGACAATCCCTTAAATAGGAGCCAGCTGTGTGCTGCAGCTGCCAAAAAGGCCAACACAGTGCTGGGCTGCATTAACAGAGGGAGAGAATCAAGATCATGTGAAGGGTTAATACCACTTTACAAGGCCTTGGTAAGGCCACACTTGGAATACGGCATCCAGTTTTGGTCACCGTGATATAAAAAGGATATCGAGACTCTGGAAAGAGTACAGAGAAGAGCAACAAAGATCATTAGGGGACTGGAGGCTAAAATATATAAGGAGCGGTTGCTGGAATAGGGTATGTCCAGTTTAACGAAGAGAAAGACAAGGGGGGGGGGATATGAGAGCAGTGTTCCAATATCTCAGGGGCTGCCCCAAAGAAGAGGGAGTCAAGCGCCTGAGGGCAGGACAAGAAGCAACGGATGGAAACTAACCAAAGAGAAGCAACCTAGAACTAAGGAGAAACTTCCTGAAAGTTAGAACAATTAACCAGTGGAACCACCTGCCTCCAGAAGCGGTGAATGCTCTGACACTGGAAGTTTTTAAGAAGAGACTGGACAGAAATTTGTCTGAAATGGTATAGGATTACCTGCTGAGGAGGGGGTTGGACTTGATGACCTCCAAGGTCCCTTACAACTTTATTATTATTATTATTATTATTATTATTATTATTATTATTATTATTATTATTATTATTATTATTATTATTATTATGGATCATCGCATAGTCAGCCAGATGTTCAGACTGGATTTGGCATTTTGTCTACCTATCGAGTTCTTACCCAGGACCTGGGATAGGCAGATGTGGATGTTTGATGGTATTACAGATCTCGTCGCAGAATGGAAGCAGTTCCTAGTAAGGCCGCCTTTTGCAATTGACTAATAGCGAATTTGTCAATGCCAAATTAAATTGTTATTATTATTACTATTCTCCAAAAACCATTGAGTCTGATTAGAAATCATTATGAAAGAATAGTATGGTTTCAGCTTTTTAAGAGAAAGGGAAATTGTCAACCTTACAATTTCTCAACGTGTGATCTTCCCTACCTAGAATTCCCCCGCCCGCGTGGTCATTGTTGAGAATTCCGGGAATTAAAATGCACATCTGAAAGTGTCCCAAGGTTGGGAAAATGCTGAGATGAATGGGAAATTCTGCCCTCTGTTGACTGAGTATGGGTACTGAAATGGCAGAGCACTCCTTGGGAAAGGATAGTGAAGGCCGCCCTCTGCTGGCTGATATAGGGATACTGCAGTTTCCAAAGCAGAAGGAAGCTAGAGGGCTCTAGCTGGGGGAGGGAGAGGGTTTTTTTGGGGGGTGGGTTGGTATTGTAATTTTTTATAAAACTTTTTAATAATAATAATAATAATAAAATAACCGTAGAAAATGGCGGGGAAGGGAGGAAAGGCCGGTGGGCTTTGCTGGCAACTCTCTTTTTGCCTGGGCCTGTTGCTGCAGGCTCTCCTTTCCCAGGAGCAATGCCAGAAGCAGTACTCCCAAGGCCTGAGGGAGAAAGACAGCTACCGGAAGCAGATCCGGGAACTCGGGGAGCGTTGTGACGAACTGCAGCTTCAGCTCTTCCAGAAAGAGGGACGGCTGCTGAGTGCCGAAGCCCAGCTGAAACGGCTGTGCCGCCATCCCTCCGCCATGGTAGGTTGTCGGGGAAAGCGGTTTGTGTGAATGTTTATTCCTGGCCAGTTACGACGGGTGGGAGGGATGGGACCCAAGAGATGACGTGTGCCCCTTGCTGGCTCCTGCTATGGAAAGGCTACCAAACACTTTGCTGGGAGGTGGGCAGAGTGCTAGAACAGAACAGAACAGAGAAATGGAATAGAATAGAGAAATAGACTAGACTAGACTAGACTAGACTAGACTAGACTAGACTAGAATAGAATAGAATAGAATAGAATAGAATAGAATAGAATAGAGAAATGGAATAGAGTGGACTGGAGTGGAGTAGAGTGGAGTGGAATGGGGTGGAGTGGAGTGGAGTAGAGGAGTGGAGTGGAGTAGAGTAGAGTAAAATAGAATAGAGAAATGGAATGGAATGGAACAGAACAGAACAGAGAAATGGAATAGACTAGAGGAATAGACTAGACTAGACTAGACTAGACTAGACTCGAATAGAATAGAATAGAATAGAATAGAATAGAATAGAGAAATGGAATAGAGTGGAGTGGAGTGGAGTGGAATAGAGTAGAGTAGAGTAGAGCAAAATAGAATAGAGAAATGGAATGGAATGGAATAGAACAGAACAGAGAAATGGAATAGAATAGAGAAATAGAATACAGTAGACTAGACTAGACTAGACTGGACTGGAATGGAATGGAGTAGAGTAGAGTAGAGTAAAATAGAATAGAGAAATGGAATGGAATGGAATAGAATAGAACAAAACAGAACAGAGAAATGGAATAGAATAGAGAAATAGAATACAGTAGGCTAGACTGGACTGGAATGGACTAGAATGGAATGGAGTGGAATAGAGTAGAGTAGAGTAGGGTAGGGTAGGGTAGAGTAGAGTAGAGAAATGGAATGGAATAAAACAGAACAGAACAGAATAAAACAGAGTTTGAAGGGACTTTGTAGGTCATCTAGTCCAATATTCAGCCCAAGCAGGAGACCCTATATTATTTCTGATAGATGGCAGTCCATAATAAATATCTAGTATTATAATAAACAATGATAAATAAAAGATTGGTCAGGCATACAGTCTTCCTCCTATATGTCTCTTCCACCTCATCTGAGGATTCCTTCAGTGTTCTTCTTTTAAACTCTCTACTACCTTGGGTGTCATTCAAGGCCACAGTGATGCATCAACCAAGCAGGCATCTGACTAGTCCGTAGTTACTGGACAGCCATTTGTCTGGAATGGCATAAGGCCTCTTGCTTGAGCAGGGGGTTGGACTAGATGACCTCCAAGATCCCTTCCAGACCTATTTTTTCTATGTTCTAAGACTCAATCAGAGCGATTATATATTTTTTTTTCTGGGCATTCTGGGTATAGATATGTAAAGTCTTTCAGCACTTAAAGCTGTTTTTAACATCTTGCCAATTAACTTCTTGTTGTTTCAGACTTCGGATCTTGAAGAAAACTCATCCCGGAGCTCGCAAGAGGTGAGTTATGAATACCTGCTTCCCTGCCTTTACTACCCCGGCCCCCCATTTGGATAAAGCTTCAGATTCTTACACCCCCCAATCCCTGCTCTTATTATCTGGGGGGGGGGGCACATGAGAGAAGGAAGGGGAAACTGGAAGTGCTGTGATTCCTATCTGCTTACGTTGCAGAGACTGTATTTACACACCACACCACAACTTTTTACTAACTTCATCTTTTGTGGGTTGGCCCAATACGTACACCAATGATATATATATTTAGCCAAAGGGCTGGATTAGCGCTTTCTCCAAGTTTAAGAAGGACCAACCAATTGCATTGCAACTGGAAAAAAAAATCAAGCAATGTTGAGTTACATTGGGAATTCACTATATTTTTTAAATGATGAGAAGTAAAATGTCCATCTCTTCTGCACTAGTTGGATGGGCTTAAGTTCTGTGGCTTGGCAGCTCCTTAAAATGCAGGTCATTTTTATTTTAGAATTATTATACGAAACATCACTTTCTGCATTCCCTTAACAAGAAAAGAAAGTAATATTCTTTCAAAAATAGAGTATGTACTCATTCTTCACCCCTCTCTCCTCTTCTTGTCCAAAGCTGACTCCCCATGGAAATCCCGATGAAGATGGGAAAGGTGCCAAACCAAGTATGTTCCATCTGTGGCTAGCAATTTTTTCTTTCTTTCTTTCTTTCTTTCTTTCTTTCTTTCTTTCTTTCTTTCTTTCTTTCTTTCTTTCTTTCTTTCTTTCTTTCTTTCTTTCTTTTACTCTTTTCTTCCTTCCCTCCCTCCCTCAGTTGATCCTTCCTTCCTTCCCTCCCTTAGTCGCTCCTTCCTTCCTTTTTTCTTTCTTTCCTTCCTTCTTTCCCTCCCTCCCTGTCGCTCCTTCCTTCCTTCCTTCCTTCCTTCCTTCCTTCCTTCCTTCCTTCCTTCCTTCCTTCCTTCCTTCCTTCCTCTTTCTTTCTTTCTCTTTCTCGTGCTCTATAATTTAACAACAGGGAGGATTTTGATCCTGGATGTCCTACCGGTGGATCAGGAAAAATTACCATGTTCTGATGTTCATGTGTTCCAGAAACCCATTTAAATCAAGGATGTAGTTTGTTGATGAATGAGCAAAAAAAACAAACAAACCACTTTATGAATCTGCAGGTTTCTTCTTCTTCTTCTTCTTCTTCTTCTTCTTCTTCTTCTTCTTCTTCTTCTTCTTCTTCTTCTTCTTCTTCTTCTTCTTCTTCTTCTTCTTCTCCTCCTCCTCCTCCTCCTCCTCCTCCTCCTTCTTCTCCTCCTCCTCCTCCTCCTCCTCCTCCTCCTCCTCCTCCTCCCCCCTTCTTCTTCCTCTTCCTCTTCCCCTTCCTCTTCTTCTTCTTCTCCTCCTCCTCCTCCTTCCCTCCCTCCCTCCCTCCCTCCCTCTCTCCCTCTTCCTCTTCCTCTCCCTCTCTCTCTCCCTCTCTCTCCATTCAGGACCCCCAGCTTGGTGTGAATGGAACATTCATCTTCCTCACTTGATAGTCACTGATCTGAAACACTATAGGGTCTCCTGCTTGACCAGGGAATTGGACTAGAAGACCTCCAAGGTCCCTTCCAACTATGTTATTCTGTTATGAATGAACTATGAAGGGTAACTTTGAAGCGTCTGTCTCTCCATCCACCTCTCAGCCCATCACAAACCAAGCAGGGTACAAACGTATGCCAGGAGCTGAGTTTTCCTGCCATCTTCATGGCCTTGTCTTCATCTCAGGCAGTTTAAGGTCACAGTTGGTTCCAGTTGCTGTGGGCAGGATCCAGTACATTCCACCGTCAGTGGGGCTGCTGACATATTCCGTGGTGGTCCCGCTCGTTGCACGCAGTGGGTTCCCGATCCGTTTTCACTGCTTCTGCCCATCAGTGTTCTCAAGCTGAAATGTTTACTGCTGAATTATTTGTACTGGCCCAGCAACTCAACGCCCACAACTAGCAGTTCTCTTGAAAGATGGAGGGCATTCATGATCAGCCACTCCCGCCTGTTTCATCTCACCTCTACACCAGCGAATTGTCAGCCAAGCTTGTTTGGGGCACGAGTTTAGCCCTATTTCAGAACTCAGCTAGACCCATGTCCAGAAATAGGCCAACTGCCAGTTCCGGCATGTGGAGCACATTCCAAAATAAAGGAAATTGGTCTGGTCTTATGTACTGATTCTCTCCCCAACACTTTTGAACTAGACTGATATGCAAGGGGAGTATTTGCAGACCCCTTATCACAGTGGTTCTCAACCTGTGGGTGGGGACCCCATTTGGGATCGAACGACCATTTCACGGGGGTCGCCAAACAACGCAGTCCGCCATTTTTTTCCCCCTTTTTCCTTAGCTGTGCTACTCCCTTTTCTTCTATTGGCTTTTGAAAGCCAATAGAATAGACTCTCTTGAATAGAGTCTAATTCTATTGGCTTTCCAAAGCCAATAGGAATTGTCCAGGTTGTCTCTGCCCTGCTGAGCCCGCCAAAAGTCCCATTCTGCAAATGGTGCTGCACCAGTTGAGTAGTCCTCAACTTACGACCGGTTGAGTAGTCCTCGACTTACGACCGGTTGGGGGTCGCGGCATTAAAAAGGTTGAGAACCACTGCCTTAGTATGTGTTCCTGGCCAATCTGCAAACTTTTTTAGTATCCCATCTCTTCCTTATTTTCAGAAATTCAAAATTCACAATACTACAGTATAAGAGTCGAACGCTGAGCATCCTTTCCACACCCAAAGGTGCTGCAGTTTTCAGCTTCTCTTTAGCTGCTGAGAGCTTCCTAATTCTGTAGCTTTGTACTACTCAGGAGCCCATTTCTGCTCTTCTCCTCCAGGAAAGGGCCCAGCTGATGGAGACCTGCAAGAGAAAGGGCATCGGCGAATGAAGGACAGTTTTGAGCATTATCGCAGGTAAAGCTCCCCTGGCACTGGTGTAGAAAAAGCCCTTCCCATACAATTCAAGTCACTATAATACTACTTTATACTGTGTTAGTAATACTGTGTTTAGTAATTAGTAATACCGTGTTTCCCCGAAAATAAGGCCTATACCAAGGGTAAGCAACCTTGGCTCTTTTATAACTCGTGGACTTCAACTCCCAGAATTCCTGAGCCAGCCTGGCTCAGCTTGGAAACCTCTCCTTTTCCCCTCAGCATGGCTGGCTCAGGAATTCTGGGAGTTGAAGTCCACCAGTCATAAAAGAGCCAAGGTTGCCTCCCCCTGGCCTAGGCCGCTTTATGAGTTGTGGACTTCAACTCCCAGAATTCCTGAGCCAGCATGGCTCAGCTTGGAAACCTCTCCCTTTCCCCTCAGCATGGCTGACTCAGGAATTCTGGGAGTTGAAGTCCACCAGTCATAAAAGAGCCAAGGTTGCCTACCTAGGCCTAGGCTGCTTCATGACTCGTGGACTTCAATTCCCAGAATTCCTGAGCCAGCATGGCTCAGCTTGGAAACCTCTCCCTTTCCCCTCAGCATGGCTGGCTCAGGAATTCTGGGAGTTGAAGTCCACCAGTCATAAAGCGGCTGGTTTTAGATCAAAGAAGATAGAAAGGAAATATAACTGGATTCTGACATCATCCATGAGTGTTGGATGATCTCTGGCAGATAGACGCATTTGTGCTCCTTCCTCTAAACCAGGGGTGTCAAACTCAATTTCATTTGAGGGCCGCATCAGCATTGCGGTTGCTCTCAGGGGGCTGGGTGGCTGTGGCCAGGGTGGGTGCATCCTACTGGGTGGGCATGGATGGAGTGGGTATGGCCTACTGGGTGGGTGTAGCCAGCTCTACATCGTTCACGTCAAGGGTGCCTGTGGGGGCCTGGGCAGGAGTGGGATAGATCTGAGGGTCTCTGGCAGAAGGGGGGGGGGACCGGGGCAAGTGCTAAGGCATGGTCCACTGGAGGAGCCTCACTGCTCCTCTCAGGCCATGCCGGGGTGGTGGTTATGGATCTAAGACTGAATGCATTTCAGCATAGATGGCCACCACAAAATTGTACTTTGGCTCCCGGCTGGCCTGGGCCAGGCCCATTCCTTCACTGTTTCCAGGATGGTTTCGCGGGCCACATGAAACCACTTTGCGGGCTGCATCCCCAAGTCTTGTGTTTGACGTGTGCTCTAAACCCATTTGGAACCTGCCTTGCAGAAAGAGAGCTCTACGGAGAGTGCAGGAGAGCCGCTATCACGAAGCCTACTGGGAACATTCCTCAGGAAGTGACAACACCGACACGGAAGGTTCCTGACCTTGTCTGCTACCTGGAGAGAAAAGTGGAGACTTCAAGAAGCCTCAGTGGCTGTCGGGTACAGCCACCCCATCCCCCATCTGGAGACTTCACAATTACAGATTCTAGATTTTCTGTTTATTGGCCGTTGTTTCTTTTTTTTCTTTGGACTCCTTGTGCGTTTATGCGGTATGCCACCCAGAGTCACGCTGGCTCAGTTTGTCGGCTTTAATTACACATAGTCCTCGACTTGCGATCGGTTGCTTAGCGACAATGCCAGCTGTCCGTCTAGCACAGTGGTTCTCAACCTGTGGGTCGGGACACCATTTGGGGTCGAACGACCATTTCACGGGGGTGGCCAAACAACGCAGTCCGCCATTTTTTCCCCCTTTTCCTTAGCTGTGCTACTCCCTTTTATTCTATTGGCTTTTGAAAGCCAATAGAATAGACTCTCTTGAATAGAGTCTAATTCTATTGGCTTTCAAAAGCCAATAGGAATTGTCCAGGCTGTCTCTGCCCTGCTGAGCCCGCCAAGAGTCCCATTCTGCAAACGGTGCTGCACCAGTTGAGTAGTCCTTGACTTACGACCGGTTGGGGGTCGCGGCATTAAAAAGGTTGAGAACCACTGGTCTAGCAAATTCAAAATTGAGGAATCTTCACAGCTTTGAGGTGCCATTAAAAAAAAAAAACCCTTTATTGAATACACATCCCGGTACTGAAGAAGCAAAACCAACTCTAGTTTTCCTGTGTGAAAATCTGGTGAGTTAACAACAGCTTTCCATAACCCCCACCCACCAACTGTTCACATTGCCCAGTCAAACCTCTTTGGTTTGATACGGGAAAGGTCCACTTCTCCATCAGGCACTACTTTTGTAGTCTTGGTTCTCATGGTCCATGAACAGGTTCTTAGAATCCCATTTCTTTCCCACACTTGCTACCTCTCCCCCATTTGTATGGCAAGTTGATAGAAGTTAGCAGGCATCTTAGCAATTCATCCTTCACAGACAACCCAGTTGCTAAGTTACAGCCACTTTAGTATCCCCAGTCATTTCCACTACCACTGACCCAAAGGGATAGAATCAAGATCACGTGAAGTATTACTACCACTTTACAAGGCCTTGGTAAGGCCACACTTGGAATACTGCATCCAGTTTTGGTCACCACGATGGAAAAAAGATGTTGAGACTCTAGAAAGAGTGCAGAGAAGAGCAACAAAGATGATTAGGGGACTGGAGGCTAAAACATAAGGAAAGATTGCTAGAATTGGGTATGTCTAGTTTAATGAAGAGAAGGACGAGGGGGGACATGATAGCAGTGTTCCAATATCTCAGGGGCTGCCCCAAAGAAGAGGGAGTCAAGCTATTCTCCAAAGCCCCTGAAGGCAGGACAAGAAGCAACGGTGGAAACTGACCAAGGAGAGAAGCAACCTAGAACTAAGGAGAAACTTCCTGACAGTGAGAACAATTAACCAGTGGAACAACCTGCCTCCAGAAGCGGTGAATGCTCCAACACTGGAAGTTTTTAAGAAGAGACTGGACAGCCATTTGTCTGAAACGGTGTAGGGTTTCCTGCCTGAGCAGGGGGTTGGCCTAGATGACCTCCAAGGTCCCTTCCAACTTTCTTATTCTCATTATTAATACAAGTCAAGGAGAGTTTTATAATAGGGTATATAAAGAAACGGAAGAAATAAAAAAGGCTACGTGATAATGGCAGGTGATTCTACTATGGTAATGGATACAGGAATTGATAAATCTAATCCACCACCAGCGGAAATAAAAGTACAACAATACAGATTTAAGAACATTTATTAACAGATTAAAAGATCTTTGGAGAGAATGACATTGCAATCAAAAGGGTTTTATAAAATATATATATTTTAATAGACATCAACATTTTACAAGAATAGATTTGTAACATCGGAAAACGCGGGTCAGGAAAAGGCGACGTTGTGCTGTTTCTTCGCCAGGCGATTCCCACAAAGGGAGGCGGCTCCCCGCGCCGAGCAGACGCCGCGCCCTCCTCCCCAGGCTCCAACCGGGGCCTCCGAGGAAGGAGCCCGGGGCTCCGCGGGCAGAGCCGGCCTCCCTGCGCGGACCGCCTCGGCGTCGGGTCCGAGCGGAGCTCCGGTCTCCCCGCTCCGTCTGCCTGGAGGAGCCCCGGGGAGGGAGGGAGGGAGGGACGGGCCCGCCTGCCTGCCTGCCTTCCGCCCGGCCTCCCCGCCCGAGGCTGCCGAGGCCACTTTCCCCCCGCGGGGATCCCGCCCGCCTCAGCCGGAACAGGAGGCCCGGCCTGGCTCGCCTCCTTCCGAGGCGCCTCGGCAGACAGGCAGGGCCGGAGCACCAATCAGAGAAGGCAGGAGGCGCGCAGAACGGACGGAAGTGCCGCCCCCGCTTCCGGCAGCGGACAGGCAGCGGACGGAGCGTCCCGGGTCGAAGTGCACGGAGGCAGGTGAGCCGCGGGGGATGCTGGGAGGCGCGGGAGGCGGGACGGGGAGCCCCAGGCTGGTCTGGGTGGGCGACGCTGGGAGGGAGGCCGGGTCCGTGAGAGGCCGAGGCTTCGGCCTTCCTCCCCGGGCGGGCCTGGGACTCCCCTCCGGGGAAGGGACGAAGCCGTGACCCGCCTCTGCTCCCCCCCTTCGCCCCTGCAGGAGGACGGGCGAGCCCGGCGGAGGAAGGAAGGAAGGAAGGAAGGAAGGAAGGAAGGAAGGAGGCGCCGCCCGAGAGGAGAGGAGGCCCCGCGGAGCAGCCCCGGGAGGAGACGGCGGGGAAGGCCCGGCAGGGATGAGCCGAAGGGGACTCCGGGAAAGGAGGCCGCCTGGAGCGAGAAGCGGGGAGCAGGAAACGGGCGGAGACCCCGAGACGGGCCTGGAGGGCGGAGGGTCCTTCGGGACAGGCGGAAGACTCAGGAAACGCAACAGAATCCAAGAGGAAGGAGAGAAATATGAATGCCCAGAATGTGGAAAATCCTTCAAAAGAAAAGCAGATCTTAAAAAGCATCTAATAATCTACACAGGAGAAAAACCATTTAAATGCCCGGAATGTGGAAAATCCTTCAAAAGAAATGCAGATCTTGAAAGGCATCTAAAAATCCACACTGGAGAGAAACCACATAACTGTCTGGAGTGTGGAAAATGCTTCACTCAGAGAGGAAACCTTTATGCACATCAAAGGAACCACACAGGGGAAAAACTGCATAAATGCCTGGAGTGTGGAAAGAGTTTCAGTCATAGAAGCAGCCTTTATGCACATCAAAGGAGCCACACTGGAGAAAAACCTTATGGGTGCCTGCAGTGTGGAAAGAACTTCAGTCTGAGGGGGAACCTTTATAATCATCAAAGAATTCACACGGGAGACAAACCCCATAAATGCCTGAAGTGTGGAAAGAGTTTCAGTCTGAAAAGAACTCTTTATCATCATCAAAGAATTCACACTGGAGAGAAGCCCTATGAGTGTCCAGAGTGTGGAAGGAGCTTCACTCTGAGGGGAAACCTTTATAGACATCAAAGAATTCACACTGGAGAGAAACCCTATAAGTGCCCGGAGTGTGGAAAGAGCTTCACTCATAGGGAAAGCCTTTATAATCATCAAATTATTCACACTGGAGAGAAACCGCATAAATGCCTGGAGTGTGGAAAGAGCTTCAGTCGGAGGGTATACCTTTATGATCATCAAAGAATTCACACTGGAGAGAAACCTTACGAGTGCCTGCAGTGTGGAAAGAACTTCAGTCTGAGGAGAAACCTTAATGATCATCAAAGAATTCACACTGGAGAGAAACCGCATAAATGCCTGGAGTGTGGAAAGAGCTTCACTCTGAAAAGAACGCTTTATACTCATCAAAGAATTCACACTGGAGAGAGACCCTATGAGTGTCCAGAGTGTGGAAAAAGCTTCAGTCTGCGGGGACACCTTTATAGACATCAAAGAATGCACACTGGAGAAAAACCTTATGAGTGCCTGCAGTGTGGAAAGAGCTTCACTCAGAGGGGAAACCTTAATGATCATCAAAGAATTCACACTGGAGAGAAACCACATAAATGCCTGGAGTGTGGAAAGAGCTTCAGTCTGAGGGGAATCCTTTATAGACATCAAAGGATCCACACGGGAGAGAAACCCTATAAGTGTCCAGAGTGTGGAAAGAGCTTCACTCTGCGGGGAAACCTTTATAGACATCAAAGAATTCACACTGGAAAGAAACCCTATAAATGCCTGGAGTGTGGAAAGAGCTTCACTCAGAGGGGAAACTTTTATAATCATCAAAGTATTCACACTGGAGAGAAACGCTAAAAGTGCCTGGAGTGTGGAGAGAGCTTCATTCGAAGGGGATACCTTTATAATCATCAAATAATTCACACTGGAGAGAAACCCTATAAGTGCCCTGACTGTGGAGAGAGCTTTAGTCAGACGGAAAGCCTTTATAAACATGAGAGGATCCATACAGAAAAACCATATAAATGCCTGGAATGTGGAAAGAGCTTCAGTGCGAGGGGACCCCTTTATGCACATCAAAGAAGACACACAGGAGAGAAACCATATAAATGCCTGGAGTGTGAAAAGAGTTTCTGCGAGAGCAGAAGTCTTTCTAGGCATCAAAGAATCCACACAGAAAAAAATCCATATAAACGCCTTGAGTGTAGAAAGTGTTTTACACCTCCGTCAACATCAAGAGATTCATGCAAGAAAAAAATTCTATAATTGCCTGGAGTGTGGAAACAGCTTCACTGGGAGAGAAAATACTTAATAAATTATGACGTGTGGGAAAAGTTTCAGTCAAAATAGGTCTCAGTAAAAATTATACACTTTACACAGAGAATAAAGTTTATAAATGCACAGAGTGTGCTAGATTTTTCAGAATAAATGGCAGTCTCAAAAACGAACTAAGAATCCAAGCTGTTTTTTTTCAAGGGGCAATTGGACTTTCTTGTTTCTTTGAAGGCTTTTCGCTTCTCATCCAAGAAGCTTCTTCAGCTCTGACTGGATGGTGGAGAAGGATATATATTCCTTACAGACAGCTGATCATTTGCATTCTTTTAGAGAGTCGGTGAGGCCACTTGGAGGTTTATTTGTGTTCTCAGGATCTCTTGAGTAGTGCAAACGGGTGTGTACCCTAACCCTCTGTCCAACATATGGACTTCGCTGTCTTCAAAAGAGTGTGTCTTTTAAATTTAGATGGACTGCTGAATCTTGTCCTGATAGGTTTGTTCTCCTATGTTGTGCCGTGCATTTATGAAGTGGTTGTTCTCCCCAATGAAAAGACAAAGGTCATTCTTTTAAAGACAGCAAAGTCCACATTTTGGACAGAGAGGACCGCTGTGTCAAAATTTAACAGCTCTCTCTCTCGACGAGAGGGTTATCATCATCTACCTACAGTCTTCAACACAGTCCTTTCAGCAGTTCCAAGAAGGCTCAATATCCATTTGCACTATAAAAGAATACAAATGACCAGCTGTCTTCAAAAAATATCAATCCTTCCATTGCCCGCCTTCCAGTCAGAGCTGAAGAAGCATCTTGGGTGAGAAGTGAAACATCTTCAAAGGAAAAACAAGTCCAGTTGCCTCATGAAAAAACATCTTTGGGATGACCACTAGCCTGTTGACATGCGATAGCAGATCAGTGAATGATTTCTGGTCAAAGTCAGAATTGGAATAGAGCTGGATGGCCCATCTTGGAGGTCACCTAGTCCAACCCATTGCTCAAGCAAGAAATCCTATGCCATTCCAGACAAATGACTGTCCAGACTGATGGATTTACGGTCAAATAACACATTTTAATTATGGTGTATCTACCCTGAAATCCAAAGAGGAATAGAAGAACCACTTAAGTCCGGGGCCTCCCAGCCTCCCCTCCAAGTGTTCACCATCCCAAGGAGGTCTCCCATGTTGGCGCCTCTGCCTAACAGGGCCTGTGACACGGTGGTATTCACTCATGATCGGCAGCCACACATGGGGTGTTGATGGTCGCTTTCTCTCGTGGGTGCCTAGAACAATGGTAGTCAACGTGTTATTTAGCTGACATATTAAAAATGTCAGCTAAAGACTCCTGCGAGTCCCTTGAACTGCAAGGCGTTCAAACCGGTCAGTCCTAGAAGAGATCAACCCCGACTGCTCTTTAGAAGGCCAGATCCTGAAGTTGAAACTCAAGTACTTTGGCCACCTAATGAGAAGGAAGGACTCACTGGAGAAGAGCCTGATGCTGGGAAAGATTGAGGGCAATAGAAGAAGGGGACGACAGAATGAGATGGCTGGATGGAGTCACTGAAGCAATAGGTGTGAACTTAAATGGACTCCAGAAGATAGTAGAGGACAGGAAGATCTGGAGCAACGTTGTCTACGGGGTCGTGATGGGTCGGACACGACTTCGCAATTAACAACAACAACAATAATTAAAAATTGTATTAACTAAATATGAGATAGTAGACATTAAGAGAAAAAGAGAGGAAGCATCTGATGTGGAAAAAAGAGAAATTCTGATTACTAAGGTTAAGATATTTGGAAATTAATAGAAAATAAGTATGTTATGCTGTATTACTAACTAGATGATGTAAGATGGTGTAAAATAGTATATGTTTGAATAGATAAGATTAGGACATTGTCTATAAAGATTGGATGTTAAAATAACTACGATATGTATAAGTTAAAAATTATTGATAACTGTAAAATGTTATTTTTATTCAATTGATATAATAAGAATTGTATTAGTTTAAATATGAGACACTAAATGTTAACGGGAAAAAGAGAGGAAATATGTAATGTGGTACTTTGAGATTTGCTTTAAAAATATTTGTATGCTATTGAGTTATCGGTTAACCCAGCCGCCATGTTGCTTTGGAAATACTTAAATGTAAAATCAGAAAATCAATAAAACTTTAAATAAAAAAAGAGTCAGAAGAGTCAACCTATGAATGGAAAGGACTGATGGATGGATACAAATTGTTCAAAAGAAACAGGTCTACAATGGAGGGAGGGGTTGCACTATGTATAAAGAGAACACTCCATATTTACAGAAATGCACATAATCAAAGATAAAATCTCTCCAGAATGTATATGGGTCAATATAAAAGAGAAAAAAAGTGACATTGCCATAGGTGTATATTACAGGCCACCCAACCAATCAGAAGAAATAGACGAACTGTTTGCCAACCAGTTAACAACTTTATTATTATTATTAAGTTTGTCAAACTTTGAAGAAAAATAACATTAACTACAGCTAGGGATATCTGGTTGTTTTGAGATTTTCTTACAGTGGAAGGTTTTACAGAGTGGAAACAAAGAGGAGGCGATGGAGAAATTAAGGGAGCACGGAATCATCAATAAAGAAGATCTACAGGAGAAAGGGAAGCTGGATGAAGCAACAGGAGTTACAAGTTCGTTGTAGAGATATAGTATATAAGTATTTGTAATTTTACAATACATGTTTGGGTGTAGAAATTAAGGGTAAAGAAGGTCAAGGGAGGTGGAGTGGGCGACCAAAGTCCGTGCAGGGATAGCTCCTCTTCCCCCCCCCCCCGGAAGCCCGAAGAGGCAGATAGGAGGAAAATCTCCTGAAGAAGGGGGACAATGTATATGTGTATGGGTGGGTAAGAGGTTATTTATGTTTTGGGACAATATGCTTACTTTTCAGTTTTAGTTTTCTAAGATTTATGTTAGAGCACATATGGAGAGCAAAGGGCATATGTAATTTAAGGAATAGATGGGGAAATCACCGAAGGTAGCGACATGGAATGTACATGGCTTGGGGTTTTTAGCTTTCGTCCCAGCATTACTCAGGAGTTTAAAAGAGCCAAAGAAACTCCTGAGCCGAGGTTTCAGCAAGCAAACAACTTTTATTTTGATCAAAATAGGGTCGGGTGACCCCATCTCTCTTCGCGGCTGGTAGAGAGATGAAGGCAACAAGCAGGAAAGATGTCTTCCACCTTTTATACCTTTCCAGAACAAAAAGATCAAGTCTTGGTACCAGGCCTAAGATGGCACAAAAAAACAATTCCAAGATGATGACTCATACACAGCAACCCAGGCTTCATCCATAACTCCTTTTTCCCTCCCCTTACTGTGCTCTTTTCATGTAAGCAATCACCTGTACCTAAAGCATGAAACATTTGCTTTTATATAACTAATTTCCCAATAGAAAGCACCTACAAACCTGTTTTCACATATAATGATTACAAAGTATCACTACTAATATCAATATTACTAATATCAACCTTAAGCAGCATAAAATCCCTTCAGGGGAAAAATATAAACAAGCAAGAACTGAAAGATCAATTAACAAAGAGAAAATAGATACTGTATTTTTACAAGAAGCACATCAAAAGAAAGAAGGGGTGAATGAACTTATTTTGGGCTGATGTATATGAAAAGGCATTTGGTACATTAAAGAGGGGTAGCAACCATGGTAGCTAAAAGAGGTGAATGTAAGATAAAAGCCATAAAAAGGGATGATATGGGAAGATTTCTTGTAATTCAAGGCTTGACTTATGGAGAAGGAGTCAAACTATTTTCCAAGGTGCGTGAAGGCAGGACAAGAAGGAACGGATGGAAACTAATCAAGGAGAGAAGCAACCTAGAACTAAGGAGAAACTTCCTGACAGTGAGAACAATTAACCAGTGGAACAAGCTGCCTCCAGAAGCTGTGAATGCTCCAACATTGGACGTTTTTAAGAAGAGACTGGACAGCCATTTGTCTGAAATGGTTTAGGGTTTCCTGCCTGAGCAGGGGGTTGGACTAGATGACCTCCAAGGTCCCTTCCAACTTTTTTATTATTATATTATTATGAAGAGACTGGACAGCCATTTGTCTGAAAGGGGTTGGCCTAGATGACCTCCAAGGTCCCTTCCAACTTTATTATTCTCATTATTAATACAAATCAAGGAGAGTTTTATAATAGGGTATATAGAGAAACGGAAGAAATAAAAAAGGCTACGTGATAATGGCAGGTGATTCTACTATGGTAATGGATACAGGAATTGATAAATCTAATCCACCACCAGCGGAAATAAAAGTACAACAATGCAGATTTAAGAACATTTATTAACAGATTAAAAGATGGTTATACATATTTTTTTAAACGGACTTCAACATTTTACAAGAATAGATTTGTAACATCGGAAAACGCCGGTCAGGAAAAGGCGACGTTGTGCTGTTTCTTCGCCAGGCGATTCCCACAAAGGGAGGCGGCTCCCCGCGCCGAGCAGACCCCGCGCCCCCAGCCCCCCAAGGCTCCAACCGGGGCCTCCGAGGAAGGGGCCGGAGGTTCCTCGGCCAGCAGCGGCTCCGCGTCGGGTCCGTGCGGAGCTCCGGGCGAGCCGCTCCGTCTGCCAGGAGGAGCCCCGGGGAGGGAGGGAGGGACGGACGGGCCTGCCTGACTGCCTTCCGCCCGGCCTCCCGCGGCCACTTTCCCCCCGCGGGGATCCCGCCCGCCTCAGCCGCAGCAGGAGGCCCGGCCTGGCTCGCCTCCTTCCGAGGCGCCTCGGCAGACAGGCAGGGCCGGAGCACCAATCAGAGAAGGCAGGAGGCTGGCCGAACGGACGGAAGTGCCGCCCCCGCTTCCGGCAGCGGACAGGCAGCGGAAGGAGCGTCCCGGGTCGAAGTGCACGGAGGCAGGTGAGCCGCGGGGGATGCTGGGAGGCGCGGGAGGCGGGACGGGGAGCCCCAGGCTGGTCTGGGTGGGCGACGCTGGGAGGGAGGCCGGGTCCGTGAGAGGCCGAGGCTTCGGCCTTCCTCCCCGGGCGGGCCTGGGACTCCCCTCCGGGGAAGGGACGAAGCCGTGACCCGCCTCTCCTCCCCCCCTTCGCCCCTGCAGGAGGACGGGCGAGCCCGGCGGAGGAAGGAAGGAAGGAGGCGCCGCCCGAGAGGAGAGGAGGCCCCGCGGAGCAGCCCCGGGAGGAGACGGCGGGGAAGGCCCGGCAGGGATGAGCCGAAGGGGACTCCGGGAAAGGAGGCCGCCTGGAGCGAGAAGCGGGGAGCAGGAAACGGGCGGAGACCCCGAGACGGGCCTGGAGGGCGGAGGGTCCTTCGGGACAGGCGGAAGACTCAGGAAACGCAACAGAATCCAAGAGGAAGGAGAGAAATATCAGTGCTCGGAATGTGGAAAATCCTTCAAAAGAAATGCAGATCTTGAAAGGCATCTAAAAATCCACACTGGAGAGAAACCACATAAATGTCTGGAGTGTGGAAAATGCTTCAGTCAGAGGGGGAACCTTTATGCACATCAAAGGAGCCACACAGGAGAAAAACTGCATAAATGCCTGGAGTGTGGAAAGAGTTTCAGTTCGAGAAACAGCCTTTATGTACATCAAAAGAGCCACACAGGAGAAAAACCTTATACATGCCTGGAGTGTGGAAAGAGCTTCAGTCAGAGGAGCAGCCTTTATCTACATCAAAGGATCCACACAGGAGAAAAACTGCATAAATGCCTGGAGTGTGGAAAGAGCTTCAGTCGGAGGGTGTACCTTTATGATCATCAAAGAATTCACACTGGAGAGAAACCTTATGGGTGCCTGCAGTGTGGAAAGAGCTTCAGTCTGAGGGGAAACCTTTATAATCATCAAAGAATTCACACGGGAGACAAACCCCATAAATGCCTGAAGTGTGGAAAGTGTTTCAGTGTGAAAAGTACTCTTTATAGACATCAAAGAATTCACACTGGAGAGAGACCCTATAAGTGCCCGGAGTGTGGAAAGAGCTTCAATCTGAGGGGAAACCTTTATAGACATCAAAGAATTCACACTGGAGAGAAACCCTATAAGTGCTTGGAGTGTGGAAAGAGCTTCACTCATAGGGAAAGCCTTTATAATCATCAAATTATTCACACTGGAGAGAAGCTGCATAAATGCCTGGAGTGTGGAAAGAGCTTCAGTCGGAGGGTATACCTTTATGATCATCAAAGAATTCACACTGGAGAGAAACCCTATAAGTGCCCGGAGTGTGGAAAGAGCTTCACTCAGAGGGGAAACCTTAATGATCATCAAAGAATTCACACTGGAGAGAAACCGCATAAATGCCTGGAGTGTGGAAAGAGTTTCAGTCTGAAAAGAACTCTTTATACTCATCAAAGAATTCACACTGGAGAGAAGCCCTATGAGTGTCCAGACTGTGGAAAGAGCTTCACTCTGAGGGGAAACCTTTATAGACATCAAAGAATTCACACTGGAGAGAA